CTATCGGATAAGATCCCAACAAGCGCCCGTACCTTATCCAACACATGCATACGGTGTGTGTCACTGGCGCCGTCTGTATCAAGAATGTACCTCGATACACATCAACACCGCTCAAAGCCAATCCCATCTCCTCTTTTGCAGCCATCCCTTGCTTCAGCCCAACCGGCCACCAGAACTTGGGCCTGCTAATCAGGTGCCACGGGAGACGCCATGGCACGGGTCTAATGCGAGCGAGCTTTCTTCTTTCTTTTGCCCGCTCCAGCTCCTTCGACGTCGGAGGCACGAGGCTCGTATTTGGAGAGGGGCGCCTGGCCTGGCCGGCCTTGTCAGCCGTCGGAGGCGGTTTGCCGTGTGCGATACTGATGATTTCTCCCCTTGCTGTTTGGTAATACCGTCGGAGCTTGCCCTGAAGCTTGCCTCTTATCATTTCCTTTCTTACGTGAGGCTGCTTGCTTTCTTTAACTGACATGCTCACGATAATACCTGTGACATGCTCAAAATCACTACTAGGCAATCCCTTGTTAGTGCTCCAAGGTAAGGTAGGCAGGGAGGGAGCCATGAGCGTTGCCATGTCTTTCAATAAGGCCGAGATGTGTGTGCAGCTGCCTAACCATGCCCGCGGGCCGGAAATCACAAACGCGGATCATACCTGCAACGTCCTCGCACATGTACATACAGACATGCTTCTGCGTCGGTAGTATTACCTCGCAAACCATCTCGACATTGTTCTGAGAAGGGGATCCTCCCCCCAGATTCGAGAGCCTTGTCCTCCCCGACTTTTGTGGCTTGACGCCTAACGGAGTCCTAGGCTGGAGATGGGCATCCGATCGTCAGGGAAGCATACATAGCTTGTTTGGGAACACACCAAGATGCTCGTTGAGGCAGCAGAGCAGATCTTTGGCAGCTGAAGCAACCTCATGGGGCTTGTAACTGGTTAGGAGAGACAGTATGTATGTCTGTCCAGTGCGAGTGCTTTGTGATTACACCTCTGTCTTGGGCGTCTTTGCTCCCCTCCTCGTTGTACCTTTTGCGGCTCTCTCTTGGTCATTTCAATGTTGTCGTTGATTACCCGAGCCTCGTTCTACCCGTTTCAATACAAGATCAACCACGCCGCCAACGCTATGAGCTGCTGTAAAGAAGAATGAATCCCATCGAACTCCGTTATGGTGGAATATTACTCGCTTACTATTACTGCTAGCCTCAACTCTGGCAAGTCCCCTCATGAATGGAAACGAAATGCCACCTCTAGCAAACAAAATATGGATCCTCCGCAGTCCGTACTTGTACCTGCCTACTTGTTAAGTAGGTACTTAGATGCCTTAGGTAACACCTTGTGTGGAGATTCGCACCCAGCGCACAAGCCACAGACGTCACCGGCGGCCAGGTGCAAATCTAGCGGGCACTTCGCACACACACACACAAACGGGGGCTTGGCTTCAATGTGTCGCGCAACAATAGCAGCAAATAGCGGCTGCAGCGGAGAAGGAAATAGGACCCTTGAATTTTCGTGTGAGAGATTGGGGTTTAATCGCTGCTTTGCTGCTAGTACTAGTAGTAGCACTGTACATGCAATACATAATAGCACCGCTGCTCTTCAGGTTGCCCTGCTTCCGCTCTGTTCTTCTTTTCCTGCCTCTGCTAAAAATATAGCGGACTTACATACAAGGCGGTCTGCAGCGTAGCAATGGAAGAGTTCCAGACCCTGCTCTTGGTACTAAAAACCGGATTCCCTCTCGACATGTCCAGCATAAACCTACCTACGTGTTAATCATACCAGAAACCAAGTTGAAGAGCAATGTTCCTTACTCGTAGTACATACAGTCGACCACTTTCCCTCACGTGTCGTGGGTCCTCTTTTGCCATTGCCAAGCCCGCGGCGAAATGGAAGCAGGAGAGGAGAGGGCAAGAGAGGGCCAAAAAATTCAACGCTGACTGGTTTTGATGAGATTGACCAAAGACTGACCTAATCAAACCAGACGGGAAAAAAATAAGAAGAAAAAAAGAAAAGAAGAAAAAAAAAAGCCCTCTCCCTGCTGAAATGATTTGAACAAGAACCGTCGATCACCACCAAAGACAAACAACCTCGACTCGGCCGCCCGTGTTTCACATAGACCCCAAGTACCTACATTAATAAATCACCAAAACCAAACCGAGCCGCCCAGCCCTTTCCGGCCCCCCAGACGGCCAGCGCGCTGATCAATGCGGGTTCCCGAGTTTCCAAAAACAAGACAAGTTGGCAAGAAGAAGAAGAAGAAGAAGAAGAAGAAGAAGATAAACAGAGGAAGAAGACAATATTGATAATATAGCGGTTGTTTTGGTGCCTTTATCCTCATAATGAACATCAACATTCGAGTCAATTTACCAAGTCCATATTGTCTGTGCCGTCGTCGACGTTATCTAGGTAAAAAATACCCAAAGTACAGCCCAGGTATCAACAACACCCGGAGTACTTCTTCCGCAGCTCTTCATGTGCCCTCTCCCGCATGTACAAAATGCGCGCTGCCCTTGCACCCCTTCTTCTTAGTACTTCTTCTTTCCCCCCCTTTGAAGCTACGCCCAAAACGAAAAGAGAGCGGCGGAAAGCAAGGACAAGGCCATGAGGGATACTGGATACGTCAATGCCAGGGAAAGACGCCACCAACCGCCATTCCCCCGCTTGGACAGGGGTTTGCTTTGCCTCTTACTCTCTCTCTCTGTGTGTGTGTGCGTGTGTGTGGCGTCTCTCTGTTATCAGGTAGGTAGGTATGTACTAAGTAGCAGTAGGTACTGTAGTCTTTTCTCACTCGTTCAAGAACTGAGGAAGAAAGTGCCATTGCCTCCGTCTTCTTTGCTCGGAACCTCGTCTGTTTGAATGGTAAGAAGTTTCTCAGGCCTAAACAATGCGGCTCTTTCGGTACATGTATGTAGGCCCCGTGTGGGCTGTGTGTGTCCCTTGGGACTTCTTGGCATCAGGCAGGCCGCATCTTCGGACCAGATGCCGAGAATCACCGGTGAGAAAGGAAAGTCCCTTGTCTTTTTTTTTTTTTTTCTTCTCCTCAATGTCCGTGAAAGCATCATCCTTTGCTGCCCTCGACTCACGATTACGTTCCACAAAGGAGCTTGTCTGGATGAGGCGAACTATGTAGCTACATACTACTACTAGGTACCTACCTTACAGAGGCCTAAAACTGCTACGAGAGACGCAACCTGTCCGCATGACCCCAAGGGACGGCACACTACCTACTTACAGGCATATCGCACCAATGCCCGTCCTTTGTCTCCTAATCCTTCAAGTCCAAAAGTCCAAAAGGAAAGAAATCAATAACAAGAGGAAGAAGAAACGAAACAAAAATGTGACTGTAATATCACCCAATCTAAATCGTGAAACCGCCACTCGCCAAGACCTCTTTTTTTTTTTCCTTTTGCCTCTCTCCTCACATGCTCGCCCCCCCCCCCCCCCCCCCCCCCCGTTGTCAACTCGCTCTCCTGCGTTGCTACGATGCCTCACACACATGCACACACATACACCGACAAAAGCAGACAGACACCTCATGTTACCCTCGTGCAACCCCAGGAGAGAAAAAAATCTCCTGTCGCAATAGTTGTCCAGAAACTGACATGTCCCTTTGAGGCAACCACCAGAATAGCCACACCAATGCACATCGCACTCAGAGGGCATACCAGCAAGGCATTGATCTTTAGGTACACCTTCAAGTACAAGCAAGTATCAAGGCAAGGGCGCTGTCTCGGCCATCCACCGACTCGGTGAGAAATACCCTGGCCTCAATGGAACGCCACTCTTTGCTGTGCCGGCCACACACACTCACACTCACACACACACACACATACACTTACTACAGGCAAATGCCCATGTGAAAGGAGAGTGTGTTGTACTCGTAGCAGCTATGTAGGCGGCAGCAGGACGGACTGTAGCAGCCCAATGGGCAGCCATGGATGGGATTCCTGGCGAATGATGATGGTGTTTTGCTATTAGCCATTTTGCAGTTTTGGATGGCTAGAATGGACGAGGAAGGGGGGGGTGATAAAGGCGTTTCTATTGGATGTGTGTGTGTTCGTGTGTCTAGGGCATCCTTGTTTCTCTGGTCGGGGGTTGCTGTTTGTGATGCTCAGGTACATACGGAATCTTTTCTATGGTCATACATAGTAGGATTACCCTGAGATCGAACTGCGAGAGACCACAGGACGAGCATGTCAGCAGGTGATACATCAACAACACCATTGAACTAACACATCTCGAACCAATCCTTCAAGTAACATTACATACTAGTATTAGCAGGCAGCGTTGACTACCTACTACTAGGCCATCACCATGCCGAAACACCATCGCTCCGGACTCCTTGGCCCAAAGGATTCCGGCAACGGAACGACATCCTATTCGGCCTGACTGATTCAATAGTCCCATGTGCAAGTACTGTATGGTCTTGTCCAGGCAGGTACTAGGCCTACTGCCTCCATTTGCCTCCCCCTGGCTCCCACATGCAATAGGCCTGAGCCGGTATCTCAAAGCTCCATGTTGTGTACGGCAGTCCGAGGCCAAGTCAGATAATAGAGGTAGCTTCGGTAATTTGGAGGATGAAACCCTGTAAGCCTGCATACCCCGTGCTGGATCATGTGAAGAAACACGAAAGTGATAACTCGATCTTCATGTCAAATTGCCATTGGTACTGTCCTCAACAAGAAAACCTCAGGGACCAAAAAGTCCATCACAAGATACCCGAAACATACATGTAAGAGCCAAACCTGCAGGAAGTGCTATGTGCTATGCGATGCCAACAATGACAGACTGCAACAGACGCCCGCCTAGCCCCAAGACAATGAAAAAGGCAACGCCATGTGACTTGACACATGTTGCTGAAATGAATTCAAAGCCCAACATGCTTCAACAAATGCTCTGCTCAAACTCAACATGCCGCAACAATTGCAAAACGCTGAGGGGGGGGGAAACAAAGAAGAGACCCAAACTCCAGACATCCAACCAAGGAAAAAGATGACAACGACATCTAGTTATCCTCATACATCTTCATCAAACTGGCCTTGATATGCGTAATCTGGCTATTCAGCACCCGCTCCTTATCCACCAGCGCCGCAATCCGCTCATGCAGCCGCGCAATCTTGGCGTTCTTCTCCTTGACAGCCGCACGAGCCGAGTCCCGGCCCATGGCAATCCCCTTGGTGCGCCGAGCAGACGTCACGAGAAGTTTGCGGACGGACTCCAGAACAGAGGGCGCAACGGACTGCGTCTGCAAAAGGCCCATGACTTTCTCAGTAACGTCGTCGTCGTGACTGCCACCATGGTCGTCATCCTCGTTCAACTGAGTCGCCGTCATGATGGACGAAGGATACGTGGGGAGATTCTCCATGCTGCTCGGGGGCGACGTCTGCGAGGAGCTCTCGCCCTGCGACGACTGAGAGCCCCTGACGTGAGACGCCCTGCTGGGCGTAGGCGGGAACGGCTCCGGCTCCTCAAACGACACCGTTTTCGTGCGCTTGGCAGTGCTGCCGCCCTGTGCCTGGGGGAAGAGCGTCCGGGCGACGGGTTTGGACGAGGTTCCGAGAATATCCTCCTCCGCCCCCGCAGCGGCGCTGTTCTGTGCATGGGGGAAGAGCGTGCGAGCCACAGGCTTGGACGAACTGGCGAGCATCTCCTCTTCGCAGTCTGGAGGAGCGCCGTGGATGTTGTACGCATGTTCACGGAGGAACCTCTCGACGCTCCGATCCGTCATGGCGGCAAGCTGCCGCTCGTCATCGGAATCCAGCTCGTCGTCGTCATCGTCAAATGCGTCGTCAAACTTGCGCTTCAAGCCACCGCTCGTCCCGGGAGTAAGAGGCTCATAGCCCCCGTCCCCAGCATCAACGGCCTTCCCCTTCCCCTTGTCCCTCCCCGCCGAGCTCCCGGCCTCCAGCTGCGACGAACTCATGACCGTCTCACGCCCCACACCCTCCGCCCCGTCATCGTCACCCCCGTAAGCCCCGTCTTCCGTCTGCGAAAGGCCGGGATCGCTGCGCCGCCTGCCGAGGACCTGGAAGCCATTGTCCGTGAGCCGCGTCTGCGTCAGGGAGGGCCCCGCCTTGGACGGGGTGGCGGCATCGGGTGCCTCGCCGGAGAGGCTGATCTCGCGGAGCCTCGCCTCCTCGAAGAAGAGGAAGAAGCCGCAGCCTTCGTTGGGAGGGAGGCGGCAGACCCAGAAGCCTTTGCCCTTGTTAGGGGTGTTGCTGGTGACGTTGCGCGCGACGGCTCTTGCGCGGGGCGAACAGTTGCCTACGAGTTAAGAGATGAGTATGACACTTGAGTCCAGTGCTGCTTTTTTGGGCAATGTAGGAGGTGTGGGAGTGAAGTGAGGGCGGTGTGCCGAAGGGATCATGGAGGGTAAGGTAGAATGACAGGTAGAGGAACATACACCACCACTCATTTCTGTACCAGAGCCCCTTGAGCCTCCGCTTCTCAGAGGACGGCGTCCCTGGGTAGGCATTTTGGTAGCGATTGCCCGAGGGCGTCGCCGTCGTTGCCATAGCGCTGTTCAAGGGCAAAGGATGATGAGAAACAAGTAGCCGACCATCAGTTTTCAGCTCCAACTCGGACGCCTGATAAGGTAGGGCTGAGCTGTGTCCAAGAGCTGTGTCTCCGCAGCACGCAGCGCAAGAAGATGCGCCGCAAGAACCAAGAAAAAAGTGAAATCGACAAGATCGCTGAACAAATAAACAGACAGGTAGTGAAGATGGGCAGTAGTAGTAGTAGCAGGTTAAGGTACGACAAGCATTTATGACAGGCAGGCAGTTCAAGCCTCCGCGTGGGACGTTGGAAGAGCTCGAGAGTGAGGTTAATTAGCGTTTCGACCTAAACGCGGGAGGTTGGCAATTTGACAGCTCTGCAGCTACCATAGGTATGTACTAGAGCCATAGCTGCCGCTGAGGGGGGGCCACTCATAGCGCTTTGATAGTGGTGCTTCTGTGTGTGACAGCTTGGGCCATTAATCGTACTGCCTTTTCGACTGACGATGTTATCTTACCTTACCGTTGATTACAGAGATGCCTTGGGAATCTGTATGTACCTACCTGTGCTTCATCGACCACAACTCAATCTACCTACTATACTATTGCCTGATCATCACGCGTTCCTGACATCAAATACAGAGTACAACAACAACAAGAACAACCTAGACAGTGCCTGTTGAGCTTTGGAAGGGGGAGGGCTGAACGCGCAAAGCGCTTCGCACACCACCATGATTCGACACCCATGCGCAGGAGCTGAACATCCTTCAACCCACCCTGCGCCAACCAGATCGTGGGCTTAATTCGCCGGGGGAGGGGGGAAGGCTGCTGGCTGTCTCGATGGGCGATTCTGCCTTGTCGGCTTTATTTTTTCCTGTGCCGTCTTTCTATTCTTGTGTAACTGTTGCGAGAGAGGGGGGGAAAACTGTCTCGTGTTCTAGTACTTGGCTATAGGTTACATTTTCTTGCCTTGCTTGAAGTTGAAGCACACTAGGGAAAATTGCTCCCTGTAACAGATGATTTCCTAGTAGACAAGACAGCAGCGATTGCGCTTATTAAGAATGTTCTGCGGAATACCTGTGTGGAGAATTTGATGAGGAGAAAGTCACCTCACATCTATAGCCAGCCATGAATGTAATAATGTAAAAGACAGGCCATTGAGTGGCCTCGATATTGTACAAGAATCCCACACTCATTTCTACCTGCTCTTCATCCCAATCTATATACGAAAGACGAGCGCCGTCTTGAGTTCCCTCTCCCAGCCATAAACACCAATCCATTTCTAAGATTTCCATCATCAACACCCCCCCTGCGACAAAGCCCCTCACTTCCCCTCCCCCTCTTCTTCACATCCCAGCCCCATCATGTAAACCCCTTTGTTAATATACAAAGGTGATAAAAACCGTCTAAGCAGAAGACAGCTTCTCCGTCAGAAGCTTGTTCGTCGTCTTGAACACATCCTCGGGAGCAGGCGTGGCATCCACCTTGATGACCTTGCCCTGGCTCTCGTAGTAGTTGACAACGGGCATGCTTGTCTCGACAAACGTGCGGAAGCGCTTGCGGATGCTCTCGGCATTGTCGTCCGTCCGGCCGCTCGTCTTGCCGCGCTCCAGCAGGCGCTCCTCCATCACCTTTTCGGGGCAGTCGAAGAAGAGGACCAGCTTGGCGGGGCAGACGGCCTCCTCAAACTTGTGCGCCTGGTCCATCTTGCGCGGGAAGCCGTCGATCAGGAAGCGGCCCTTGGTCGTGCCCTTTTGGCGGAGGGCCTCGCTCATGGCGTTCTCGAGCAGCTTGATCGTCACCTCCATGGGCACAATCAGGCCGTCCTTGATGTAGTCCTTGATCAGCTGGCCGAACTGGGATCCCGGCCGGTTCTGCTCCTCGCGCAGGAGGTCGCCGGCCGAGAGATGCGTGAAGCCCTGCTCGGCAACCAGACGAGCGCACTGCGTGCCCTTGCCGGCACCGGGGCCGCCGAGCACGAAGACGACGGTCACATCAGCAGGGTCGAAGACGGGCTTGCTCTGAGAAAGCTGCGCGGCGGGCGCGGGGACTTCGGTCGTGGGAGGCATGTCTTTGTCTTCATGAGAGGCACAGGAGAAAGAGCAAAAAGTTCGTTAGCAAGAATGCTCAAAAATCGATCCCATCAATGTGTGCGTAGTTGTGTCTTCTGTCTCCGGGAACCAGCCCGTTCGCTCATGAACCTAGGTACCATTACTCACTTTTGACTCGAGTGTTTGCCAGCTGGATATAAGCCGCCGTACCCAATCCGATCAGCGCGAGAAACGGCCAAAACTTGATGCGATCGCCGCCACCGCCGCTGCGAGGCTGTTCCGACGAGTAGAAGCGCTGTTGACGGAGGACGCGAGGGCTGCAGAGCGGTGACGAGCACGATGTTGCGCGTGTGGAGACGGACTTGCCCAAGGTGCGGTTGGCGAGGCGCAACGAGGTCGACATGCGGGAGGCCATTGGTTCGTTGCCCGAGTGAGGGGAAAAGCAAGGCTGTCCTTGTGTTTCTGATTTGCCGGCGAGGAGGTTGGTCGGATCAATCGGGGGTAGGACCAAAGGGAGTTTGTCCTGGTGGGCTGATTGCCAGCAGCTGCCGAGTCGAAAAGGGTGGGATTGAAAGCCTGCGTAATATGATCTAGAGAATTAAAGGCGCAAGTGGTGTCTTGTAAACAGAGAGCAGCTATGAAAAGAGTGAAAGAATGGAAGAAAGAGAGGGGAGAAGCGGAAAAGCCAATTGAACCTTCGGCAGAAAGGAAGACGGCTGTGAATATGGATTACAATGCCCGAGAGGAACAGCAGAGACGTCTATGCAGCTGGACGGAATCGAGGCATCGTCGACTTGGCCCCTCCAAAATGCGAGGACGCGACATCACGTGATGCGCTCAGGGGGAAATGGGCTCTACTATCATCAACTCCTTATTACATATCAGCATATTAAACACAATGAATCAATAAGCTCGCATTGATCATTTGCCATGGCGACGCCGATCTTGACATTCGTTCCGACAAAGCAGGATCCTCCAGTGTCCAAGGCCATCTGGACATCCAATCCATCATATCTGGAACAGACTGGTGGTCAGCCTGTTGCTTATCCTCGCAGAACCGTCTAATCACCTATAGCAAAGCACTTCTCCCAACCCCCTAAAGCACTGGCATCTTCTCTTTTCAAGTGTTTTTCTTTCCTCGGATTCTATGTTACCGATAGCTTTTCCCCCTCCTAGACTCGTAAAAACTAGGAAAGTCTAACAAAAACATCATATGCTAAACCGGCTACGCCATTCGCAATATCCTCCGGCTCGTGATATCGGATTCCCAGCGATGTAACTATTAACACAAACGATCAAATATCTCCCTCCCATGCCAGAACTTTTCCAGTCCTTTTGGAATTTTTGTCTTTCTCTTTAGTTGTAAACCGTCCCCTCTTTTGAAAAAGCCCTGGCCGTGTCTCGTGGTTCGATTCAGGCTCCCCCCCTCAACAGCCTAGTCGTCGTTATCTGTCCTCTCGCGCTGCTGCTGTCTCCGTCGTCCGCCCTCGTGGCCCCCAGCGTTGGCGTTGGCCAGCTTGCGCTCCAGCTCCTGAGCCTCGCGCAGCTTGGCGGCCTTTGCGTTGGCCTGCTCCTGCTGCAAAACGCCGAGCACGTTCTGCAGAGTTGATCGCCAGTGGTCGACGCGGGTGGCCAGCTCCTGGTACTGCTTCTGTCCGAAGACGCGGTAGGTGACCTTGTGGACAAGGAACATTTGGCGCTGCTGTGACAGCTTGCCCTCGACGAGGCCGGCTCGGATGACATCAATGGCCCAAATCTCAATATCCTCCTGGGGGATCTGAAGCGCCTTGGTAATCTTGGCGTACTCGACCTCGCGGCTGGGGGTGGCGGCGGCCAGGCTGGCAAAAGTCAGGAGCCTCATCTTGCGGTGCAGCTTCTCGCCGTCCAGCTTCTGCTCCTCGATCCAGCCCTTGTGCTCGTCGTTGAAGTCGTTGTAGTCCTCGAGGTCCTGCTCGGCAAAGATGTCGAGCAGCTGGGAGTACACGGGGTGGGAGTCGCTGAGGGCCTGCACGCTGGGGATGGCGCGAAGGTCCTGGAAGAGGTAGTGGGTGTTGGAGGCAATGGCCATCTTGAGGGCGCGGAGAGACAGCCTCTGGGCGTCTTCGGAGGAAATTTCCTCGCCGTCGAAAGTTCGGAGCGCCTTGAGGATGAACTCGTAGGCAGTGCTAAAGGACAATATATGTCAGCATACCATGACTTTCACCCATTGTCACAGAACAAAGAACATGAAAGCCTGCTGTGACAGTCACGAGGTTCTTACTTTTCTTCGCCAGACTCGAGGGCGACCTCAGCCACGTCCTCGTAAATCTTCCTCGCCATTGCGGCATCCGTTCCCCATGACTCGATCCATTCCGGCAGCTTGTCCAGGTAGCCCCGCAGGCCGTCAAACATGCCATGGGCCTTGAGGAACTTGAGGATCTGCTGGAAGACTCGCGCCCGGACGGGGTCGTTGGGCTCGAGCAGGTTGAAGACGGTGACGAGCGCGTTGAGCGCCAGGCCGGCGCCGTGGACGGGCGAGCCAATGAGCGGCTTGGACAGGTTGGCGCACAGCGTGGGCAGCAGCTTCTTGGGGTCCGACGACTGCATGGCGAGGTGGATCATCAGGTTCGACGCCGCGGTGAACTCCTTCTCCGGAACGGTGCTGAGGGCGCTCGACGCCGCGACCAGCTTTGACAGCACCTCCTCCTTGTCCGCCTCCTTATCGCCGCTCAGCAGCTGCTTCGCCTCCTCGGCCTTGAGGTAGTCGGCCATCTCGCGCGCGAGATCCTCGAATGAGCCATCGACGAATAGCAGCTGCGGCTGCGGCTCGGTGGATGTGACGCCCGGCATTTTGGCTCGATTTTTCTCGGTTTTCTTCGTTTCGTTACAGTTTTCGGCCTCGTTCCTCCAGATTGTCCGTCCAAGATGCCCGGAAAAAAAAACTCGTCGAAATCGTTACCCGCAAGTCCGCTTTTTATTATTTCTCGCTTCGACTCGAACTCCGTCCCGCTCTCGGCTGACTTGAAACCAAAGACGCTGTGAAAACCTCGGGCCTTTCTGGTGATCCTGCGATCGACTGCTGGGACTGTCGGTTCCGGGTCGAAGAGGCAACAAGCGGGGGCGTGGATGCAGGGCCGTTTGGGCGTGGCAGAGGAACCGCAAAATGTGAAGTTGAGCGGTTGGCGTTGGCAGGGTCGGCGCCTGAATAGCCCTGTGGTGGGGTCCCGCCGCCTTTGCTCCCTCCTTTCTCTGTGGTCAATCTCGAATCGGCCAGATGCCCACCCCGCCGATTTTTCTGCCGCCCTCAAAGTGTGGGAGCTAAGCGAGGGCGGTGACGCTGCGCTGGTGCCGGCCATGTGACTCGGCACGTGCGGCTTCGAAGAGATGATGATGATGAAGATGGGCTTATGTAACCCCGGCTTCTTATTTCAGAAACGTTGATGACATGCCTTCTGTTTACATAAATTCACAGCGAGTCAAATGTCACAACCAGCGAATGTCGTTATTGTGATTTCATTGATCGCTATTATAGGTGCCAAGAGCCTCAAAGGCGCAACTCCTTATCCTGGCCCAAATGGCCAGAGTAGACCCTTTACCAAGGCCCAGAGGAGACAGCTGGCCTCCTAACAGAGCTCCCTAAACAAGTTCATGTGTTCCGCAGATATCCCAACAAAAAGAAAAACAAACACAGCATAAAACCAGGGAACTGGAAAGCGGAAATGGCTCAAGGAGATGTAGCGACGGAAATCAGAGAGAGATGAGGAGGATGGTGATGAAAACGAAGAAAGAAAAACAAGTCCCGGGCCAAAATCTCCCATACCAAAACCGACTCGCCAATTCTATATATACATGCAAAAAAGCTCTGATGATTGACCGAGAGCAACCAAGTTGAGCGGAGGAGATGCTGGCTGTTGCCAGCTGATGAGTCGTCATATCGTTCATTTGCCGTTTGGCTGCTTGTCCGCTTCCTTCTTCTTCGCAGCAATGTCGGCAGAAGGGTAGATGCTCCCGGTGTCATCGTCAAACAGCTGTTGGTCTCCCTTGCCGCCCATTTCCATAAATTCTTCGGGCGCCCGGTGATGGGCCGGACCGGCTTCGTGGGGAACATTCGCCTTGTGTTTGTTCTTAGAAAACACTTTGATGGGGGTGCCCTTGTTGCCGCCATCGATCTCAGCAGCGATAGAGACGGAATTGACAGAAGCCAGCAATGTCCTTTCTCGAACAGGAGCTCGGCGATTGACCTCCAGGCCCCCAATGCCGTCTACAAGCCCGCCAGTGCTGTCGTTCACGGCCGGTGCGTTGGCGTTAAGCCACGGATGCTTCAGACATTGGTCGACGGTGAATCGGCGCTCCGGGTCCACGATCAACATGGAATCGATCAAGTCGACTAGGCGTAACAGTTAGCCACTTGATGCAGATATCGTAACGAAGCAAACACTAAGACCGAAAGCGATGTAGACTTACGGGCTGGATCACCGACAGAGTCCCAGTACGGTGATGGATAGTCGAAGCGTCCGCTTTTGATCTGCTGGGAGAGCGTAAAAGGAAAGTCTCGTGAGTAGAGCTCATCAGAAAATGGCGGGAAGCCGCAGAGGCAGATGTACAGCACAACGCCGAGCGACCAGATGTCGACGGCCTTGGTGTATTTTCGATGCTTTCCATCAGCCAGAATTTCAGGGGCGACGTAGCTGGGGGTCCCGCAAAGCGTCGTCGTGAACGATTCTTCCCCAATGATCTTTGCCAGTCCGAAATCGGCCAGCTTCACATGCAGATCCTGGTCCACAAGAAGGATGTTCTCTGGCTTGATATCTCGGTGCACGATGTTACGGTCATGCTAACGGGTTGAGGTGTTAGACGAAGCGCAGAGACGTAGAGAGGGGGGAGCGCTGCCAGATTGTATGGACTTACCAGATACTTGACGCCTTGGAAGAGTTGACGGAAAAGCTTTCTCGTCTCATCCTCGCTCAGTTTCTGCTTCCGAACAATGTAGTTGAACAGCTCGCCTTCAGGCGCCAGCTCGAGGACCAAGTAGACGTGGTCGCGCTCAGTAAAAGTATCCTTGAGACAGAGGACATTGGGATGGCTGACACCCATAAGGACGCCAATTTCCTGCTGCAGGCCTTCCGTCTTGGACCTGTTGTCCTTGCCGGGATGCTGTGTGAAGATCTTGACGGCGTATCGCTTGCCGGTCGACTTCTCTACGCACAGATAGACCTCTGCGAAGTGGCCCTTGCCGAGCTTGTCCAAGAGCGTGTACTGTTGTGAGAAGGCGCTCGTTTGCCGGCTCTGGGGGTATCTGAAGACGAATCTCGCTTTGCCGTGAACAGCGATCTCGTCCTGGTCCTGCAGCTCGCGACGCTGGTTGCGCCCGACGAGGGCCTCATTGACGTAGGTTCCGTTGCTGGAGACATCCTCGACAACGGCCACGGTATCCGTGCCAACGTTTTCTGCGAATATAAGGCAGTGTCGGTTGGACACGACTCCTTCGCTGACGACCACATCTATCAAGCCGTTATTAGCATCTGCCAGTCCTGCCACCGTACCAAAGCTGTGTTTTCAACGTCTCCCAATCATGTCTTACCACACTCGGGGTGACGGCCGATCAGATATCCACCAGCTGCAACACCCTTGACTTTGGTCTTTTCATATGTCTCCTCGTCCTTGACGGGCTTTGAATTCTTGCTCTCGCTCTTGCTCTGAACGGTGCCGTCCGAAAGAGCTTCAACGTCATCCGGAATGGGACATGCGACGCGTTTCTTTAGCACCAGAGGCTTGTCGCCGTATTTGGGATCGAGGGGCACCAGGTAACCCCAGACGCCCTCCTTGAGCTCGTCAACAACTTCGTCAGAGAGGGCCGGATGTCGGTCGATGAACTGGCTCAGCGGCTGGGTGTCCTGCGGCGGCGACGACAGCGCCTGGCTCTGGCCCAGCCCTTCGGGGGCCTTTCGGGGCGTCAGCTCATCGGCCGCAGCGACGGGCGGCGTCGCGGTGTGTTCCTTGGGCAGCTCGGTCGAGCCGTCGGTGGCGTTGTTTGTGACGGGAGACGGCAGGTGATGCTCGCGCGACACGGGCGTCTTGTCGGGATCGACCTGGGCCAGGCGATCGGAGCGGCGAGGCTTCTTGGTGTCGGTCTCGTCCTCGGGCAGCGAGCCCTGCAAGAGAAACAAGTCAGCGAGGCTGCCAATGGATCACGACGAAGTCAAATGGATTTGCCATCCGTCAATCGGGCGGAACGGGATTCGTTGGGCCCTTCCAAGCTGTCAAGAAGTACGGGGACCGGGGAAGTGGACGACAAACGTACGCGAGGCCGCTTCAATTGGCTCTTTTCCGTTCGGTGCGCCATGGTCCGTCCGGAGGCGCTGATCGGGAGAAGCCCCTGAATGAGTCGGCTGTCGATGGTTCCTCAGGCGAAGCGCTGACAAGGGGATTCACGAGAGTGACTGGATGGGCGATGCTGCCTACTAGTAGGTATACCTTTTCACCGTGAATAAGAAATCCAGGCGAAAGGTGCAGTGGTGGAGTTGAGGGAGGCCTGGTTCGCCGACCCAGCGGTTAGCGTCACTGGACCCGCTACGAGGTAGGTATGTATGTACGAGGTACGGCACAACCCGTCAGCACATGCTCTGGTTTTTTGGGCTTCGAATAGGTACAGGTACCGTAATACCTGCTGGGTACAAGCTGCCATGGGGCAGGATTCTGGCAAGGACGGCAGAGATGGAGGGCGAGGCACACTCTTACCGCGAATTACCTCTACCTACCTAGGTACCTATAGTTGTCGTCTACGAAGTACCTGTATCTGGCGGTGGTGCCTGGGAGGAGGCGACCATGGAAATAAATGCACCCTCGTTAGATACCTAGGTATAGGAGCATCTGGCTGGTGGACAGCTACCTGTACAGCTCCAAGAACGCACAAGCCATGAGTTCCAGCTGAGTCAGAGATCGATCCTCACACCTGCTGCTCGGTATTATGACCTGTTCCCTTTTTGGCGCCATTCACAGCTCTGTGCGTGCCCCGGCCAGCTGACTTACACCCAAGTCATGGGAGAGCAGTCCGGTGTTTTGAGCTAGCTACGCCACCAAAGAGGACAGCTCCCGTTGTCGACAGAATCTTCAGCACAACTCTCTCTCTCGTCTTCCTAATATCAATCCAAGCTCGATATGCAAACAAACAACAACAGCATTAGTAGTGATACCCAACCCTGTTACTTGACACATACAAGACCTGTCCTTGCCGAATATAAAGCACTAAGGTAACCTCCCGCGATGCCTAGAGGTACATCAGGTACTCACCTGCATCGTCCCACCCCGTTAGCTTCATGTACCTCACACCCAAGTTTCTCCAACCAACACCAAGATACATCTTCCCCGTCCAATCGCCCTGCAAGGCTGCCTGGCCTGGTCTCTTTTTTCTGCTGCAGGTGATGCGCCTCTAGCTCTGGCACGGCCATCGAAAACCCACAGCCCACTTTGGCCCGACCAGTGCCGTCACCTGCAGTCCTCACACAGCCCCTCCTCTTTCTGTTCATTGACTGCCTACCTAGGTAGGTACCTTATCGTATTCAGAGAGTTGTACACAAGACGGTACACGACGAGTACCTCACAGCCTCTGTGTACTGGTTTCTTATCTAGTAGATTGTATGAGGACTGAAAGTCGGCTTGAGCGACCAGTTACGCGTGGCCTTTCAGCCTCAACAGACCAAGGGACAGACAGGGTCTTCTGCAGAGGCACGCAGATAAGTAAAGGCCTTCAACGGCGGGGGTTCACTGTCACGATAACGGGGCACATGCCGTCATCGACAGAGCTGCTGAGGTCACGCCTCGCCTTTGCCCATGCCAATGATGACCTACCTCAAGCAGCAGGCTCAGAATGCTATAGAATTCTTACCTTATCCTTCAAATCGAAATCAGTCAACATTGACGATCGAGTTACAGTCATCTTGCCACCGGCACTGCCAAGGCACAGCCATTCTCATGTGAATAGCCGCAGTGTAATAGTCGAGACTCTCTACCCTTCATCTCATTATCTGATACCTCAAGATGCCGATGCAGCATAAAGTATAGCATCTACCTAAACTTCAAGTCGTCTGCCATCTATCTCTGTATCTGTCTTTGTCGAGCCGCAACTATTGAAGCCAATGATAAACCCCCAAAAGCCCCATCTCCGTGTTTCCATTAATCATTAATCACTAGTTTTTGTTTTTTCCCTACTACCCAGCTCAAGTATTCCTTTCCAATATTACCTCCCCGTGGCCCTCTAGCATCAGATGTCTCCAAGAAACAAGCCACTTCAGGGCCAATGTTGAAGCTGTTCCACCGTAAGTGTGTCGGCTGGTGTAATTCTTTGTATAACGGGCTCTTATCCCAAGTCGTCAAGCCACTGCTCCAAAAACGCCGGGCCAGGCCAGCCCAATCCACCGCATCGCGCCACACTGCAACAGCCCGCCTCCCCGGTCGAAAAGAAGAATAAGAAAAAGCTGGATGAAAATAATCGTGATAACGTCCCTCGTCAAAGGCAAACAACGTACATGCGCGAAACCCCGTGTATCGGTAGCTCAGCCGAAGCTGCGGAGCCAATGCCCCTCGTACATGTGATAGCATAGCGTGAATCCTGCCAATCGATCCCAGAATTTGGGCTCCTATTTCTCCGGGATGGGCGACCTTGCCAGCCTCCCCCCTGCGCTCACTCGCTTCTGAAGGCGAACGTCCTTGTCTTTCAGGAGCCGGTCGGTTGAGCTGCTGCTGGTGGTGGGTAGCGACGGCACCGAATCGCCGCCGATGGAGAATCCCTTTCCTCTCTTTTGCTCGTAATACTGCTGCGCGTATCTCCCAAGCGGAAATGCTGGAAGAGACGATGGGATTTCCGCGCCGTTTTGGATCAGCAGCTCTGCCACGGGGAAAGGCACCGGCTTGCTGTCAGAGTCCGTCGACGTTTGTCCGGGGATGGGAGACGGTGAGGCTGGGTCAGCGGCCGCAAGCGCCAACCACACGGCGTGTGTCCCTCTCATCTTGTCCACGACATTTGGGTTTGCTCCCAGAGCCAAGGCGTAGAGCACCTGTTGGATCTCGTTCTTCTTGATGGCGGCTAGCAACGTTTCGTCCGCTGTGGCGTACCGCGACAGAGTAGGGGAAATTGGGTCGACGAACGCGCGTTCCACGTATTTCGAGGTGATGTACTTTAGGCGCTGCTCGCGGTTGGCTTGAGGCCCCAGTTTCTGGGACTGGTCCAGTTTGGCTTCCCAAACCATGTTGGACACTCGGTTACCGATGAGCATGAGCATCTCGACAATATCGACAGTGAAAGATTTGATATCCAGTGTGAGCGAGCGTATCTTGCTGACGTGCGTCCCCAAGGAGCGATGGATGCCACCGCATTCGATGCAGAGGATAATACCCAAGTTGATCGACACCCACTCGACCTTGATGTCTGATCCGCAATCAGCGCAATAGCAGTTCCCCTGGTCATGCTCGCGCAGTGCCTGCAACAGCTTGTCCGGGTGCTCGTCAAAGGTCGAACTCGGCGTCCGCACGGGGCTGGGCCGAGCGCCAACCGTTGTCCTTCGAAACGGAATGGCGCTATTTGAGTTGGAGTGATGTCCATGGTGCGAGCCATGGATAGACTGGACTTTACCCGTGAGAACCGAGCCAATGTCCCTCTTAAGAGAAGAGTCAGAGTCTCTTGAAGTCCCCTGTCGTCCGGGGTACGCTCGACCCTCGACGGCGCTCTGCAGAGCATTGTTGATGGACAAGATCCAGCTGTTCATATCTTCCTCAGACGTTGCCTGGTACACACGCTTGAAGTTGGGCGTGATGACCTCGAAACAAAACCGCCGCTCGGCATTTCTGGCTTCGCGGACAGAAGCCATGCGCAAGTCGATGGGGTCCATGTGAAGATCCAACCTCTGCTTCCAATTGCTGTATTCTGATAGTTTCCCCTGATCAAGAACGATCCAAAATCTGTGCGCCGAGTCAGTGGGCATGGCCAAAAGCGTTTGTCGACAGGGAAATTGTTGTCAAGAACTTACTTGTGCCACCCCTGCTTGTTGAGATTGCGAGGGTCGACATGTCCTCCAGGGCGGTTGAGAGCCCAGAGAAGTCCCTCTTTTCTTTGTGACGAGTTTGACTGCAGGCTGCCTTGGTCCTCGAGGTCACGGAAGCCTTTAAACTTTGAGTTTTGGCTGGGGCTGCCGATATTCGAGGCTTGTCCGATGTCCACAGGCATAGGAACAGCTGCTGTGGTTTGCACGGCACCGCTCGAGCTTGAGGGCTTGAGCTGGGAGCCAGTGCTCTCTGCCCTTCCCAGCTCGTTGTCCGATGTATGGGCTGTGCTGTTGTTTGAGTTTGCTATTATGGGCGCGGCGCTACCAAGGCTGTTTTGCTCTGGTTCCATGTACGGCATGTTGCTCTTCTCCAGTTGGCGTCGCTTCTCCTCGCGCTCCCTTCGCTGGTATTGATACTCCTTGTCGGCCTCCTGGACCTCGTTCGCCAAGGCTACCAGCTGCGGGCGAAGGCTCTCAATCTTCTGCGCAGTGGACAAGAACGCACCCGCCTGTGCGTCGGCGTACTTTGTAAGGTGCGATAGTACCTCTTGATCTTTGCGACCGCCGTGCAGGTCCTGCACAAAGCTTGAGTAGTCGAAGCGCTTGAGCTCGAAGTTTCGCCGCTTGTTCTGATACTTGGAATCGCTTTCGGCAAGCTTCTTAGCCTTGACCGAATCTTGACGCTGGCCGAGGTATCGCGAAACATAAGCATAATAGTCCTTGCTCTCTTCTTCAAAGTCTCGCTTCTTGCTTTCGGCTTGCTTGATATCGAACTGGTATAACTTGGTGATGGGTTCGATGATGATTTTCTGAAGGTTGGCGTTGTTCTGGCGCTCGTAGGCTAGGATCTCACGAGCAATCTTGTCAAAGTAGTGCTCCAGCGCAGGCTGGACGGCATTTGCATTCGTCGTCGAGGTCTCGCGCAACGCCTCCACGAAAGCGACAAAGGCCTCGTTGGCCTCCGCCTGCGAGGTATGGACTTGCTCTGCTCTCTTGAGCACCTTTTTCATCTGCGCGCGCAAGTTCCCGGTCTTCTGCTCCAGTGCTTTCAGTGTGGCGCGGAAGACGGGACCATCGTCGGCCACAGCAACGTCTTCGGCCGGTCGAGGAACGCATTGCACATCCACCTTCACGGGTTCTTTCGGCGTCGAAATAGGGGCTAGGGGCGCCTCTCCAGGAGCGTATAAGGGCGAAAGCGGCTGCTCATCAACCTCTGTGGCCAACCGAGAGTCTACCGACTGAGCTGAAGCAATTCGGATCTTGGGAGGAGAAGACAGGAGGAAGGGTGCCGAGGGCGAGTTGGGCTGGGTCGGTGTCGTGTAGGAGCCTGGAACTGGTTTGTCAGCAATGAGAACACCGGTGACGCTGCGGCTCGCTGGCTGAGCATACTTGAGACCCAATACGAAAAGGCAGCAAGAGTGTGCAGTCGGTGAGCACGCGAATCGTACTCGACAAACTTGAGAGAGTCAGCTTCGGAACTAGGGCGGAACAGGCAATGTGCGACAAACGCTGCAAGAGTTTCTCCAGCCGCCGCCTTTGTCCTCTTGGCTTCTGGGAGCTTTCCACTTCCACGTCCACTCGAAAGAGACGGCGGATGATCCACTGGTTGAATAGTCCCCCACGAGAGCCACGTTGTCATTCTTGTGCAGGTTCGGGTCGGCGTGGAATTCGCGCGTGACTAGGTTCTCGACTTCCTTCGAGGTAGAGGCATAGACAAAGGTGAGGCCAGATATGTTGGTGTCGGTCTTGGTCGTCGTCTGCCCATCTGGGTTCGACGAGTTTGGCAGCGCGGGCTGTGTCGTCTGGCGAATAACGAATGCGAAGGTGAAGATGAGCTCGTCGTCGCCACTGAGCTTGAGCAGGAAGTTGGGAAGTCCATTGTTATTGGAAGACTCGGGGTCCTAAAACCAACCCCCCGCCAGGAGGCTCGCATTAGAAGCGGGATAAACAAAAACGGCTGCGCTGGTCTCACCTGGACAAACTCGATGGGGTTGTTGTCGCCAGGAGGTCGCGCGGCGCTGACCCTGGTGGCCGGAAAGGCATTCGGAGTGATGTGAATCGAGGTGCGCTTCCGCGGGTTGGTGACCACGATCGAGGTGATGCTCACTGCAGGTCGAGGTCAGCACTTGACATCCGGACTGTCGCAGAAGCGGCCAGGGAGCAGCAACGCACGGCGATTCTGGTCTCTGAGATACAGAGCTGCCCCGTCATCGGGCCTACTGCTGACATTGCCCATGGCGACAGAGAATCAGCGGAGGCCGGCAGCGAGAGCTGAGCAATGGCGATATTGAGAGGCGAGCGAGCTGGCAAAGGGAAGATGGCGCGGGGCTCGAGGCGGGAGGCGGATCGTCATCTGGAGGCCAGAACCGAACCGATCGCACAGGGCCGCAAGAAATGCTGGGGAATAAGTGATGAGAGCGAATCGATGCGGTGGTTCTGCAGCTGTGGCGGAGAGGAGCAGACGAGCCCGGAGGAGGGACACAGGCAGGCCGCAAGCAGAGCCGGAGAGGAGGATAATATGGGAGGTTGCAGATGGAGAGCCCAGGGCAGACAGAAGAGAAGAGAAGGCGGTTGTGAACATGGATGGATTTGATGGAAGCCAGACCGCGGCGCATGTGCCCGCCAGTCACACGCGCCCAGCAGCTGGCGGACAAGGTTTGGGGCTTGTAGCGCCTCGTAGCGCCTTGTAGCGCCTGTGGCTCCAGCGCAAAAGGTGCTGGACGGGCCCTGCGCCAGCGGTACGAAGCGCACCTAGGTATCCATCCATGGCTGTACAGGTACCCACTCCCCAGCAACACCAAGCCCGCTTACAGGAGGCGTCGGGTGCTGTTCCAGGTAGACAGCTTTCCATTGCTTGTGTTTAGCGCCTCGTGGATTTAACAGACTGCCTCTTTTAGAAAGGCTGAGCCTGGCTTTTGAGCATCAGCCGGCATGGAGGAATACGAAAGGGCTTGCGTCAAGATCGGGCTGGGGGGAGAGATGTCTGCATAAACGGGATGCAGTTGCTAGGTATGTACCTACCTATCGATAATGCGGGAGTGTGTGTGCCTGGATGACAGCTACCTACCTAGGTACAGTAGGTACGCGTACTTCTGCCAAGGTACTACCAGGTAGTACTTGGATCGTGCATCTCTCTGGAAGCTGGAGGTCTATAATGTCACAAAATGCAGTAGTTCGGATGAAAATGTTGACGGGAGAGCTGCAGATGGGACTGCCATGTTCATCTCGCACCAGATTGGTAGTCGTAGGTATGCTGTTATTCATGAGCTACCCGAAATATCACAGCCTCGCGAGCGTTCAACGTCATACAACATCGGCTACTAATGTACCTGGAGCCTTGGAGGCGCTTACATGTATGGGCGAAACTTCGGCATCGTCACTACCTAATGAAAGGCGACCTGGATGCATGTACTACCTTCGTCGCAATAGCTCAGATGCCTTCTAGCACGATGGTGGCAAGTTCACTTGAAGCTTCCAAGGTTACGTACGCGGTCCACGTGCAGCAAGGCAAACCAAGGGTAAAAATAGCATAGGTAGCAATGATTCGCGACGAGGCCTGAAGGCCAATGTCCGCGTAATGGAGCATCACTCTGCATGCGTAAGTGCGTTGAGCGAACCCTTACGATAGATACCTCTTATGTGGTGCGCCAACATGAACCGTGATGCCTGTCCCGTCAGGAAGGTAGTCGTGGCTGCATCCAATACCTAGGTATTGCACACCTGGATATACAGGCAATTCGTACGACTATCGCGATACCCTCGATGAAATTAAAACCCCTCCCAACAAGCGGGGTCTCTAGGTCTCCAATGGCATCGACACAGTCGACAAACGGCCGTCGTTCCTCATGTCTCGTATTTCTCCCAAGCCCCCAGGCTGAGTGCGGGCACCTCAGGGTCCAGTCAAGAGTCGCACCCAACCAACATGAACACATTGACACTGCCTACTCCCCTAGAATAGCAGGTGTAATAAGAAATGGCAGCCCTGTTGAATGAATCAAGCATCCATGGATGTGTGCCATTCGTGTCAATCGCAATACTACTATTTGGCCCGGCGGTCGACACAAGTGCAAGCCCCCCCCCCCCCCCCCCGGTTCCTGGTTCCAGCGCGCATGCAGTGGCGCTGCAGCTTCACTGCGCTTGACGTCTTCAGGGGCCTCTGCACCCTTCCACAGCGCCTAAACGCCGTGCCACCAAGCAATCAGCAGATGTCATGTTCTCCACCAGCCCGTCTATCCATCCACCTCTTTTGTCCAGAGTTGCAACACTCGCGACCGTTCGCCTCCTCATCCTCGCACCTCTCCTGCACGTCTTATACGGGCCCTGCTGCAGAGCCATTCCAGCCCGCTGCCGTCCATCCTCTGCACCCCCCAAAAAACACCATCGCCCACTGGCCGCCTCTCGAGTCGAGTCCGGCTGCCTGCTCGATCCTCCCCTAGCTTCAGCCCGGGCTATGAGGCTTAGCATCCTCCGTGGGCTTGGGCATCACTCTGCCTGCTGAGGACGACGTCGCAATGTCGTCAGCGTCGCACCGCCAGTCGTATCAGCCTCAACACGGCAGCACCAGCAGCAGAGACACGGGCCGGCCGCGGCCACAGTCGACCGCGCAGCATCCTGTCGACCCCGACGAGGCCCGGAGCTTTGCGCTGCGAACCGCCTATCTGCACTACCTGTTGCAACCCAAAGCCAAGCGAAAGCAATATGTCCCAGCCCCAAAGGCACCCACGCGAACGCACACCAGCGTTGGACAGCTGGTGCAGGACTTCGTCTCGGGCACGTCCACGAGCATCAAGCTGCCTCACAACTTCGCTGCTGCTCTGCTGGACCGAGTTGGCGGCGTGCTGAGGGGCAGCGAGGCTCTGCCGGGCTACAGCGATGCTGCTGTCAAGAGAAGCTTTGCCGAGGCGTACACGGCCTTCTCGGAGAGGGCGTTCCGCAAGACAATCGAAAAGGAGAGGAAGTTTGAGCCCTTGGTCCTCATCTTCTACTCTGCGGCCACCAAGGCTGCCCAGAAGGGCAAGACCCCGGACGACGAATCCGACTCGTGGAAGCTGCTTCCAGACCGCCACCTGGCCATGTTCGTGAGGCTTGCTGCCAGTGTCATGAGGGACCTGGGCCACGACCGAGACCGACCAGAGCTGATGGCCCGACTGAAAGACCTCGAGACCAAGCTTCTGAGAAACGACCAGGATCTGGTCAGCAATGGCACCGCTGGCGCTGGTACTACCATCGAAGTGATTGTGCCGCTGAGCTACGAGGTCAAGGATATGCCCATGGTGCAGATTGTCGCAAGCATATACGGCATGGGCCTATCGGAAGTCCAGGCCGAGATCAACGCACACCGTCAGGTGTGGACAGAAGAGGCTGCTCTCAAGGACCTCAAATCATACCAGACGAGGCTCAATGCCAACATGCCCGGCACCTTGAGCAGCCATGACTTCGATGTCGAAGATGCCTTTCAGGAGTGGAAGAAACACGAGGCTCCGCATCTCTCGCAGATGATGATGGATATCCTGACTGCTAAACCGGAGCTGGCCAAAACCAAGACCGGGTCCATCGACAAGTCGCTACCGAGTCGACCGACGTCGTTGTACGGGGATGATCAAGCATATGCTGACCTCAGCCGTGTGATATCCGATCCGGACTCGTCGTCCTTTGCGTTTGATCCCTCCATCAGCCTAAGCTCTCTGGCTATTGGTGAATCAAGCAGTATCAGAACCGTAGATGAAGCGATATATACGTTTACCCCTCCTAACCCGAGAGCCTACTACAAGCACATTCTCCAGCAGGCCATGCTGTTTGACCAGATCCATGCTGACCCCAACATGGACTACCAGCCGCTGTCGCACAAGTCCATGGAGCTCCTGACCGAGCTCTGTGTGCGGTGGCGCATCCCACAATTCACGAGACTCATTGTCCTCTTGGAAGCAGCTACCAATCAGTTCCTCGAGAAGGAGATCGCCCCCGAGGACCTCGACTCTGTTTTCGACATGATCAAGTCTCCATCGCAAGAGCTCAAGAAGCCACCCCATATCCACGCGTACAACGCGCCTCTGACCGACTTCGACCCAAGCCGATGGACAATGCATGATTTTGCCGCCTACCAGCACACTCTTCACACTCTCCATGACGCACTGCTGCAGGAACTCTTTGATCTTCTGGAGGGGTGCTACGACGTCAAGCCGCCAAACATCGGGCCTGTCATGTATCTTCTGGAAAACCACATTGGCCAGGATCCAATCTTTTCTCCGCGGGCAGAAGTCATGGACGAGTTCAGGCAGCTTCTGTCTGAGCGCCTAGCTCAAAAGGCCACGGCAGTCTACCACGATATCATGCAGAAGCAGATACCGGAGCAGAAGGAAGAGTGGGAGTTTGCTCACGTTGTTCAGCTTGGCAAGGCAGTGACCAAGGTGTGCGACCGGATCCGAAAGCGTTACAAGAAGACGTCCACCATCATGGGCGTTGATCCGTTGAGCATCCTAGTGTATGAAGTGTTTCCCAAGTTCGAGCAAGATGCAAGCACCATCGTTCAGATCATCATGCAGTCGGCCAACGAGAGTGGCCAGGAAATTGAGATTCAAGACGGCTTTGAGCTCTACAAGGAGCTGAAGGAAATCCGCGGTATTCATGAAGAATTTCTCCCCAAAGAGCCCTTCGCCTTCAACATTGAAGACTTGCTTGTCGACTTCGTGTGGCGCTGGCTGGCGTCGGCCGAGGCCCGAATGACGGATTTCGTGGACCAGGCGATCAAGCAAGACAAGTTCCAAGTTCGAACAGAGAGCCCAGATCAGATCCCGGGAGATGCGCAGCGGCATAGTGTGTCCGTCATTGACATGTTCATGCTCTTCAACCAGACGGTGGATCAGGTCTACAAGCTGGAATGGGGCAACCCAGAGCACCACGCCAGGTTCATGACCGCGCTGGCGAGGAGCTTTTCTACTGGCATTGGCCGTTACTGTGAGACCGTGGACCAGCAGTTTGCAAAGGAAATGGATCGTCCGTCTGCGCAGGAGCTTGCTGCCCAAACCCAGAGTACCCAGGAGAAGTGGATGCAGTATGCCAAAGATGCATGGAACAACAAGGAGAAGGCGGAGCCATTCCAGTTCTTCCCGGAGGTAAAGTTTCTCAGACCAGTTCCTTTCTCGCCAAAAATGCTAACTCAAGTGTGTCAACTAGTCCTTTGTCAAGCTCAACAACATTGAGTACGCGATGCAGGAGCTGGACAAGCTGGAGAAGACTATGAATGTCGAAGCATGTGCGGCCCTGCTGGAGAAGAAAGACGGGGTCAAAAAGAAGACCCGGAAGCCAAACAAGTACACCTTCACCATCAAGGTTGTTGAGGCAGAGGACATCAAAGCTTGCGATCCATCAGGCTACAGCGATCCGTACGTGGTCTTTGGCGACGAGTATCAGAAACGACTCCACAAGACGCGTATCGTCCATCGAAGCCTGAATCCTCGCTGGGATGAGTCGTTTGATATCACCGTGCAAGGCCCAGTCAACGTCATTGCGACAATATGGGATTATGATACCTTTGGTGACCACGACTACGTCGGACGGACTTCGCTCAAGCTGGATCCAAACCACTTTGGAGATTACCTCCCTCGTGAATTCTGGCTGGACCTGGACTCACAAGGCCGTCTCCTGATCAGAGTGAGCATGGAGGGAGAGCGCGATGACATTGTGTTCCATTTTGGAAAAGCTTTCCGCCATCTGAAGCGCACGGAGAGAGACATGGTTCGAAAAATCACGGACAAGGTACGTTGTAGAAACGGTCCTCTCATCCCAGACATGATCAAGATGCAGCTTGGCTAACCGACGTCTGTCTAGCTTACTGTTCAAATCAACGAAACGCTCTCGCTGGAGACTTTGCGGAATCTTTTGGGATCTGGCGGCGTCGGAGCTTCGATTACGAGTCTATGGAAGAAGAGAACTTCCACGGCTCCCCCCTCAGCAGGCCCTACCCAGGCACAGATTGAGAGCGCACTCACCAATCTGTTTGCATACTTTGACGACAATTTTGCCATCATGAAGATGACTCTAACGGACGCCACAATGATAGCGGTCATGACTCGTCTGTGGAAAGACGTGCTCATGACGATTGAGAATCTTCTGGTGCCGCCCCTTTCCGAGAAGCCGTCGACCCAGAAGCCTCTCACACGCAGGGAGCTCGACATCGTGTACCACTGGCTGGAGATGCTTTTCAACTTCTTCAATGCCAAGGACGAGCACTCGGGCGAGCAGCTCGGAGTTCCAGCCGAGGTGCTCAAATCCCCTAAGTGGCACGAATTGGCCTCGCTGAACTTTTTCTACTTTGAAGACACCAACAACCTCATCCGGGAGTCGGAGCGCATGGCTGCGGCCTCAGCACAGCGCGCTCAGCAAGCCTTGCAGCAGCAGAACCAGCCCCAGAGCCAGCAGAGCGGCAACAGGCTCGCGGTGCCGTCGAGTCTGGGGGCGTCGCTGGGCGGCGCCGGCTCGTTTGCGAGCATGGGCACCATCCGGCGCGGCAAGAGCATCATGATGAGCCGCAACCTGGGCACGATGCGCAAGGCCAAGGAGGCGAAGCGACGCGAGGCGCAGGCCGATGCCAGTGACGATATGATCTTACGGATCTTGCGCATGCGTCCCGAGGCGGCGAACTACCTCAAGGAGCGGCAGCGGCAAAAGGAGCGGCAGGCCGCGACGGCGGCAGCGGCGCTCATTGTCAGGAACAGCGTCAACCAGGGGTGGAACTCTGGTCCCCCTTTCCAGGGGGCGCCCTTTGGACGGAATAGTCTCTTGCCAAACAGGCGATGAAGCTAGAATGCGACGAAGAGAAGGAGGAGGGGGCGGCGCAGAAGAGGAAGATGGTGGGCAGAGTATCGAACGTAGGATGGAGATGAGGGAGGGAGGAGAGAGAAGCAGAATTCGAGATACAAAGGGAAATTGAGAGAGGGGAAAATCTTATGACGAAAGCAGCTCCCATCATTTTGCTCCTGTTACCTTGTCTTTTAGTGTTTTATTGATTGGGGCCCGGCGGGAAATTTCGGCCTCATTCAGATACCCTTATGAGAGTGTAGGTATATATCGAGGTCATTATGGGTTTGATATGGTTTGGTACTTCTTTTAACGACACATGTCGAGGACTTCTGGGATGAACAGGGGAGGCATTGCAACCTGAGCGAAGAGATGTTGATTCCGTGCGTGTTGACTCAGTTCTACAGCATCATGTTATTACGGGTTTCGCTGATTCTTTACGATTGCAAAGCTTCTACCGCTTGTATCTTCTGCATAGTCTAGCTAATTTCATTGGGAGATTTGACTGAAATTTTTATACTTTGCTTCATATGATCACCATCAGGCAAACGTTCTCTTCCCACCATATTTCCCAATGGCCAGATCCCTTGGCTTCCCTTCATCCCCTTTGTCGGGCCTCAACCCTAGCCGAATATTCATCCCAGTTCTGACCTCCCCAGACCTGGTTCACACGACTCACAACTTCAGCGGGCCAGATGGTGGCCGAGTTGGCGGGAGTTCCCGCCCCTTCATGTCCAGCGGGGACGTATGTGCCGCTATCGTCGTCATCAGCGAGGCTCACGGCGTCATCAGCATCATCCGCAACGGTCGAAGAGCGGCAGGCCGCCGCTCCGCTCTCGCTGTAGTCGACAACAACATTCTTCGATGCCACGATTCTGCCCTCGTGGGAGATCTCAAAGTCCAGGGACACGCCGTTCGAAGTCATCTTGATGATGTAGGATAGGCGCTTCAGACGCGTGCCCTTTGAGTTCTTCCACGAAGGCAGACTGTCATAATCGGGGACTCGAGCCCAGCGTACTTGGCAGAGCTCCTTGACCGTCTCGTCGCATCTATCGGATGGGTTGAGGGCGTTGGAGTAGATTAGATGGGTAGAAATACTGTCGAGCGGTTTGTCGAGATCCTGATGGAAGCCTAGTTCGATAGATTTGCCTACTTCCATCTTCTCGCCCTTTATGAGTGTTAGCATTCTCCTTATCAGATAGGGGCTTATGTAGTGACTTACGATGCGCAGGAACCAGGAAGCCTGGTCAGCGGCAATGTAAAGTCGCGTGACGGGGCACCACTCTTTGTCTCGAGCATCATGCTCCCCTTCGGTCCAGGGCGTCACGTTGCACATAGTTCCATAGCTCGCTCTCGCAATCCTCGAACGGATTGCCGACTCTTCTGCATTATCGGATTTCTCGAGCCCCCGGATGGCTGCACCGCGACATACTGCTGTCCAACTGTTTTATAAGAGAAGGGTGAAAGAATCAGCTTCGGTCCAGTTTGGTGTGGCAGTGTGTACTTACGGCCGTGCTCCCAAACCCTGGAGAATCTCAACCTGGCCCCTCAAGCCATTTGTCAGACAGGTATGTAAATGGCGACAGCGTCCGAAGCCGCCCACCAAGATGATAAACTGGAGGTATCTGTATTAGTACCAGGTTTCCCATGAGAATCCAAATGGATAGTTCATACCTTGGGCTTCTTCTTATAGCGTTTCTGGACTTCTTGGATCTGAGTTGTCACAAGTTCCACAACCTGACTCATTATCGGGCTGAACACTTCAACAACTTCTTTGCTGTTCATCCTGTCAGCAATAGTTCCTCAGATAACTTCGCGACCGAGGTTCTTACTTGCTGACGTTGATCTCTGGACAGCTGTACTGATCGTGATCTCTCTTCCGCGAGGTGAGGGGGATCTGTATGGTCCAGTCTCGGCCGTCATTACAGAATTGTGGCTTTATGCCATTTTCCCACTCGTTGTTTACGAGACGAGCTATACCATCTTCTCCAAGCTTATCCCAGATTGTCCAGGCCATCTTGCTCTTCAGGAGGGTTCGGAACCGCTCGTCCACAAAGGTCGCGCCGCATAGCTTTCCTGTTAGAGGGCGTTAGCCGTATTGTTCGAGTCACAGAAAGCACGGATATCCTACCATCGCCTCTGACGCTTTCTTGTACTTTGATTGGCTGTTTATTGACGACAGTGTAGGTGATGACATCCTGTACATTGTGGTGAGCAACCGCATGATTCAGTCGTTGACCAGGAGTGAACTTACCACAGTGCCTCCACCAGCATCGCAAACAACAAAGTGGTCGCCGACCTAAGGAACAACAACCTGTTAGTAATGTAGAGATCAGATGTCGTCATGAAGTACTCATACACTCATGTCAGCTCTGTCGGACATGTCTTTCAAAGAAGCCAGAGCTGCAGCCTCCGGCTCGGATATGAACTCCAAAGTTGTGTCGAAAAGACCACGAGGCTCGAGAATGCCGGCCTTCTCAATAGCCTCTTTCATACGGAACTGGGCGTATGCGGGCCAGATTGCCGGGAGGGTAACAATGACTCTCAATGCAGAAAGCTCCATCAGGGAAGCCCCCTCAGCTCGCTCGATACAGCCAAGACTATATTTCCACAGCTCGCGCAGATAATCGCTGATGACATCAACGGCATGGGTACCCAGCTTTTCCAAAGAGGACTTGGCACTCTGGAGATGGGTCGACTCCCGTAGGTACTGTGGTATATCTTCTTCATCCAAAAGACACAGCTTGAACCACCGAAGAGTAGATTCTCCGATAGGGGCGGCGTAGCCCCAGAGAGGTGGCTGTTCCTCCTCGGTGTAGGAGATTGAGGTTGAGACCTTTTCCTTGTCGCTGTTGAAGTTGAAGGTGGACTTCCAGCTCGTTATGATGTCGACGTGGTCTGGTCGGGTTGATCTGGCCCATGCCACGCCTGAAAAGCTACGCAGGGTCAGCATAGAGGCCACATCGTGAAGGAAGTGAACTTACGTTGTTCCAAAATCTATGCCGATGACGATCGTCGGATCCCCAGCATGAAGCTCTCGTGTTCCTCTTCCGGCGCCTCTCTGGGTCCGCGTAGGTTGAGGCATGGCCAGCGGGATCTTGGGCAGTATCAAGGGTGTGCAGTTCAGAAGTAAGACAACTTCGTAGAGGGGGCAAAGGCTGGTCAGAAGCTGGTAAACCGCTAAGGAGCCAAGTCATCCAGAGATTCCAAAGTGGAAGATAAAGCAGAAGAAAGAAACTGGAGGAGAAATTCAAGCTGAAGTAAGAATGAAGTGAGCGGCCGTGCTTCACTTCGCTCTGCCAGCTGGCGGATAGATACCTCAAATATCGGGCAGAGTGAAGGCGGTGCAGGTCCAGCACGTGAGTGATTCTGCCAAATGCACTTTGTTTCCTATTTCTTTCTTTCTCTATTCCTCACTCTTCTCCGTTTCCCTTCTATCTCTCCATGATTTTTTCCCTTCTTCCTACAACCGCAATTCCATCAAGTTTGGGTAGTTTCAAGCCACCACTCTTTGTTCTCACCTCGCAATGCCAAAAGGCGTCGAGCAAATTCATGACGGGGGAAGCGGTAAATCATCTCCAGCCTCGTGAAGCCAGGTTTCCCAAACTAACCGTGACAGACACTCAGGGAAGCTCCCAAAGAGAAAGAGTAATCCAAGCGGCCGAGGGTCCTTCTCTTCGGCCTAGGGAAGACGGTCGACCCAAGTACGACGAGTCCAACGATATTGACACTGAAGCCTCTTCTACCGTTTATGAAGCTGGAGATGAGCTCATGGGATCTCAAGGAGATGTTTCATCCCCATCATCAGGCGTCAGGGAAGGCGAGTGTCCTCGGACGTTGCGTTCCCGCCCGGCTAAGCAGGAGCCGGCGGACTCAGCGGAACAGATTCGAGGTTCCCGCGTGATCAGTATCAAGACCAGGAAACGGGCTTGCGACGATGACGGCGAATTTGAGCTTCCAAGCCCAGCAAAACGTGGCCGGAAGCCTTCAGCCAACACTGAAATCAAAAGGTTTGACAAGGACCTGCAGAGTATATTGGCCAGATTTACTTCAAAGGCACAAGACTCCGAATCTCTGAGCTCCGAAGTCCGCGAGTTGGAAAGACAAGTCAAAGGGCTTGAAGTCAAGCTTGACAAGGCACAGAACGCCTACAAAGAGGCTAGAATGCTGCTGAAAAAAGAAACTGGTCGGCTACAAGACGAGAAAAATCAATTGCAAGTCGAAAACGATGAACTACAGGATGCGTATGATAAACTGCGATCAGAAATCGGGCAGCGGACAACCAAGCTCATGATTGCTCTGGAAGAGGCCAAGCGGGACTCTTTGAATTATGTCAAAGTATCGGATTCCGAAGTTTCATCCGCGTGGATGATGCTGTCGTACAATGTGCGCGACCTGGTTTCCCAGTGTCTCACTGAGCAACCCAGCAATCAAGTCCAGAGACTTGCGGCGCTGGTGAAATGGCACCGATTTCGCTTCTCAGAAGACGTTCCATCTTTACGTACAAACATCCTTCGGAGAGCGATATGGAGGACTTTGGTTTCTGCTATATTCCGAGGGTATACACGTATCTGGCAAGGAGAACTCGGCCAATACTTGACACAAACCCTGTCTGGAAATGGTAACATCTACCCCCATTCTTTCTTCAATATACATCAAGGTTGCTCGTATACGAAGTATTGACATCGTCTCTTTCACATAGATTATGCCTTCCTCAAAGACCCCCGGTACCCCAAGATCATCAGTCAGACTAAGTCGAGAGTAACTGCAGACCTCGATGAAGACGCTCATCTGGACCAAGATAGTCTTCACTCTAAAGTTGAAAGTCTCCACCGAGAGCTGCAATTTTTCATACCAGAATCCAAGGACAGGGAGTTCAGAGACAAGATGAAGCGGCTCATTGAACACGCAGTGGGCCTCCATATCGTCATGATGAAGTCTAAAGCTATCTTCCTAGTGAAGTGGATTGGAGACAATGACGGCACGAATCTTACCACTTACGATCCAGCAACCATGGATACTACGCTTGGAAACGGAGGCGCCGACGCACACGACTTCTATGTCAAATTCGTCGAAGCTCCAGGCTTAGTGAAGATCGGGAACGCAGATGGAGAAGACTTTGATCAGAACATGGTCCTCTGCAAGTCTCGCGTGATACTGGGGGACAAAGTGGATAAGGTGGACTTGGAATCTGGTTTCTAGGTTTCTGACGACTGTCGTGGGGAGAGATGGAGGGAAATCAGAGCGTTGCCGGGGAATCAGGCTGCATACGGTGAGCTTGCAATGGATGGCCTCGGCCTTGCTTTAGAGAGGCCGGCTATAAACACATGGCGTCACCTTGAGGATTTGAAGACACAGATCAGGCGAAAACAAAAAAGAGTGATTAAACAGTACAAGAGGATCGTGGATTTAGGGAAGAGCAGCAGCAACGTTGATGGCCCATAGTATTCAAGCAGATTTGCATCATGTATTCTTCTAATCGTGATCCTCCTCTGTAATTCCAGGACACCCGTCCATTTCATCATCTGGATACGCCATCTTGCACCAGAAACAATACCGGTGCTTTTCTCGCAGGTACATGACAAGACGCGCCAGTCTCGTCTTGAGATCGAGAGCCTCAAACTCCTGCAGCTCTTCATCTTCCTCATCCGAATCATCCGCAAGAGCAAAGGTAACATCCTTTCCCATAGCCATCTTATCGTCATCATCCTCATCGCTAGTCTCATACGTAGGTAACCGCGAAAGAGATTCGTCCAATTCGCGCCTCATCCGTCGCTCACGCTCCTTTTCCTCGCGATGACGGACTAAGCCACGATAAAGCACTGGGACGGACTTGAGTGGCCTAGAAGATCCTGTCTTGGGCTTTGGCTTTGACTTCGACTTTGACGCTTCTTCTTCCGAAGATGGAGAAGAAGAAGGGGGAGGATATTTCTGGCTCAGCTCTGTGCTCGTCTTTTCCTCATCTAGCCTCTCTGCCGTCCGCTGCGCAGCACGCAGCTGTGCTTCCAGCCTCGCATCCTCCCTTTCCGCCCTCATCCTCTCGCGATACTCCAACGGATCAATCTTGACGGCCTTGACATCCCGCTCCTCGGCAGCTTCCTGAAGCTTCCTCTTCTTCTCGCTCTCCATCCCAATACCGCCCCGATCCTCCTTCATGCTAATCCTGATAGGCTCCGTCTTGCCCGAGCCCTGTCCGTCTTCCGTCTTCTTCCCCAGACCGCCTCCCTTGAAGCCCATCTTGGCCATCATGGCAAGGCCCTTGCTCTTCTTGGCGCGCGCATCCTCGAGCAGGGACGTTGCCAGCGCTTTTTCTCTTGCGGCGGCTTCTTCCTGTGCGAGCTGTGCCTTGGACTTGATGATGCCGCGGGCGCGAGATTCTCGTTTGAGGCGCTCGGCGCGCTGGACGGAGGATTCTGTGGTGGGGGGAGCGTCTTGGAAGGTCATGTTCATGTAGTCATCTTCGTCGTCTTGGGCGTCTTGGGGGGACATTTTTCTGGCTGGAGGTGTGAGTGTCTGTGGTTGTTTCGTGTAGAGCCCCTTGTTCTGGTTCGACGGAGATTTCACAGTGAGTTGATCAGGGGAGAGAGGGTTATGAAGGATAAAATGAATCGGTAATGGGGGATTCTATAGAGCGGTAGAACATGTTCTCTTCATGTGAAGTTCGGTTCCGCGCATGAGCAGTGGCTTGAGGTTGAGATCCGGGGTGTGGCGTAGCAGCATTGCAACTGTGGCGCAGGAGCTGTTCTACTGTGTTTGTATTGTACTTTGGTAATCACGGTAACAACATCGTCGCCTCGACTCAGAGACTGCAAATCAGCACGAAAGCTCTTCGTCTCCAACATCAAGTATCTATACTTTGCAATACACAGCTGATGATGAGCCCAATCCGGATCTCGTATTGAGATCTGCAGACAGGCATCCCGTATCTTGTACTCTTGCCATTTCACACGCGCGAGAATACATAATGTACCTAGGTACTTGGGTTGTTGGGGCTCCCTACCTTACATACCTTACCTTGGCGAGCACAATCTGCTGCGCCACGTTGTCTTCGTATGTCCAAGTCCCTCGAACCCTGCCCTGTTCCAGGGACCAGAGACTCAGCTCGTGTTTTGACTGACACAAAGCGCTCATATTGTATGAATATGAAGAGTAGGTACCATCTCGACCTCTCTTGTTGTATGTACTCCGTATGATCCATCATCCAAGTCTCACTGTGGCCCCAGGACAGAAACCTTCAAGACAATCGAGTTCTGACTTTGCACTGAAATTGCAACACCTCTCCCCAGCCACCCGCATTTTCACGGCGGCCAGGGCGCTTCAACACTGAACAGGCCCTGCTTACGGGTCCCTCCTGCTGGAGCACCAGAGGAGACTTTTTTATTTATTTATTTTTCTATTTCTCGTATCGCGTGGCAGCATCCTGTAGGTAGTATCTGTATCTGTATCTGTACCTGTATCTGTACTGTCACTCGACCTGGTCCGAAGTGCTTCCCACTCAGCTGCCCTGCAGCTCATTGCTGCAGCCTGCATCCCGCATCCCGCCTCGTTGCCCGCATTGGCGCAAGCAAACAAGCTTATGGAGCACAGATGGGACTGGAGTGGGCAGTATTAGTACTATTGATACCAACAGCAAGGGGACCTCGTGTGCTTCAGGTAATACCAGCAGATATATGGTACCCAAGGTACAGTATGTAGGTAGGAAGGACGCATAAGCAACCTCACAAGCTGTGCTTGATGACTTGGCTGTTTACAGTAAAGCCTCAACAGGGCCTTGTCTAGGTATCTCTCTCTCCATCTTCCTTTGTGTTCCTCTTCTGTGGTTGATTTTTTTTCCCTTGTTTTTTTTTTTCAAATTTACCTCCTACGTGCTGTCCCTTGTGTATCATCGCCATACCTTGGAAGTGAGTCGCTTCTCCGCAGCGGTTGGGCCTTTGAGTCGCGCCGATTGGGGGCTGTCTGTAATAAGCCGCACTCTGCATATTCAGCTGGTACCTTGCTTTCAGTTGCCTTACGGTAGACCCTCGTGTACCCCCCCAGCAAGGCAAGGCACCGCTTCTCAGACGAACAAAAACAATCTCCCATCCCATTCAGCTTCAAACAAACAAAACAACAACGACAATAACAAGCCGTCCTTCCCCGTTCCTCAACACCGATGCGCTCACCTCTCAATTGAACATCTACATACTCGTTACGAAGCCACCAACAAAAGGGAAAACAGGAGCACAAAAAGACACACACACTCTCTCTCTCTCTTTCTTGCTTTCTCTCCTCATCATCAACAATGGGCTCCTCCAGCCTCCTCGACTCGTTTGGCGACGCCGTCAGCCAAAGCGGCCGCTCCTCCCGTCACCACCAGGCGACCGGCACCCGCCGCCACAAGAAGCGCCGCTCACACTCCCCCTCGACCTCGCGATCGCGCTCTCGAGACCGGTCCCGCGACCGGGAACGTGATCGGGATCGCTCCAGGTCTCGCTCCCGCACCCGCGGCTTCTTTGGCGGCGGCGAGGGCGGCAGCGGCCATCGCAGGAGCACCGGCTCCAGAGGTTCGTTCTTTGGCGTGGGCGGCGGCAACCACAGCCGCTCCAGCTTCTTTGGAAACAGTACGTTTTCCCTTCCTCCAGGCGCGCAAGCTATATATATATACACACATTATTATATATATATAGAGAGAGAAAAGAACACGAAGAAGAAGATAGGCTGGACAATAAACTAACAGAAATCCCAATCAACAGGCCGCCCGTCGTACTACAAACGCTCCCCCCGCGAGGGCTTCGTCCAGCGCTGCATCAAGCAGCTCAAGCGCCTCCTCCGCGACCTGCAGCACTACGCCAAGCGCCACCCCTGGAAGGTCTTCTTCCTCGTCATCCTGCCCCTCGTCACCGGCGGCGCCCTGACCGCCCTGCTCGCCCGCTTCGGCCTGCGCATCCCGCCTGCCCTCGAGCGCATGCTCAGCGTCGCCAAGCGCGCCGCCACCGGCGACCCCTTTAGCGCCGTGGGCGACGCCGTGCGCATGGCGGGCGAGTACGGGCACCACGGGCAAGGCAGCTTGAACCCCAGCGCTTATGCTGCTTATGCTGGCGGCGCCGGTGGTTCTGCGATTGCGAATGGCGGCCATGCGTATGCTTCTTCTGCTTCTCGCAGCGGAGCGACGCGCGTGGAGCGAAGACGGAGCGGTGATGTCCGGTGGGAGCGTAGGGCTACCACGTATTACGACGAGAGGGACCGCGAGGGCGGCTTCATGGATGGCATTCGCAAGGGAGTGTCCAAGATGTTTTCATGACAAGGACCCCCCTGTCATGATTATGAGTGTTACGAGATCGAGATGAGGGCTGTTGGGCAGCGTGAGAGACGCCTGGATGATTTTACACGAAACTGGATACGACCTTTTTTGTTTTGTTTGTTTTGTTTTCGATTTTTTCTTTCTACCTCTCTTTTACTTGCTTTTCTCTTCTTCCCATTCTACCTTTTCATTGGGTAGTTTTATGATGTGTTACGGCTTATGACTATTTCTGTACCAAGGCAAAGCGAGCTGCTTGCACATATATTATATCCTACCTCTTGGCAGATATCTTGCGCATCTCTCTGAGCACTATCTGCCGATACGTACCATTAAATTCGACTACGAACATGCTAAAGTATTTCTGGCTTGTCCTTGATCAAACCATCTAGAAGTCCCCATGCTTATAAAATGTTTGTCTCTTGATGTAATATGCTCATCAGAGCAATTCAATTCGACTGCATAGCTAAATCCGCTATCAAACTTTCTCCTCTTCCTAGCGGAAAAAACACAGGCAACTTCTCTCTATCCGCCGTTGAAAGTCGGCAAACCTCGTGTCAAAAGTAAAACCGGCCATCCATGAAACCCTTTGAACGCTCTGTATAGTAGTAACCACCAGCGACGCTTCCAGATGGAGCCATCCATTGATCCAGAGAAATCACTGAGAAAAGGGGGGGAAGAAGAGGAATCCAGAAAATCGACATGTCTCGTCCGAACATTGAAGCCTCTCCAAGCCGTCCGAAAGTTGCTTCTGTCAACCCGTCTGCCCACCAGACCGAACCAAAGGGAAAAAAGAAATATAAAAGGGAAATGAAATGAAAAGGTGACAAATGCAATCGTCAAACAACAAAGGCAAATGTTCATACTTGTCGTCATAGGCCAATTGCTCGTCGTTATAGGTATGCACGGCTTCATGCAACTTACTGTAGGGGCATCCCAACTGATAGGTCATCACCGCAAGTTTGCAGTAAGAGAATAGATCAGATCCTCCAGCCCCTCTCATGACAACAGGCCGGCGATTGTCAATGAAGGACAAACAACTGGCGAGCTCACGGCGGCGAAAGTTTCAGTAGATCCAGAATCCATGAGGCGAGATGGGCGGTGGAAAAAGGTTTTGTTTTTGGAAAGCATGCGCTACATAGAATACATTTAAGTTCGTCAAAGCAGAGTCTCCGTCAAATCGCCGAGACCCTGCTTCGTTATTGTTCGTGCCTCTCTCATCTCCGTAGCAAAGGTTCAAGTGGCTTTGTCTTTCTCATCTTTGTTCGGTTTCCAAAACTGCATCATCCGGCCAAGCCGCTTGGTTTTGCTCTTGGACTTTTTCGACTCCGGCTCATTATCTAGAGTCACCTCCATGGAGAGCTTGCTTCTCTCGCCGTGGGAACTGCTAATGAGACGGCTGAGGCTGGCCAAGCTCGATCGCCTGCGCCCAAATGGCGCTGACATGGACACCGGACGCTGATCACGAGCAAGAGGTTGTCGCGGTCGCGGTGCGGGAATATAGCTGCTGTCACGAGTCATGGCAGAGGCGCTCGACGCAATGGACGGGACGTCGTAGTCCATCGAAATCCTGACTTCCGGTCCCGGCTCTCCCATGAGCAGAGAATGGAAGCTATCGTCAGTGACGGACGACGGCGCCGTAGAGATACGCTGGGCGTCTATCGACATTGGCGTCCGCGGAGAGGGATGGGGAGACGAGGCATAGCTAGCCGAGTAAGGGCTAAGCGGTGAAATGCCAGCACTGGGAAGAGCAAGAGGCTGATCATCCACCGGCATATCGACAGTGACAGGGAGCTGTCGCGGAGAGGGGGCCGAGGGCGCCCCGGAGTCGACGGAATCCCTGCGGCCTTGGAAGGTAGGGGCGCGGAATATGGGCATTGAAAACTCCTCTGCAATGGTTTCATCTTGGAGCGAGATCTTGAAAGCATCAGCCCGTGCTGCTTGCGAGCTGAAAGATTCTCTCTCCATGATGCCAGCGCTTCTGCGACGCATTTTCCCTAGCGCCTTGTCGCTGGGGGCGCCAAAGGCTTCTTTCGAGATAGGCCCGACAGCGGGCGGTGTCGTCTCGCCGTCGGATTCCTCGCTAGTCTCCTCGCTGGTTTCGAGCCGGGTCCTGGTGTGGCCTTTTCCGTCGTCGTCCTCTTCATCCTCTTCAAACACGTCAGCCATGGTGGAGCTGCTGCCGAATCGGTGCATGGAAGAGCGGAAATCAAAGGGAGGGAGGTCAGGGGCCGACTCGGCACGTCGGTGATAATGCATGCCTGGACCACTGAAGCCCTTGAGTCCTTGAGCGCTATGGAGGCGCCTCCTGCTACTCGGCGTGCCTGCGGCACGCTGAGCAGCCTCCCACTCCGGGTTATAGGACAAGGGGGTGTTGAAAGGACCGAGAGCGGCATCCAGGTCAATCATGGGAGAAGAGACCTCCTCTGAATGCCGCTTCGGCGGCTCGCAAGGCTCAGGTAAGGGAGGCGATTCGGTGATGCTGATGGTGGGCGGTTCAAACGAAGGTTCTCGAATGTCCCTTTCTGTTTCATCCTCTTCGTCGTCGTCAGGATGCGACACAGACGCTGGAGGCGTTGGTGGTCGAACTGCGCTTGATTTGCCACGCTTCTTGTGACCCTTCAAGGGAAGAATGGAGCCAGCCCACCCTTTGGCCTTCTTCTCCTCCTCCTTCTTCTTCTCCTTCTTCTCCTCCTTCCTTTCCTTTTTGCTCTTCTTCTTCTTCTTGTCGCCCTTTTTGCTTCCCTTCTTGTGCTTCGATGAAGGGGTTTCTGAAGTGTCTAGCGAAGACTCCGACCCACGATCAGAGCAAGAGATTCTATCAACAGGGCGAGGGGCGCATTCCGAAGAGCCGGAAGAGCTCGGCCGCCTCTTGACGGGAGATCCAGAGGCGAAGGCATCTAGGCCGAAGAAGGACCAGCGCTTGGCGGGTTTGGAGGGGGTGGACACGTTCGACTCTGTGGCGTCAGCGTCGGCGATATTGAGGAGAGCAGGAATCGAGTTTCGGCGGCGGGGAGAAGTAGGCGGCTCCTCGGTAATTTGCAGCTCCGCGGTGCGTTCCAGGATGGCGCCTGCTGTGCTGGGTCGGGACTCCTGAGGTTCACTCGCTGTTCGCGAAAGTGGAGCGGAGCCATCTCGACCATTGTTGGAAGTAACCGAGATGACGGAGGATACACTGCCAGAGACCGAATGGCCCGGTCGCGCGGTTATGGTGCTCGACGTGTCATTAGACACGAGTGAGAGGGGCCGGGGAATAAATTCCAGAGTATCCGAAAACCCAACCTTTGAACGCAGCATGGGTTTACCCATCTTCCAGGCCTCGTCGGGAGCCAGGAGCGGTGCTTTGGAGTTGCCTGCGGTCTTGTCATCTTTTCCAAGTTGGGTGGGCTCCGGCAAGGGAAACTCGAAGCCAATGAGAGGCAGATCCTCTTTTCGACCCATGATTGTAGGGCTACTGGGAGCGCTGTTTCCTTGGGGGAGAGAGCCGATGGCTGGCGGCGCGAAGAGCATGGGGAGGTCAGTTGCTGGAATAGTGGCAGACATGCCTCGGCGGTGTCCTCTGCGCGGTGGCTGTAGCGCGGGCGTCTTCAAGTCAAATTCGTTCTTTGGCGGGCTCGTGCTCATGACGGCAATCGTGCTCCCTTCGCGAAGACGGCCGCCGACAAACTCGCTGCCGCCCCTTCGATGGCCGTGGCCCATTGGACGGTTGGACGCGGCGCCGGGAGTTTGCTTGGCGGAGTTTGGAGAATGAGGCGGGCTGAGAAAAGCACGAGGGTCTGGAGGAAGAGAGGCACCCGGATTGAAGCTGAAAGCCGGCAGCGCCGCGTGTCGAGAGCCATCCACGGCTATGCTGAGGGGCCGGTGCATCTCGACGGCGGACATGGGTCGCCTCCGCTTGGCGATCGACTCGTGTGACGGTGTGGGCGGCGCTGCGGGAAACGAGAATTGAGGGTTGGGAGGAGGCAGCGCGCCATGATAAGACGCAGAGCCGCGGGCGAGAGAGGCGGTAGTCGCGTCGTCCGTGGAAGCAAGACAGTCGACAGCCCCCTCCATATTGTGGACAGGCGGAGCAACGGCTGCTCGTTCGGGGGTGTAGAGTGCGGTTGCCATCATTGCTTCCGGCCGTGATGTGGCATGAACATGGATGATGAGTGACTAGATTGAGTGATGGACCATAGAGTAGGCGTAAGTGTGCTATGGTGACTGGTGACGTCTTTTTTTTTTTTTTCTTATTTTTGGTGAAGGTTTTTCGTTTCTTGGTCGGTCGATTGCGGCTTGATTGCGTTGCTTGCTCTTCTCGTTGTCTGGAAAATAAAGTACAGATGGCGGTGATATAAAACAAGCCGAAGCAGACAAATCTCGATGAGATCCGAGTCTAGATATCAGAGAGAAAAAAATGATGAGCAGTCGGCTTCACAGACGGGCGCTGCGTCGAGCAAGGCGTTGGCGATGCGTACCAGCGAATCAACGGCGGTTCGAACGATGCGGCAAAGGCGGGAGAAGTGTCGCGAGATGAAGGATGTGTAGAGAAGAGAACAACTGCAGAGGATGAAGAAGAAGAAGAAGAGGGTAAAATGCAATGCTGGAGAAGATCAAGATCAAAAAAAATCGGGGGAAATGAGCGGACGGTCAAAACCAGCAGCAACTCGAGGCGAGCAGCGTAGCTGGAATTGCACCAAAGGTGGTTAAAGTTTCGATGGCGCGGATGGAGAATAGAGAATAGGAATGGGATCGAAGGAAAAGAAAATCTGGAGAGAGGAGAAGAAAGAGTCGGAGACGGACACAGAATATGGGGGGCGCGCTACCCAGAGGTACGGCCCAGCAGGTACCAGCCGAGAAGTCGCCCGGGATCCCTGCCTGCCGGGGCCTGGTTGTGCAAGGTACCTCGCGGTCCCCACAGCGAAATGCGGCCTAGAGGCCCTTCCAAGCCTTGGCCATCCCCAAAGCAGCGCACCCACCCCTGCGTGCCGCGTACCCTGCCCGTACTGGGTACATGCACGCTGGCAGGCGCTAACAGACGAGCATGCCAGGAACGTCGAGGTAGCGGTACTTTGGGGGTTTCTGGGCAGCTCCTCCGCCCGCAGCAAAGTGCCATCGCGTTTGCCACTGCGCCAGAGGCCCCGATTCTGGAGCAACGCCCACTGACTTGTAGCCGCTCAGCCCGCCCACACAGTGCCTTGGGCTGCAGCACGGCGCTACAGCACGCGTTACAGGCGCTGCCACAGGGCCTTGACTTTGCTGAAGGCACAGTGCCTGTGCCTTGCATTCAGCGGGCTAGAGGTAAGGTAGGTAATACGCCGAAGGACGAAAGGCATCCGGCTACAACTACATTGGTCTCTTAGTACCTAGTGCTAGATCTTACAGGTCAGAACAGCAGGTGATCGTTTCCGCTAACGCAGGCGTGCAGCTGGTGCATCTGCATCCTCAGCCGCCGACTGGGCAGAGCATTGATTGATTCATTGATCTGTCAATCGTCCCTTGTCAGCCCTCTGGTTGGCCCTTTCGCGGGTGCTGTTTGGCCGTCCAGCGGGCAGTCATGTCTCGCCTGCCTGCTACCTCAGGTGTCCAGTTGTGTTTGGCCGTGTTCGGTTCTGCTGTCTTGTACCTGTACTTGCATCCCGGGGCCTTGTGTCAGAATCATTTCTCTCATCTGCATCTTACTACACCTCACTTGGCAACCCTCCTACACGACCCCGGTTGAGACTCAGGGCAACGAGATCAGATACTAGATAGAGAGCGGCGGCTGCAAGTGGAGGCAGAATCAGCCTTCCGTTCCCAACCTAGTATTTCTGACGGCCTGAGAAGGAAAACAAGCACATCCAACAGAATCAGCGTCGCAGCGACGGAAGAAGAGAAGACAAGCGAATCCAACGGCGGAGCGTCCATCGCCTTCCCCTATCGCCATCGGCCTGCAGGTCTAGCCAGGCCACGCAGGCGGCTATCTAGTACAGATCAAGCACACTATCGATCCATGGATGCATACAAAGTGTTACGAAGAGGGCACAATCGCACATCGCCGTCGCTATTTATCCCTCGCTCGCCCTGCTCGATGCTCCCCTCGTGACCACGGGCCATCAATAAGAGGTGTGAAACAATGAGCCAACATACAGATACAGGCGAGCGCCAAGTACCTACCTTACATTCACTTCCGTACAGTGCATGCGGAGAAGCGCCCACACATCTCGATGACCTTCCCTTTTCTCTCGCTCCCTTGCCTTGGAGGCCCATCAGCTGGGGCTGACAAGACGGGAAGGGAAGGGCAGGGCAATCCTCGACTCTGGATGATTCCTTTCGATCACGAGCCCCGTCGGCAATCGACCTTCTTTGACGCAAGACGGGAGACACAAGAGTCTTGCCTTGCCTCGCCTTGCCTTGCCTTGCCTTGCCTTGCCTCTCTGCCCTACCTTACCCTACCTTGATGCATGGGAGTACTACTTGGGACACACTCGAGTCTGCAGATTCATGCGGCACACACACATGCACCAGGCTCCGCCGACAGGGGCCCAAAGGAGATACGCAGAGAGCAACTCTAGCCACAGTAGGGTGCAAGTTGCAGTCAACAATCAAAGGATGTCGTTCCTGCGCCTATCCGAGGTCGTAATCGACATTTGCTTGGTATTCGGACAATCTTAGCTGGCGCGGCTCAGCTCGCATCGGCATCCCCTTCTATTTTGCAAGTACTAGTACTACCTACTAATAAGCATAAGCATGAGTGTCTTTGCCTGTTCAGCATTACAGGTAGGTAGTAGGTACTAGGTAGGTAGTAGGTAATAAGGTAAGGTAAGGTACCTTGGGTATTATCCTCCTTTGATGAACAGATTCTGGCATTCACCTGCGTCTTATTTCTCTCCTCTTCTTTGTTTTCTTCTTCGTCTTCCATCCTCACAATTTCTCTTCCTTCCTCTTTGTACCGCCAGTACTAGCAAGATGTCAACGGGCCGCCGGCCCTTTTTCGTGTTTCATAACCTGGCTCCTGTCATCGGCTGCCAAGTGCGAGCACGCTAATACCTGTATTAGTCGTCTTCATGATGTCTACCTTGTGCTCCGTGCTATTATGTAGCGGACACTTGAATGAGCGCCTGACCCTTCCTTTGCTTTTAGGCTACGGAATATTCTTGCTGCTTGATTATTGGCGTCTGATCTGGCACTGACGGAACATGCAGGCTGACGGAAATTTCAGCCCTGCTGGGCCGAGCATAAGAAGCCCTGTTCCAGTTGTTGTGACAATTTACCGGCAAACGACGCAAACCCACTGGTTGAGGTGCCCTTGCATGGCGGGAGGCCCCCCGTGGAGGTATCCACCTCTTTGTTGTCCAGGGACCCGTAAGGTATCTTCCATCATCCGAACGTCTCCGTCCGCGCCAGGGAGAGAGAAAGCAACTTTGCGTCACAATCAAGGCGTCGGTGGGTGGCTTCTGGGTGCAGGCTTGGGATAATATAACAATGCATGTACTGGGTGGTAATAGTAAGCCGCCATTTCCAGGCATTCTCCAGGGCAACGACTTCGAGATTCCCGCTAGAAGCACAATACGCATGTACTGATGGCATGGCAGCCAGCGATTGGAAGAGCACCGGCCAAGGGGGCTCCGTATCAATGCTTCTCGTACCTGCATTGACGGGGTATCCTGTACATGCTTCGTAAAGAGAGATCGGTACAGCGGCTCTGTATGTACTCGTACACTCTCTGTGTGTGTCCCCCATCATGCAATCAGTCTCAGCCTCTCGTAATATCGTGAGCGGCAAGGGACTACGTGGCACAAAGCTTCTTCTCCCAGTCTCATGTTGGGAAAAGATTAAAGAGCCCACCGATCGCCCAGCCGATGTTTGAAGATTGACTCGGAGCCTGAAACAGGGCAAATTAAAAATAGACACGCTCAGGCCATGCTCCGTATTAAACACGTTGCCATTTTGAGGACAGCCGTGTGTCCTTTGTGCGCTCCCAATGATACAATGAGAGTCGCTTTCAAACAGCGAAGCTATGACTGCTGAATTATCTTGCCCCCTTTTATTGCTCCTCTACCTATGACGCCGGCTTTGCTGGCAAACGAAATATTTTCTGGGCGGGATCGCCCTTCTTCAGCCCGCATCACTCGAAATATACCTCCCAGGTAATAATACATAGTAACAAGGCAACTTCATAGGTAAGTATGCTAACATGTTCCCTCAGCTTCCACGGAAGCGGTAACATCGATGATACGCCCCGAAGACGCAAACGCATCCATGATATCAGCTTATTTCGAAGCACTGTCGTCTTCTCCGGCAGGGGAGTCGAGAGCCAATGTTCATCAACGCCATACATACTTCGTAGTGATGCGCAACAACAGTTCCCTCTTTCGTCTTCGTCTTTCGCGAAGAATAGGTATGAACGAAGATGCTACGAACGCCCCTGCATCTGCAGCGCAATGGAACGCGAATGCCCGGGGCCGGTTCTCATCCACTTCTGCGTTGTCACCGTGTGAATGGACGGCGCGGGCCTTTGAAAGGGTGGAACCGCTGCCGGGCCTCATTCAGCCTTTGAAAGTTGTGCCCGTATAGAGACGGCGCGCGGTATGTATTAGCTGTACAAATGAATCGGCGCAAGGGGGGCGAGGCTGCCACGTTCGAGCAGATCAAATGGTAACTACCTTAGGTAGTATCTGATGGTATTCGAGCGTCGGGCATGTGCCGTGTCGTTGATGCTGTGTAACGAACCGGACGTGTCGGGGGAGATTGCCGTTGGCCAGCTGCAGAATGGCAAGATGAAGGTTGTCTGGTACATGTAGGTACCCAGAGTCTGCTGGAATGGAGCCTGAAGATTGGCCACTACAGCGCCTGATTCCCACCGTCCAGTGCCATGTAGGTACATACAGCGTTGCCTTTTACAGTACCTACCTTAGGTACTAGGTAGGTACCTACTGTCAGGTTGCCTGTGGTGCGCGGGCTTGTCAGGTACAATCAAGATCCCCTTTGAAAGTGGAGAAGCGCTCTTCATCGCTCACCGCCTTGGCCCCGCATGTGCAAGTTAACTGGCAGAAAAAAAAAGTTCGGGAAGAGAGAGGAGAACAAAAAGCTTCATCCAGCAGAGAGAAGACCACTCGGACTACTCCAGTCAACCAGGGATCGTACAAGGCAAATTAATCCACAATGGAAGCCGCAGTTGAGAAGCCGGCTGCAAAGCCAACAAAGCCGCTTGGCATGCGCAAAAACGGTACGCGCGGTTTCCCAGCCTGGCGCTTCAATCACCACCAGCATATACTGACACCGAGTCCACAGGAATGCAATGGCATGCGCCGAAGAAGGCCTTTCGCCCGACCGCCGGTCTGTCCTCCTACGAGCAAAGGGCCAAAGAGCGAGCGGCGATGGCGCAGGTGAAGGCCAAGGAAAAGGAGATGAAGCAGGAGAAGGAAGAAGAGCGTCAGGTACGTTGGTGCTTTGCGCGCTTGGCAGAGCGATTCGCTTCTGCAGCCACCTTGCTGACGGATATGCACAGCGACGAATCCAAGCAATCAAGGACAAGCGAGCAAAGAAGGAAGAGAGGGAGAGATACGAGAAGATGGCCGAAAAGATGCACCGCAAGCGAGTGGAGAGATTGAAGCGCAAGGAGAAGCGAAACAAGCTCTTGAACTCATGAGCCGACCGGACGCCCGCGCCGAAGAACGACATTGGGATTGGGTTTGATACGTATCCTGCGACGTGTACGAGAATATTACTACTATCGGTAAAGCCCCCGGTGGAATCTCGATGCTTGCAAGAGATGCGCGCTTTGGTGTCCAGACGTGGACGACCTTGGGAGCTGCATGCAGTTGGACGGGGGCTGTGTGGCGGCGCTCTCTTCACCGCCATCGATCTGTACGATTGTCTGCAGTGGTTTGAACTTGAACCCCCCTCTTGATGCTGCAGCAAGAATGGGAACGCTGGAAGCGGGAGGTTGTGTTTGGAGGACTCTGCATCCCCAGCCTAGAACGATTCGGTATTCGGTTCGGTTCCTGCCAGACGAGACGGGGCGTTGGCTGGGGTTCTTTTCAGACTGCACCCGGGATTGCTGGAGGATGAAGTTCTGCTGCTGGGACGGACATGTCATCTTGATGTCTTCGGGCCTGCATATTACATCTTGCTGCTCATGATGGGGGGGACTTTGTCAATTTTTAGTTTCTTGGGGAAACTTGCATTTGCACGGAGTTGGGAGCACACTTGGATCAATATCTCTGAATTATACCTCCATAGCTTCACCGAAACAATGTCCATTTAAAACATTGGGCTTCCACTGGAAGTCAACCTGGACGATGATCTTCCAATCCTACTGCCGCAAAGACGCATCAATGTGCAGAAATGCCCTAAGCCTAAGTGCTTGACACCCAAACTCCAACCCTTCAAGCGCTGGATTGCATGTGAAAAGTCCAGTTGCAGTTGCAACAACATCAACATCTAGTACCCTTTGATAGGTACCTTGGAGTCTTTGTCGTCACTCGCTTGCTGCTGGGCCCCCGCCCCACTTAATTTTCCCTACCACCCAGGCTCTCATCCATTCACTTGCCGTCCCTCTACTTGGACCTACCTGGTAATATTATGGCCCAAATCCCGATCCAATGCATGCACGATGCTCGCATGGAAAAGGGGGCCCCTCTCTCCGTCGCCTCGGTCCAACCAGCGGCGATGCCGACTCAGAACCTGCCTGACCCTCCGTCAGCCCCAGCCAGGCCTGGGCGGCACCGTGTCCAGCGGTCGCTGACGGACTTTGTCGTGGGCGACAGGGTGTTCCGGGGCAGGGCGGACGATGACGAGACACCGACGACGACGACGGCGGCCGCGGCATTGCAGACTCAGCGTCAGGGACAGACGCTCAACCGGATACAGACGCACAGGATGCGGCGCTCGGTGGACGTGCCGCGCTCGGGGGCCGTGACGCCCATCATGAGCCCGATTCACAGCCGCCGCGCCAGTCTGCTGCTACCCAAGGACGGCGATGACAGGCCGGACTTTTCGCGGATCGGCAAGGAGGACAAGGACAGAGAGAAGGACAAGGCGAAGGAAAAGCGGCAAAGCGACAGAGCAAATGATAAAGCCTCGTCCAGTACCGAGTAAGGAGCTCTCCCTCCCCTCCCCCCTTTACTGAGCGCGATGTCAAAGGACACAAAAGACTAGTATTCCCCAAGTGCTGCCTTTTGACTGACTGTGAGTTCCTCAGTGAGCTGCGGCAATCCCTCGCGGAGCTCAGCAACTTCTCCGCCGAAACGACGCGACAGCTAGACCAGACGCACTATGCCCTCCTCGAGAAAACGAGCAGCCTGCAGGTCATGGTCAAGGCTCTCAAGGACCTTGCGCAGGCGTCGTGCGACCTCCAGATGGGATTCGACATGGCTGCGCAGGAGCTCGAGACAGACGTTACGAACCAGCTACGGAACATTGGGCATTTCGAATCACAACAGTCCACAATCGAGACGCTGCAGAATCGCATACACCTAGGAAGGCAGACTGCCAACAAGCTGGCAGCGCGGGTGGATGTGGTGCGCAGACAAATCGAGGGCTGGGAGCGCGCCGACAGGGCATGGCAGGAGAAGACGCGCAAGCGGCTGAGAATCACCTGGGCGGCTCTGTTGTCCATTGTCTGCCTCATCGGTCTTCTCTTCGTGTCCTTCAGTTACCATGCCCGCGGCGCTGCACCGGGCGACTCAATAGGCTCGTGGAGGAACACCACGCCCGGGCTTCAAGGCCTCAATCAGGACCTTGCGGTAAATAGCCACGGCGAAGAACCGGAGGCGACCCGAGCTTGGGATGTACCACCAGCTGACGACGAGCCGTTGCGGATATTTGACGAGCTATGACCGAGCCAACGGCGACGGCGAATCATCAGAACAAAACATGTCAACACTGTAAGGAAGCGCAACAAGACGAGGTCTCCCTGCGAGGTCGCAAAGTCATGGCCGCCGCCGCTACACACATGCGCATTCGTTGTGCAGCACCGGATTTGACAGGGCCAAGTGGGATTGCATCAATGCCTAGCTCAGGACAGAAACCGCTCATTACCTAGGCACGAGACCATTTGTCGGCGTCACCGAGCTTGGCCCAACCGCCAGCCGTGGTAGCATTCTGCGGAGGTGGGCTTGTAGCACTGCCTCTGGGTAACACGCGTATGCGGTGCCAGACGTACTATCGTCAGGTCAATATGGCATATTGTGCATAAGTCATACTTACAGCTGGTGGTAAGAATGCAAGAAAAGAAAAGAAGAAGAAGAAGAAGAAGAAGAAGGAAGAAAGAAGAAGAAAAAAAAGAGCTGTATCAATAGAAGCTTCACAGAATCTTTCAACCTTGATGCCAGTCTGTTATAATGCGGTTGGTAGTTGCAGTCAAGAAGTTGCAGATAGATTACTAGGCAATTGTTTACTGGTATATTCGTATGACGCCTGAGGAATCTCTTAAGTGCAGTACAAAGGCACCCCTGTTATAATCTCCCTAGGTACCTTCCTAGGTAGATTACCCCACATTGAACGGAAATAGAAGCATATGGTAAGACTACTTGACTACCTAGGTAGGTAGATATATATTGCGATACTGGCAGATACTTGATTCTATACGTGTAGAATTTCAAGACAGTAGATACCTACCTATAGGTTGTGATAGCAATTAAAAGATCAATCACTTCTGGTATTTACTTAGGTACCTTATATACCTATGTAGCAAGTAATAGCCATGGTAGAACAAGGGCGCTAGTTACCTCAAAGCTGGGGTGCTAGCTAGTCACTCCCATTACGAAGAAGCATTCACTCACTCCAAAGCCTTCCAAGTTTCAAGTCCGCCTCCCTTCCCCCCCAACAGAGTTCTCAACAACAACAACAACAACAGTCTCTATCGCGGGAGAATCTTGATATAATGGCATCGCCTGACTTGTCAATTTCCACTTCCCCTACCTCGCTGGCATCGTATGAGGAGGAGCCGCCGCCGCCGACCTTCCAGTTCACAACCATCAAAGAGCTCTCCCTGGTGGCTAGGCAGGTTTCTGGAGATTATCTGGTTGTTCAAAGTAAGTATCTACTTCCAGCTACATTTCTAGGATATTCTATACTAATAATCAGATGTTTCTCCTACCAATTTCGAGGAAATCATCAACCAGGAACGTCGTCCATTCCGCATACGCCGTTACCATGCCGATAAGCAGATTCTAATCATCACAATTCCTACTGCCCTACATGAAGCGCTCCATATCGGCATCTATCGGAGATTTGACCATCGGCTTGGGCCAGAAGCGATGGAGATCTGGAGATCAATCGGCAGTACCACCTTTCGACCACAAGGTCACCCTGGAGGTGATGGTGGTGAAGGTGACTCCTGTGGTGGGCCAATACCAGCACGCAATCATAAACTTGCCTGGCCAACCTTAGTCGTCGAGGCAGGGGATTCTGAATCCCTGACTGCGTTACGAGACGATATGAGGTGGTGGTTTACTGCATCAGACCACCAAGTAAAGATTGTCCTCTTAAGCAAGTTCGACCACCAGCGTCAACAGATCATCATCGAGAGATGGGAAGAAGACAGCCAGACTCGCCCTGGCGCCACGACAACTAGAAGGGCAGCAGCTGTTGGCGCCGTTCAGCCCGTGTTACGACAGAGTATCACGATAACAAGGGATGCAGCTACCGATTCGTATCAAGTCGTTAGAAGCGCCTTGGTGCTTTCGTTCCGGCTTCTGTTCCTAAGGGAACCAGGTCCCCAAGAAGGAGATTTCGTCATGAGCATCGCAGATCTGCAGGCTTTTGCACGACGTGTCTGGGCGGTCGTTTGAGACCTCCGGTAATACTATATAGCCCTGGAATTAGCAATACTTGGATCAAGGCAAGCCTTCTACTACTACCTAGTAGTAGTATTTCACCTTGACAGACTTGGGTACTCAGTGGCCATGTGCGTAATCGGACGGATTGTTTAGATGGCATGGAAGATGTCATCAAATGTTTCGAGTTAAGCCACCCTAAAATCAGCAAGCAAGTACGACTTCGAAATGCCTGCCTGCAGCCATTTCTCCTAGTTCAGATTGCAATTGCAAGGGAAATGACTGCGCCATCTTTGCGATATGAAAGACAACGTACTACGAGTAGTACACGATTGCCTAGTAGGTAATTCATACCTTACGAGTATGTTTCGACCTTGGCGGTGATGTCATCCTGAAGCCCATGCGCCTATTTTCTGCTTCTCATTTCTCTTCCCCCACTTTCAATGAATCCTACCTACCTCAGTAGATAGATAGATACTACCAAGGCACTTGTCAAGTATGTATGATCTACATTCTGCCTGGAGAAGAAAGAGAAACGACATGCAAGACCCAAGGGATCACGCCTCTGACCTGTGGGAATCACTAAAGGGATTTACATCCTTCTCCCTTCGGCGATCGGTCGGTCTTGCGGCTGAGGAGGGGCCGAACAGTGAATACCTAGGTAAATTGCAAAGAAAAAGAAAAAAAAAAAAAGGAAAAAGAAAAACAGAAAGAGAGGGTGGGAGTGGCTTGGATGCTGCAGTCCAACGTCATCTGAGTTACAAGGACCAGGGCCTGAATCGGTACCTACTTCCATACTACTAAGTAGGTAGTATATGAGTGCTGTAAACTGCCAAACTGCCTGTAGGTAATATGTACTACTTCTGAAGTAAGTTGCTCTGTACTGTACCTTACTACCTGGCTCCATTGGTAGCACACGACTAGTACTACCTACCTACCTACTTGCTACATAACGAGCTTGGCAGTGATATAATATTGGGGCGGAGCAGGGCTGCGGATTCCAGCTGCTTTGGTCATCCTGTAGCCTGTGATGTTTTCTTCCTCCCTCTGTCTTTTCCCATCATCATCGCGTCGTCTTATACTCGCAGTCGGCCACAATCGTGTGCCCCTCGTCACTCTCTTCATTCTCTGCTGTCTCGTCTTCGTTGCGCGAGAGAGATCTAGACCAAGGTACCTAGACAGAAACTGCGCCTTCTCGGTTATCCCCGCGTCATCGAAAGTCGCAATCCAGATCCAAGGAGCTTCTGCTGCTTGCGCGCCCTGCTATAGTGCTTTTCCTGCTCCGTACCTAGTAGCAGGCTTACTACCTACCTACCTACCTACAGGTACTGCAGACAGGTCCATACAGCACTACCTTGCTTCGTACATTCCATACTAGGTAGGTACCTACTGTAAAGCGACGACCCTACTGTACGCCGTTATTCCATACCTACCTTACCTTACCTACCCCGCCAACGAGATTCAGCCGGTTTCCGTCCATCATCCAAAAGCGCCGCCACTTGCTGTCTGTCTGAGTGTCTGTCTGACCTTTTAGGACCTGCGGTTGTTCATTGACGTTCCTCCTACCGGGGATCGCCTCTCTGTCTCTGTTGCCGGACTTCACTTCGTTGGCCATGCCAGTCCCCGAACAGCAAGTGCCCGATGGCGGCGCTGCTGTGACGCTGCCGATTCGCGCCAATGGCTCGAACACGGCGCCGGCTTCGAGCAATGCGCTGACGGGCAAGCAAGAGCACTGTGCGTTGTCTCCCCCGTTGTTGATGATCTTGATGCGAAAGTTGTCCTCGACCTACAGCTAGATCCAGAGCTGACCAAGGCACTCCCTTCAACAGACCTCAAGAGAGAGCTCATATCCGACCAGGTCAAGTGGGAGATCAACGAGCTCAACTCGCCGACGGCTCTGCAGCGCTTCGGCGCGCCGTTCAAGTCAGAGCAGGGCGAGGTCCCTCCCCAAGAGTCCGAGCTGCCGATCCTACGATACATCTTTGTCCACCATGTTCGCGATTTCCCGTTTCTCGACAAGGCCAGGGAGAAGGAGTTTTGGCAGGACAAGCTCCAAGTCGTACGTTATCACGCTGGCGTCTCTGTCTGCGGGGGTTCGTTTGACGCTGACGCGCACAGGGCAGTTTCTCGAGTCGTTTGCCACGAAGCAGATTTCCTCGTCCGAAGACCGTCTGGAAGAGACGAAGCGCCGGAAGCTGGCCATCAAGGCGCAGAAGCTGGTCGAGCTCATGATGGTCTCGGGTATCCCCACCTCGTCCGGCTTCGAAGAGCGCATCAAGTTCTCCGAACTCGAAATCGTGGACAGCAACGCCATCGACAGGGGCGTCATGAACACTCTCCCTGAAGGCAACTACATCAACGGCTGGGATGTCAATGTCGCCGGTGTCCGCGTCACCTCCGTCAAGCGCAACATCAGGTATCACAAACACGCAGAGTTCATCCTGCGCATCAAGCGAAAGGGCGAGCTGGAGCACTTTGTCGGTCGGCGGTATGGCGACTTTAGTAGATTGCACCGAAGGCTGCGCGCCGAGCTACCTGGAAGGGTGTTGCCTGCGTTGCCGAAGAAGAACAAGTCTGACACGAGAATGAGCGGGCTGCTACCGTCATTTTCCGGCGCGGGGGATGACTCCGATGCCTCATCTGTTTCTTCCATGTCCACTCGGAGAACGAGGATGTCGCAGAATTTGAGCGCCTCAGGGGGGCTGCTGTCTCCCAAGGGTGAGTACACGACCCGGAACAGTGCTCATACGAGCAAGAGTCAGCTCTGAGGGATCGTTGACTAACCGGCACGATAGTTACGCATGGCCATGGATCGATAAGGTCAAGAAAATCAAGTCGCTCGAGGAAGGTAGCTTCGCCTCGACCATCAGTCGACGGCCATGCAAGCTCTGGAGCGGCGACTCCTGACGCGAACAAGGAGGTGAGTATCTACCCATGTTTGGGTTTAAAGAAACTGATCAATGCTGACACGAACATATAGATTGTCCTTTGGCGAGAGAATCAACGAGTCTCACTCCGTGCTTTTCTACGATCTCTTCTCCACAACCCTCAGATTGCAAACACCAAGGCCATGTCGGATTTCTTGAGTGGCGACCCCATCACACCGACAGACGAGGATGTGGAAGACATCTCGAGGCGCAAAGCACTTGACGAGAAGCGCATGGAGGAGCAGAAGGAGTTTTACGAAATTGCTCGGAGGCGTGCTGCTGAACTGGATGAGTATATGGAATCGTGAGTCTCTCCGGCTCCACCCCCCTTTCTGATCGAATCTTCTGACGGTGATACATCTTAGGTTCCGGCGGGACATTGTCGAACGAAATGGCCTTACACTACTGTTCAAGGAGATCAAAGAAAAGGAGACGATTGGCGATCTCAGCATTCAGTATCGCAAATTTGCCGAGTGGCTCAGGATCGAAATCGCGGCCGTCATATACCATCTTTTCCTGGCCGAAGACAATTCGGCCGACTTGTTTGCCCAAGCGAAGCGCATCCATTCCCTGATTCCGTACTCCGTCGTCAAAAACGTCATCCGAATTGCGAACCCTGCAGCTGTCATGTCAGGCATTCTGGACATATTCCTCGCTCAGCCTTTTGGGACTCGGTCCCTCATGCAGCGAATGTTTTCACTGGCATTGCATGATGGTATTCGCAGCTTCCAGAGGTCCATCGACGCACTGGACGCTAAGATTGGCGATCCTGTGTTCACGGAGAAGATCAAAAAGTACACAAACGCTACCGAAGACATCAAGAGGGATATTCGTCGCCAGGCCGAAGAGGAAGACCTTGACATCATAGTGGTGATATTGAGGTCGGACCTGATTGAGCCCGAGTTGTCCGGCGAGCAGGTGCAGCGATTGTTCAACGCATACGTCGCCTTCAATAACGCCGTCGAGAACATTGACGAGGAATTGAAGCAGGGGGCCCAACTGTTTTCGTACCTCAAACAGCTTCTCAAGCTTTGCACGCGACACAGAGATAAGAGCATGCTGCTACAACTGATTGAGGAGCCCGTCACGCTGCAGCTCCTAAGAGACCTGTTCACCATCTTCTACGAGCCCCTCGTGCGGGTGTACAAGTCGGCCAACGTGTACAACAGCGTCACCGACTTTGCCGTCTTCATCGACGACATGATCAAGGTGGTTGAGAAGTGCAGAGAGGATGATGCATCCGCGGATCCGAACCAGACTGTGCAAGCGTTTATCGATTTGTGCGCGAGGCACGAGCACAACTTTTACAAGTTTGTGCACGAGATCCACACGCACGACAACGGCCTCTTTACTCAGCTTATGGAGTGGATAGAGGGCATCCTGGAGTTTCTCCGCAAGGGTCCCAAGAACGGCACGCTGAACGTCAACGCCTTGTTCGAGGGCGGCGTCAGCAGCGGCATCATTGACAAGGAAAAGGCGATTCAGGAAATCGACGCGCTCATCGCCTGGCAGGAGGCGAGGAAGAAGTGGCACAGCGACAAGACGCAGCAGAAGATGGCCGCCGAGGGCCAGCCGGGAAGCGACATGATGCCGACGGGCTTCAGCTCGGCGGATTTCGGGCTCAACGACGAGGACCTGGAGGACCTGGCGTACGACGACGGGTCGGAGACGGAGGCGGAGGAGGAGGACGATCTGGATCCGATTGATGCCGAGAGGCAGCGGCGGGCGAAGAAGCGGGATCGGCTGAGGCGGTCGGCCGGGGAGCCGGTGAAGCCGCCGATTTCAGAGGTTCACAAGCTCAAGGAGAATTTCCTTGTCATGCTGAGGAATGTTTTGGCCGATTAGATGGGTTATTTTTGCACTTCAAGGATACAGGTCGGCGAAGAAGAGGAAGAGAAACAAGAAAGATAGAGACAGAGAAACAGAGAGTGGAGACAAAGGGTATCCTTCTTAGTTGCGCAAGCGAGGGACTTGAGTTGTGTTTATTCTTGGGTACCGATGATGGGGAGGATCGTGAGAAGCACGTACTCTTACCTCCTCAAGCTGTAGAGCAGGCGGACTTGGGTTTCGGGTGCAAGATTGGGGCATTGGTATGGATTAAGTCCTTTCCTTTTCTTTTCATGGGGATATGAAGGTCCCTTTGCAAGATGCAATGTCTTTTGTAGCTTTCGCTTGTATAGGAGCTAGAAAAAAACATATATCGTTCTCTGAAAGCGCAGCCGATGACGCAGGAAAAAAAATGTGTGTAGATGGCCTTGTCAAAACCTGATGCAACTTCGTTTCCTACCATATAACCAAAGACAGCCCAGCCTGTTCATCTCAACTTTATTCTTCGGCTATTTCCGCCTGCAACTGGACCTCTGGAGACACAAAAAAAACAGTCAGTTTCACACCTCAAACAAATAGTTATACAAAAGGGCAGATCTGCCGCCCTCCTAATGAAAACATCTCTTTTTGATAAAACTCGACACTTACGCCATAGTCGATTCGCGGAAGCTGAGATGACGTTTGCCTTGGCAAGCAACTTCTCTTCGTATCTCTCGTCGGCCTTCCCCTTGATCCGTAGCTTGTTCGGTTGAGCCTGATGTTCGACACGTTGAGCCACAAAGACGAATGCAATATATGGATCCCGATGAATTATTGACTTGGACTGGCTTGACATACCTGCATCAACACAAGGACTAATTCTTTGGGATCGGCGTTTGCGATGGCGCCGACGGTGCGGTAGCCGTTTTCCCAGAAGACGCGACTGTCAGAAAGTTGAGTTAGCATGTACATGCTTTCTATGGGATGCTTTACAACAAAAGGGACTGATGAAAAGGGAGAAAAGAGAAAAGCCGTACGCTGTTCTGCTCTTGATGAAGGGGATCTTGGCGAGGGCCAGGAGATCTGTCCTTGCGCCGGCCATGAGCCTGTCTGAAAAGTGTTCCAGCGCAGCAGCCATGACACTAGTATACCCCCCCAGACTCGAGTCAGTCTACGAATATATTTCAAAAGAGAAGCAACAGCTAAATGGTTGGTTTCTCACCCCCATCCCATCTGTTCGCAAAACTTAATCATGCCGGCCGCAAAGCCCTGACATGTCTGTGCAAGGGTCTGAACGGAGCCTCGAGGCGAATCGTACTTGCGAGCGACGACGTGTATGGGCATCTCATTGCACAAGTCTCGTAGTTGAAGGGCAAGGTAGAATCGACGGTATACGCGCGCCAACTCCTTCTCTTCGGGCGTACTCTCCTTAAGAGGCACGCCACGAGCGCTTATCATGTCAATTAGTACGGTGTCATGGAGAGGAAAAGGGACTCGTGAAGATGTGACTCACAATTTGAGCACGTCTGTTGGTTTGATCCCCAGGAAACGAAGGACTCTGAGCCCACTTTCGTCCAAAGCATCCATTTCGTTGCGGAATACTTGCCAATTGACGACTATGCCAAAATCCTGGACGGGTGTAAAGACGTAGAGGATGTGCATCTCGCCATCCATCACAAACGCTTTGAGCGTCTTCGTAAGCTCGGCGTGTATGAAGACCCCATCGTAGGGATCAACCGAGGAGGCAACTATGGCTCTGCCCAGCTGCGTAGCAGTGAAGCTTGAATAAGAGTCGTTGACAATCAGGCCCAGGTCGTGTATCTCCTCCAGCCCCGACCTGAGACAGGTTTCCACAAACTCTCGATCGTGAGTATAGCTGATGAGGGACTTTGAAAAGTAGTCGAGGAGGGAATCGTGGCTATTCGCCAAGCGCACGGAGATGACCTCCAGAATAGCCCTTGCTCATATGTCAGCGGGCGTCACGCTCGTCGAGCGGATCAAGACATTGTCTCACCGTTGTACCCGCTTGTTCTCGGTGTTGAGACAGCTGGCAATCTCTGGAATATCCGCATACATGAGATCTAAGACCTGCTCCAGGTCGTCTTGGCGACAGCACAAGTATGTCTCACCAACAGGTGACTTGCCCTGCCTTCCGGCGCGGCCTCTCATCTGCCGCAACATGGAAGGGCCGACATACTCGCGGCCCATCCTTGCATTATGCAGTATTACCCTTCGAGCAGGCCTGGTGTGTCGCGGTTAGTTGACCTGGGCTTGCGGCGGCAACGGTTCTTGAAGGGATGCGCACAGATTGATTCCAGCCGCCAAACTACAAGTGGCAACGCACACCAGAAGCGTGCCGGCATCGTACGCTTCGGCGATGAGATCTCGCTCCTCGCTCGTTAGGCCGGCCTATTCAGATGGGTCAGCATGTACCTGCTATGGATGGTCACACTGCACACACATCTAGAAGCCAATAGTTAGCATCCGCAATTTCGCCGCCACAAGGCAAGAGACGTACGATGAAACGCGACACCTGACAGCACGGTCTCTTCTAACACGGGATCAGCCCCGGTGCTGAGACTGCGCAGTTCGCTCAGGAGATCCATCCGCTTGTCCATGGTTGCGCTGTCCAGATCATGCGGCTGAGGCATCACTCGGCTGATAAGACGAGCATCAGACTCGCAGATGCTTCGGCTACCGGCGAAAATCAACGAGCCGTAGCCCATCATGGCAGTCTCGTAGGCCAGAGACACCACCGCATTCAGAACCGGGTCGCGGAATTCTTTGTGGTCAGATGCTTCAATATGTCTTGTGGGTATGACTTGACCTTGGGATATCTCCTCGACTTTTATATGTTTGTGCGCCGTAGCGCCGTTGGTCCCGATGTGGTAGACTTTCCCTTCGCAAACCAAGTGCTCTTCGATCGGTATTGGCCTATATCTGGTTTCATAAGAATGTGCGTTGAGCCACTGCGCGACCAGATTCGCATTCTAGAAGACATCAGACACAGTAAATGAAGCCATAATGGCTGAGACGTAGAACATACGGGTAAAGTAGCACTCATGCCAATGATCTGAATGGGCTGCTCCAAGCTCAGCAGTTTGGTTGCAATCAGCTCTAGAAGGTATCCGCGGTGGTCATCGTCAATCATGTGAAGCTCATCGAGGACTACGGCTCGCAGCTGGGATATTGATGAGTCTTCAATGGCGGTGTTGATGAGCATGTTCGCCTGAGACATGAGGGTCTGTTAGATATCACGAAATGACACGGATCGGGCCAGAAAAGGCGAGTCAAACCTTTTCCAGAGTGCATATGCCAATGTCAAAGTCCTGCCATGTGGACCTGATCTTGCCGCCGCCAAAAAAGCCGACGACCCTGAGCGAACCGTGATCTGGGCGAAGCCGCCATATGCTGTTGGCTTTTTGCTTCTCCAACACTCCAGGATCAATATTCGGGGCGAGCCCCTGAACGACCGTACGAAGCCAGCGAACCTTTTCCTGCACAAGGGCAACGTAGGGGAGGATAAGGAGGGCTTTGGTCTCGGGCTCTTCGATTATCCTTCTGAGCATGAGCACTGGGGCAAACATCAGCTGCTTGACACCTCATGGGAGTACTGTGGATACGACAAGATGGCTCACAATCAGCAACTAGCGACTTTCCCCCGCCGGTGGGAGCACAGTAAACCAAGTTCTTATCACCTGTGAGCAAGCCTGGTCCTTTGAGGCAGCTCTTCTGCCATGGGTATATTTGCTTAATGCCAAGGGAAGCAAAGTTATGGACAAGTTGAGGCGGGAGTTTATATACTGGATGGGCAAGGCTGAGCTCGGGGTCTATGGAAGAGGACGGCGTGGCGGCAAATATGCGCCGCTGGGTATACTCGGAAGCATCTTCGGAGGCATTGGCCGTGACGATTCTGCTGGCAGAGAGTCTGGGCGCGGTTTGGGGAAGATAGAGGGCCTTTTGGAAGCGGACGGGGCCTTGGGAGGCTGAAGCGGGAGCAAAGCCCAAGCCGGAGCCAGAGCCGAAGCCAGAGCCATAGCCAGAGCCCGATCCAAAAGGCGAGTCTTTTCTTTCCGCATCATCGAGGCTCGTAGACCAGTCCCTCTTCTGCCCAGCCACTGATGGCGGTCCGAAAGCTGCTGCCTGCCGCTCATGGGCTTCCTGGACGCTCGTCTTGTGCAAGATGCCCCTCATGCTCTCCATGATTGCGGAGAGGCAGGCGGCAAAGCACCTACAGAGGAGGGAGGGTCATCTAGATACGCGATAGACAGGATAATGAGAGAAAGGAGAGAGAGAAAAAAGGATGGAAACAAACGAGCAGACAAGATGAAAGAAAGAAAAGCAGAGAGCGAAGAGTGCATCAGTCAGCAAGCAATGTGTATCCGATTCTATGGGCTCTATGAGCTGAACGAGCATCGTGTGTGTTGGGTGGAGAAGCGCGTTTGTTAGGCAGATGCGCATCTCGGCAGTGATTCGCAGTGGGCTTGGACACGCGAGGTCACGTGCCTGGCCGAGACCTTGATAGAGCCACCACACCGTCTGTTGTGAGCAAAGTAGTTGCCCACCAACCGTTGCGTGAGAGAGTACAACTTCAACTAGGTACTTTGTACCTACTGATGTGGAAGCAGGCAAGAGCAATTACCTACCTATGTACAGCCAGTTGGTGATTGCTGCCCAGTCGCATTACAACAGCGACTTCCTCCATTTGAGCATCATGTTTTGCTTCCCCCTTCTCACAGCAAATCTATCTTCTTCCACTTCCATTGCGATCCTGCGCCTCATGGCACGTCGCTTCAGGTCGGCGTGCCTAATCTACCTAGGTAACAGTGTTCATACTACCTACCGCTAATTACCCTACAAGGCACAAAGGACCGGATACAGCGCGAGTGCAACAGACAAGCCCGATTTGCAATGCCCCGCGGCCTGTCATTGGCTACCTCAATTCCCCCTTCCAGAATCCATCCGGCGTTACTTCGCACAACAACCTGCATGAATCGACGAAGGGGCATCGATGCCTAGAAACAGCACTGCTGTTTGATGGGCGCGGCCACAAAGACACCGCCCAATATCTAGGGCTTCTTCGCGCCGGTATATCCCGCCCGTATTCGGTGCGCGGTAACGTGATTTGGGGGACGAACCTGCAGAGAGTCTGCCTTGCTCCGGCTCTCCCCCTGTGAGACGCCGCTCACCAGACAGCAGCCGCGTTCGCTGTTGGATGCGCGCAATGCCGAACCTATGCTGACGAAGAGCAGAAAAAAAAAAACGACCTGTTACTACTCGTCTGCATCTTCACGCCGATTCCCACAGGCCAAAGCTTGGCTCTGACCTTAGCATTTGACGCCATCACGCCTGGAAACTCTCTGCCCCGGGCTCCTGTCCATGGTGGCGCTCTGCAGCCCCACACAGCCGATCCGGCGGGTTCTTTGTTGTTTTAGAGCCTTGAGCCCGACCGACTGAAAAAATCACATCACCTTTCATTCGTCCTATCCGACCGACCGACCCTGTGACGTCGTGGCCACAACGTTCCGGATGCGCTACTTAAAGGACGAGGCAGACAAGTGCGGCAAACTGCCAAAAGAAGTCCGTCCTTACCCCGGCAGGAGAGGTTGTGCTTGCTACTTGCTTGCTGCTGCTGGCTGAGTCTCGTCGGTGCATGCAATTGCTGGCACGACTGTGGTTGACGGATACAGATGCATTGAGCAAGTCGGTACCTATCAGACTAGGTACCTACTAGGTACTCTGCACTAACCCTGCGCTCTTGTAGAAAACGGAGTCCTCGATCGAAGGCGCATGTAGGTAGGTACCTGGCGCTTGTACCTCCTGCGCTTGTACCGACTGTACTCCTGTACCTCCCCAAACAATTGCTACCGGCATGGCGCGCATGCCAACTGCAAGGGCTCGCTCTGTCGAACACGCCGCCAATTTCCCCCCGCGGCTGCGGTGCTGGCTGTCCTGACTCTGTTTTGCCTCATTGCCGTGGCCTTGTGCTTCAGTCGCCGTCGTATTACAAGCATCTGACTTGGGTGTCTGGGTGCCAAACGCGACAGCAAACAATGGCCTGCGAGAGTAACACATGCGTGGTGGAGTACGTCATCGGCAGAAAGACGAGCAGAGCGAAGGGGGCGGTCGAGGGCGCCAAAGAAGTGCTGCTGCTGCTGGGTGCTGCTGGGACGTCCGAAGAGACGGTTGGAAGCCCACATCAAGCTCGCGTTATGCCCGGAGATCCTACATGCTGTAGAGGTATTATGAGGGGGGGGGGGGGGGGGGGGCGACAGGACGGGGAAAGGCAGACGTGTCAAATGTCTGGTCAAACAACCTGCCAGCTCAACTCCCCGACAATTCCAGGAACCTGCTGGACACGCAGGAGCCGCAGGCAAAACAACCAGCCATGGTCTGTTTCATCTACGACTCGCCCCGACAACCACCCTTTGACAGCCGGAGAAAATAAGATGGCTAAACTGAGCATCCCCAAAATATCAAAGCAAAAGCGCAGCAAACACATGTTGATGAGGCGTGCTTACACAAACCCGTCGCCCCTCATGGCGCAGAGCAGTCTTACTGCCACCAAGCTCGAGATTACATACTTCGCAAGGTAGTGAGGTAGGTGGTATTATACGTAGGTAGGTAGGTAGGTAGGTAGGTAGGTAGGTGCAGGCTGTATACCTACTGGTAGACAACTACCTAGTAGTACTCGGTAGAGTACCTACACGGATCGCTCAAGGGCAGATCAAGGTTCCATTACCGCGACCACTTGAGAGCGCCACCGAGCCTACCTTAGCATCGACTGGATCCCGCCTCGCAATGACTGTAAAGTACCGGCCATCAGAGGCAGCGCAGCCCTGGGCGGCGGCTGCAATCGAATGCCACCTCCCCGAAGGGCTCAGCTTGGCTCTCCTGGCCGCGTGCGACTTGCTTCGTACCCGTGCAGGTACCGAGAGGAAAGGCACAGAATCAGTGTGTCGTCGGTGGAGGAATTTCTGATGAACCTCTGTGGAAAAACAGATGCGGGACTTGCTCATGGGTGGCCCAAGTACCCCGGAGTAGATATAAAGTTGCTGCCATCGGCCATCAGCCTCAGCCAGGCCACTGCGCGCGGCGAGCGTGGCCCGCGGCTGTTAGCGACTACCGCCCCGCGACCTGGGCCGGTACAGCCCACCTGGACCTAGCAGGGGACGCAATCCACTTGGCGTGCGGCCCCCCCTGTTACCTTGAACGGCGGCGCCCATATGTAAGTAGGTACTGGATTCTTCACTCTCGACTGGCACTATTCACTCTTTTTTCCTCCTCAATCTCATCCAACCTTCTCCGGCCGCCGTCTTCACGTCCTTTCCTCGTCCCTATCGCGTAATTCAGTGTCCCGACTCGGCGGCCCGTTGCCTCTCCGCAGTGACAAGCCCTTTACCAATTACCCTCGCCCTCGTCTCTCGACTTTTCCCGAGCCGTTGCTCATCGCTCTCCGTTCGAATCCCACCCGGTCTGGACACTCACATCAGACGGGCATGCCTTCATCACCTTGATTTGCCTCGTTTCACGGCCACGCTGCTAATCTGCCGCCAATATGGTGCAACCAAACGTGAGTCTTTCTGTTACAACATGCGGGATTCTCTTACACGCCTGCATCTGGCACGTCGCTTTTTTTATTCCCAGTCCTTCTCGAGTGTATATGTTGAACTACCTATCCCATTTTTTTGACTCGTCGTCGCCTGTTGCTCTGACACCCACGGCAGGACTCCAAATCTGCCGAGCCTGAAGCAACCACGGCGTCGGAGCCAATGGCCAAGACGTCGCCCAGCTCAGGCGCAGCAGAGAAAGAAGCCGTCATTGACGTGGCCATGCCGTACGGGACTCGCTCCCGTAACAGGACAGCCGGTTCTCGCCCCAACTATGCCGAGGACAAGGACATTGAGATGGACATGTATGATCACTACCCTGACAAGAAAGACAGCGACGCCGGCAAGAAGTCATCGCGGCAGGTGAACGGCGCCAGCAATGGCGAGGCGCCTCGCACCAACGGCAGCTCGCGCAAGAATGCCAGCGCTGCTGCTGCCGCCGCCGCCGCCGCAGACGACTCCAAGGCGGGCTCCAGCCAGAACAGCGCCCAGGACGCAAAATCTGGCGGCACCATCCACGCATCGCAGGCGGCGTCAGGATCGGGTACGTCGCAGGCCTCACGGAAACGCAAGGCGGCGGCGAACCAAAGCGGCGGCGGCACCGCAGCAGCGTCGACTGCCACCTCGGCGGCCGCAACGCCCCCGGCCACGTCTTCGGCGGCCAAGAAGAACGCCCTCGCGGCTCAGAACCAGCTCCAAGGCCTGACGTGGGCCGAGTCCAACATGCTCACGTTTGAGACGTGCAAAGGCATGCCGGACAATGGGCGAATGGTGGCCGACGATGGCACGGTGCTGGAGGCAAATGGTAGGTAGCACGGCCGGGGGGGTTCCACCTCGAGCCTATGCGAAGCCAATTTCCAAACCCTCGCGGCGAGGCCGGGCTAACGGACAATCTGGCAGATCACGTCTATCTCGTGTGCGAGCCTCCCGGAGAGCCCTACTACCTGGGCCGCATCATGGAGTTCATGCACGCCAGCAACGACGCCGCCCGGCCGGTGGACGCGGTGCGCATCAATTGGTTCTATCGCCCCAAGGACATTGGGCGCAAGGCCAGCGACACGCGGATGGTCTTTGCCAGCATGCACTCGGACATCAGCCCCTTGACGGCCCTGCGCGGCAAGTGCCAGATCAGGCACCGGCTGGAGATTGACAACATGGACGACTACCGTCGACAGCCCGACAGCTTCTGGTTCGAGAAGCTGTACGACCGGTACATCCAGAAGAACTACGATCTGATTCCCACCCGGCTCATTGTCAACGTGCCCGAAAAGGTCAAGAAGGTGCTGGACGAGCGCTGGAAATACGTGCTAGTCGAGCAGGGGCGTGGCAAGGAGCTGACTAGCGCCGTTAAGCTCTGCAAGAGATGCAGTGGCTACTGTGCAAGGTACGTATTTGTCGACACGACCCTACATGGCGCTCTATTCGGCCTAGGGCCGGTTTATTTCTCTTCTTTTCCTGTTTTTTTTTTCTATTCTTTCTTTTCGTTCCCTTTCCCTTCTGCTTTTTGCTTTTGCCTCTCTGGCGGGCTTTTCCTCTTTCTGCTTTGTTCGGCATGTTCCTTGTCCTGTTTCGTCGCTGCCCTAGCCTGTCTCTGCCTGATGGATGCCTCTCTGCTGTTTGTGTCTCCAGCACGAACCGGCCTGTACCGGGCCTGTCCCTGGCCTCGTCGATTGGTACCTGGGGAGCCGGGCCCCTTATTGGCACGACGGCCAAGTACCTACCCGGCCAGGGCAGAGCAGACGATGGGTGCAGCGTACGGCACGGAGACACGGTACACGGTGCATGATCACCAACACCCCTTCCCTAGCCCTCCTTTGAGGGAGCAGCCCTTTTCTGGCGTCGTCTATCGGCAGGTACTCGGAACCTCCACCAGGGCCAACTGACACCCCCCTCCCATTCCATCGTCTCCGCCTTTCTGCCCCCCTCCCTGTCTTTGCCGTGCGTGCATGTGCATGCAATTTGCTGGCCTTGGTCGGACCACTGGCCGACTGTCTGCTTAGGCGCCTCGCCGTGCCAGCCAGCCAGCCAGCGCGGCGGATGGATGGATGGCTGCTGTCATCTGTCCTGCGCCCCCCCAGAGTCGTCGAGTGGCATCTGGGCCATTGTGGCATCAGCAGCAGAAACAGCAGAGCCGTGTTCCGATAGCCGTTTGGAGCTCTGTCGGATGTCACCGCTCCAGGCATGTTCGTCGCGTATCGGCTCGAGAGCTGGGCATATTGACACGACCATTCACCTCCACGCTATGCGCGCTTGCAGTACCCATCACACGAGGACACACAACACATAGCATGATGGAGATACATCCATCATTCGTTTCATGCTCTTCCCCTGTATCGATCTCTTCCGTCATGTTTTACCCAAAGCCCATAGCCCATTGCTGCCTTTGTTTTTTTTTTTTTTCTTCTCTACTTCTTTCTATTATTTAGCCCGTTTGGCTTGAGCCCCCTTTACTAACACTATTCTGAAAAGCAATGACTCAGTTGACTGCGCAGTATGTCTGCACACATACCACATGAACTGCGTCAAGCCGCCGCTGCTCAAAAAGCCCTCACGTGGGTTTGCTTGGTCCTGCGCTGCGTGCAGTCGTGCTCAGGAGCGCAAGCTGGAGGCCCGTCACACCCCTAACACGGTTGATACCGCGGATCTCGACGATGAGCCTCTGGACGAGGATGAAGACGATGTCCATGGCATCCAGACCGACAGGACAAGCCCCGCCGACGATGATGATGCGCCTCACCAGGGCACCGCGGAGCAGATTTACCAGGCTAGCCTGTGGCCGTGGCGTTATCTCGGCATGCATTGCAAGCCGGAGGATGCGCTGGATTACGATGACCGCATTTACCCGCGCGCAGGCACCCGCATTGGGCCCAGGAATCAGGCTTCTGTAGGGCCGTGGCCTGGCCAGCCCGTACAGTATGTCAAGCCTCTGGAGTTCAAAAAGGGCAGCAAGAAGGATCAGAAGCTGCTCAAGGAGCAGCAGGAGGCCGAAAGGGCTCGTCGTGTCCAGCGGCCGAAGTGGGTCCAGGATCAGCCACCCGGATACGTCGCTCGCGGCGAAGACCTGGACGAGAACGATCCCAACTGCACAGCCGTGTTGCTATGGAAGCCGCCGCCTGCGGGCGAGCCGCCCGTCGAGAAGATCAACGACTACGTTGCCGACGCCATGAGCAAGGCCAAACAACTGGACCTCCCCGAGCGTTCAACGAATCTGCGCGATGTGGCGGTGGAAACTCTGTTCCGCGAGGGCTATGATCCGTCCAAGGCTCTCTCTGCGCTTGTCAAAAAGCCCAGGGCCGAGTTCAAAGAGCCCAGCTTCACCCCCGCCGAATTGAAGAAGTTCGAAGAGGGTGTGTCGAAGTTTGGCTCCGAGTTGCATCTCGTCATGAAGCACGTCAAGACCAAGTCGCCGGGAGAGATTGTTCGGCATTACTACGTTTGGAAGAAGACGGAGCGAGGGGCGCAAGTTTGGGGCAGCTTCCCGGGCAGAAAGGGGAAGAAGCAGGCTAAACGCGAAGACGCCGCCGCTTCCAAGCTTGCCGATGACGTGGCGCACGACGACGACGACTCGGCATTTGACGCAGACAAGGCGGCACAAAAGAAGCGCAGCTTCATCTGCCAGTTTTGCAATACTACCAACGACCGACAATGGAGGCGGGCGCCGAATCCGCTGCCGGGACTGGTCAATGAGCAGGGCCTCAAGGGCTCCGGCAAAGACAAGGCCGGGAACCAATATGTCGTTGCCCTGTGCCGACGCTGCGCCGAGCTGTGGCGCCGTTATGCCATTCGATATGAGATGATCGAAGAGGTGGCCAAGAAGGTTGCACAGGCCGGTGGCCGCGCGTGGAAGCGCAAGCAGGACGAGGAGCTCCTCAAGGAGCTGCAGCTCGCACAGGAATTGGGCTATATGACGCCTGAACGAGCCCCGACGCCTTCCAAGGCCGCGCCCCCGCCCAGCGAAACGCAGGAGCCTCCCCGAAAGAAGCTCAAGTCTGCTGTCGACAAGGAGGCGGACGCAACACCGTCGGAAAGCGGTAGCACTCCCAGCGCCGTTCCGACTAAGAAGAAGGAGAAGGCGGTTGTGGAGCCGCCCGCCGCCCCCGAGATGCCAAAGCCGCGGACGCTTCCATGTGCCGTCTGCGATCAAATGGAGCCCATGGGAGACCAGCACCTATCGTGTCGAGAGTGCCGCATGACTGTTCATCGCAACTGCTACGGCGTTATTGACAACAAGGTGCAAGGAAAATGGATATGCGACATGTGTGCGAATGATAAGAGCCCGCAAGTCTCTATTGTAAGTCACATCACAAAACTCTCATCACCCCTTGTCCGCCTTCATCAGTGCTTTCCCCCCTCCCCTCTTCTCCCGACCTGTGCATCAGCCAGTGACTGACAAGATGAAAAGCAATACAAATGTGTCTTGTGCCCCGTTGAGCACACCGAGCATGACTTCGTGGAGTTGCCGAAGCTTACACATCATAAGAAGAAGATGTCCGAGAAGGATCGAGAGCGAGAAAAGCTCGAGGTTCAGCAGGCCCGCAAGGCTGCCGAGTTCTACCGCAAGAAGCAAGAGGACATGAACCGCCCCGTGAACCCTCGCGAGCCGCTCAAGCGCACCGCGGATAATAACTGGGTTCATGTCACTTGTGCTGTGTGGACTCCTGAAGTCAAGTTTGGCAACGCCAAGGCGCTGGAACCATCCGAGGGCATTCCGTCCATCCCGAGGTCCAGATACGACGAGATCTGCCAGGCCTGTAACCAGCAAGGCGGAGCCTGTGTGCCTTGCCATCACTGCCGTGCGCCTTGTAAGTTGCATTGTTTCCATTCCTTGCCATTCTCTCCCACCCCGAGGATAGATATACGCAGAGTAAGCTCGGAGACTGACTACTCTTACCTAGACCACGTTGAATGTGCCCGGCAGAAAGGTCATGTACTTGGATTTGACATTGCGCCTGTCAAAAGCTCGCGGAGAGATCAATTCAACATCGTGACGGTCAATGGCGAGAGCGGGACCATGTCTGCACTGCTGTGGTGCAAAGACCACCTGCCTACCAAGACCATTGTCCACCGGATCCACGATGTGGTCAACGAGTCGGGACTGAACGCCCTCCAGCTCTACGTCCAGAACTTCAAGCAAGCCGACCTCACCCTGACAGGAACCGTTCGCAAGGCCACCTTGATGGCGGCGGCGGCGAAGCTGTCCGGGGCTCCGATCCAGACAGGAAACCGCCGAGCATCCACGACGACGGCGCCCAACGGCACCTGGACTCAACCGCGCAACACCGAGGTGGTTGATGCTGGATCCAATGCGCAGCACCCAGGAGAGAAGGTGTGCATCACGTGCGGTATAGACGTCACCCTGAGATGGTGGCCGATAGACACGTCTCAAGAGCGGAAGCTCACCAATGGTCACCACGGGAGCATCGGGTCGGAAGCACAGAAATTTGTCGAGCAGCGGAGGTTCCAGTGTCACAAGTGCCATAAACTGCGAAAGGCTCCTCGCAGCCCGCGCCTGACGTTGCTACCGGGGCCGTCGCCTCCGCCGCCCGCGCCGCCCGAACTCCCGCGTCCTCAGCCGTTGGAGACGATGATGACGCCGGTGCCTCCCCTGAGAGGTGCAACACCGCCGGCCCCCATGGTCGATTATCGCGACGGGCGCCATGCCAGCCATCCCCTTTCGTGGCCTCAGCCGCCAAGCTCGCATGCCATGCCGCCCGTGTCAACTCCTCCGGCCATACCGGCGCCGGTCCATGCGCCTGCTCAAGTGGCAGGACATCGCCCGCCTCCGGTGACACATGCCTATCCGCCTGCGCCGCTGCCGCCGGCCAGACCAGCAGCCTACAGCGACTGGGCGCCGCATCGCCCGGGCAGCCAGCACAACTCACCTCCCCGACACCTCAACGGAGGTCCCCCGCCCCCCCTGTTGCACAGCGGTCCGCCGCCGATGTCGAATCTCTCGGCTCTCCGGCCGCCTGCCATGGCCGGTCCAACAATGCCTGGCGGCCACCAACATGGGCACTCGTATGCAAGCGGGCTTCCCCCATCACCTCGGCGCATGAGCGGGCCAACCGCTCCCGCTCCATATGTTCCCCCCCCTTTCCATGGCGGCGTGGGCCATCCTGGCCATGGGGGACCTGTCCATCCCCCGGCTCACCTCTTGAACAACGGGACACAGGCGCCGCCGCCGCCGCCGCCGCCGCGAACGGACGCATTCTCACATGGCTTACACCCCCAGCGATCGTATCCACCACCCACGCATGCAAGCCCTCCCTTGCTGAGGAATGGGCCGCCGCCTCCACCGCCGCCTGCGCATGAAGCGCCCCCGTCGTCCGCGCCAATGGCACCACGGCCTCCAGAAAGCAGACCGGCTACCGGCGCGAGCACGAACCCGTCTCTCCGCAACCTGCTTTCGTGAGACATTGGAGACATTGTTTTGTTGGGATACAGCAAGAAGTGTACGAGATGCGCCGCTTGCAAAAGAGAGATTCACATTGTTTTTTTTTGTTCTCACCTATCAAGCACTGTCTTATTGTCTATCTACACCCCTATTTTGTTTGCTCTCTTTCTGTTGAAGAGGATCGGTGTAATGGATGAGAATTACAAGGCAAGGGCACTGCTAATACAGGTTCGAGGAGCGAATGCTGTGTAGATATGGCGCAGCAGGGAAGGGTGGGGATACCTTGTGAGGTTCCTTGACTCGGAAATGAATTCTGCCGTGTGATAGATGGACGTGCCATGCGTTTTATATCGTGGTTCAGGAATAGCGAATAATGTTGCATTGTGGTGTTGGAAAGGGTCTTGTATGTTGGGTATGTATGTTCCTACCTAGTAGCACTGTATGAAGCATGAGCACGGGGTATCCATATCATCTCCAAGGGGAACTGTGATATGATGCACTGCCTCAATTGCGAATAGATTCAAGTCCTAGTGCTTCATCCTTGCTCGAGTCTGAGGTGCTCTATGAACTGGAGAAGCCCGGGCCATTCTGTCATTGAGTCTTGGTATTCTGCACCTTTATGGCAGTCATGTCTACGAGCATACCTAGGTATCTACCTTATAGATGACACGTCCACGTATTTGCTGTCAACCATTCTTGCCCACCCACAACCCATAACCTGCCATTTGGTCAGATCCTATTCTTACCGCTTTCGAACCAATCCGCTCTCTGATTCTTTTACCATCTTCCCCTCCTACATGTTGAATCCCTTCAAACAAGTCCATCATCATCCATCCTCTCAGCAAGGCTGACTTTGACCTTGACCCTGCAATGAGTGGGACCAAGTCCCCTCCTAAAAAAGCTCAGGGTGTACCTACACTAAGGTACTACTACCTAGTACCTCCTGTAGAGCACTAGATGAGTACTAGCAGTACCTCGCAACCTTTTATTTTTAGCAGCACTTTAACCACGTTCGCAACCTCTTTGGAGCTGACACAACCTCCAAACCCGCATCCACCACCACCCAAAGACAGAGAGAGAGAGAGAGCTGCCGACTCGTTGTTTCCTCCACACCTCAACACGCCCAAACTCTCTCTTTTTGTTCTGCTCCCGCTTTACAGATATCAACGGACACACTCGATTGGACAACCCTTTTTGTTGTCAGAGCAAACCATGGCGCAAATACTGGCAGACCTGTTCTATTCGTTTGGCAATTGCCTGAATTGCTTCCCGGGCTCGCCCACGCTCAAGATCAACAACCGGAGCTTCAAGATCCAGCGGCTGCTCGGCGAGGTGCGCAAAACAACACACACACACACTCTCTCTCTCTCTCTCTCACACAGCCTCAATTCCCTCCAATCTCGTTCTCATCACTCTTGCATTCCCTGCTTTCTTCAGCGATACATGTGAGCTAACACTGGTGTCGTCCAGGGCGGCTTCTCCTACGTCTACCTCGTCGAGGACACGTCCACCCACGAGCTCTTCGCCCTCAAGAAGATCCGCTGCCCCTTTGGCGCCGAGTCCGTCCAGCAGGCCATGCGCGAGGTCGACGCCTACCGCCTCTTCGACCACGTCCCGACCATCATCTCCGCCTACGACCACTGCGTCGCGACCGACCGCGGCTCTGGCGGTGGTGGCGACGACGACGCCAGCAAGACCGTCTACGTCCTGCTGCCGTACTACCGCCGCGGCAACCTCCAGGACATGATCAACGCCAACCTCGTCAACCACGGCCGCTTTCCCGAGCGGCACCTCATGATGCTGTTTCTCGGCGTGTGCAAGGCCCTGCGCGCCATGCACGAGTACCAGCCTGCGCCTGCGGAGCGCATGCAGATGGGCCGCGAGGAGGACCAGGATCATGACGACACGACGGCGGGGGCGGCAAGCGGAGGATCGCGGAGCGGGCGCAAGATGGGAACCCGGGGGAAGCGCACAGAGGAGCAGGAGCAGGGCGAGCAGGAGAGGCCGCTGATGGAGCAGGGCAGCCGGCTCGAGGGCGAGTCTGGCGGCAAGATCAAGTCCTATGCGCACCGAGACATCAAGCCAGGTAAATCCCCTCCACACAAACCGGAAGAAGAAGGAGGAGAAGGAGAAGAAAGAGAGAAAGACAAAGCTAACAGTCATCGTTTCATCCAAAAAACAGGCAACATCATGATCGACGACTCCGGCTCCATCCCCATCCTCATGGACCTCGGCTCCGTCGCCCCCTCCCCCATCCCCGTAACCTCCCAGTCCCTCGCCCTCCAGATCCAGGACCAGGCCGCCGAGCACTCCACCATGCCCTACCGCGCCCCCGAGCTCTTCGACGTCCGCACCGGCTCCGTCATCGACACGAAAACCGACATCTGGTCCCTCGGCTGCACCCTCTACGCCTGCCTCGTCGGAAAATCCCCCTTTGAGCTGCGATCCGACGAGACTGGCGGCACCCTCAGCCTCTGCGTCCTCGGCGGCGACTGGCGCTTTCCCGACGAGAACCCCGGCGGCGGCAAGGCCAAGCGCACAAACACCATCCAGGCGGCAAAGGCAAAGGCCAGCGCCGCCGCCGGTGAGTCCGGCGGCCCCGGCGGCGGGTCGTCTGGGGACGTGGCCATTAGCGAGCCCATTCGGAACCTCGTCCGGGCTTGTCTCAAGGTTGAGCCCGCTGAGCGGCCGGACATTAACGAGCTCATTACCATGGTCGAGCAGGTCATTGACGAGCTTCCCGAGGGCGACTTCACATCATGACGTTGAGTTCGCTTTTGGTTTGGGGGGGTTTCTTTCGGGGGGGTGGCATTTTCTTGGCTTGTTTATTCACGTTGGATTTGGGCATATGGATCATGATGCAATGTGAGCCTGCGCGTACTGTGTGCGTCTTTTCTGTTTCTCACTGATGGAGGAACGCTGTCTTCTACTGTTCATGACTTGTTCATATCACTGCTTTCATTATAACCGGCGTCGGCGTTATCGTGGCTTGAATAAACTGCCTGCTCGATTTCAGGGAAGCACATCGACTTAGAGAAACGAAAATGGAGGCGGATTGGGAGTATCCCACGCAACAGAGTTTATTATTGCCTCATAACGACTAACAAAAAGACTTGTGATCACCAGAGCAGCAGCTTATCAATGTTTTCTATTCACCCACTTGCTCTCCCATTCCGACATTGTCAACTGTTGATATTCATAGCACACCATAGACGCTCAATCGTCCTCGTCTTCAAGCTTTATGGAGATGCTAGGGCCAGGGCAGATACAAGAAGCGTCTGGCTCGTCCTACAGCTGCAGCTTGTATGTAGCCACCTCGAATGGTCGAAGAGTAATGTCAAACTTGCCATCCCGCAGCAAGACCTGCTCGATCTCGTCCTCCAAAATGTTGACCTTGGTGACACGCTTCACCGGATACTCGCTTTTGATCGTTGCCCGGCTGCGTCCACCCAAGGATTCGTACAGACGAATGATGACGCTTTGCCCGCTGTTGACGCGGTGGCCTTCGCGGCGGCTGACGTCCTCGTCATCATGTCCTCTCTTGATCGTGTCCAGAATGATGGAGGCAGACTCATCCCGATGGATCAACTGGATGGGGGCACTGCTGAAGGTATCAATGGCGAATTTGGGTGCCGACAACACCTTGAGGGGGTTGTTGAAGGCATATCCTGCCTTGACCGTGGTTGACGAGAGACTGCCCTTGTGAGGGAGTATGGCCCAACGAATCGAGTGGCGGCCCATATCCGCGTGCTCATCGGGGGCCTTGGGAGATCGGAGCAGGGACAGGCGCATGAGCTTGCCGGCTGTAGCGAATCCGTACTTGCTGTCGTTGAGGATTGAGACTCCGTAGTTGTGCTCCGATAAATCGGCGAACTTGTGGCAGCACACCTCAAACTTAGCCATGTCCCAACTCGTGTTGTAGTGAGTCGGCCTCTTGGTGATGCTGTATGCCGACTCATACGAAGCCTCCGTATTGACAATGTCCACGGGAAACTCCACCTTGAGGAACTTGGAGTTCTCGTGCCAGTCCACCTCAGCCTTACACTCGACCCATGACGGCTGACCCTTGAGGGCTGCTGATAGAGTAATGTAGGACTTGATGGAGCTATGCTTGCTGATCCTGATATCAGTAACAAGGGTGACGCGATGAGGCTTGATCTCGTGTACGTTCGTCTCGCCGTAGCTGAGCTCTCGGCGGGTCTCCAGATGATAGACCTCAACATCCCAGGCCTCCCAGAAGAGAGGAATATCGTCAAAGATGACGAACTTGTTGGCCTTGCCGCCCTTCTCGATCGTTTCGCGCTCGTTGACCCGGTCATACAGCGAAGTGATGCAGCCACCGTCGACAACTAGCCGGAGGTCGTCATTTTCCAAGATGAACTGACTGCCCCGCTGCTCCAGCGAAACTGCAGGCTTGTCTTCTTGCGACTTGAAGGTGCGGAGCGCAAGGAGCGGCCCTTGTCCGCAAGCAACGCCAACCTCAGTATCTGACACTTCAACAAGTTCCTTGCGGTGCCAAGGTAGGGTGTTGAGGGCAACCGACTGGCAGCCGTCGGTTTGCAATGCACTGGTGTCCAGGGCCTTGTAAATCTCCTCAAGCAGCTTGTGGCCGGTCTCAAATGTTTCCTTGTATATCTAGCCAAAGGTTTAGCATATATAAACTAACGCACAGAATCGAAGCGTTGTCGTCTCACCTTGTCAGAGTCATCGTAGCACATTTCGATTGAGCTCCCAGGAAGGCAGTCGTGGAACTGACATAAAAGCACACCTTCCCACAGGTTGTCAATCTGTTCGGTAGGGTACTTGTATGCCGAATTGTTAAGAGAGGCAAACGTGGCAAGCTGCTCCAGATCTCGCAGCAAGATTTCGGCTTTGCGGTTGTAATACTTGTTGTTTGCCTGCGTCGTGTAGGTGCCTCGGTGTAGCTCAAAGTAGAGCTCACCATACCATGTGGGAAGCTCATTGGCCTTTGGAGCGAGGCGATCAAAGAAGTCGTCGACGCTGAGGCCAAGCTTCAGCTTGGGAATGGCACCAATAGTGTTGCTGATTCCTGCAATGCGTCGAAGCTTCTCCAGGTGTTGCCAGGTTGGGCCGCCACCTCCGTCACCCTTGCCATAGACCAACAGGGACGTATTGTCAACACGAAGAGTCTTGTGTTGGGTGACGCTGCGCTTCAAGTCACCAAAATCGGCTTCAGCAGTGTATGTCTCCGACGGCGGCATGTGGCAAATGACTTGGCTTCCGTCAGGGCTCACCCACATAAAGGTCGTGTGGGGGAAATTGTTGATATTGTTCCAGCTGAGCTTCTGGGTCATGAAGCGGTCCATGCCTGCCAGGCGACAGAGTTGAGGCAGCTGACTGGAGTATCCAAAGGTGTCAGGAAGCCAAAAGGTGCGGCAGCGCGCCCCGAACTCCGCCTCGAAGAATCTCTGGCCATAGAAGAACTGGCGCACAAGCGACTCTCCGCTAGGCATATTCGTGTCGTGTTCGACCCAGCTGCCACCGATGGGATGAAACTGGCCCTCACTCACCTTTCGCCTTACGCGGTCAAAAGCCTTGGGATACAGCTGCTTCAGCCATTTGAACTGCTGAGCCTGGGAACAAGCAAAATGGGCTTCTGGGTAGCGGTCCATCAGATCACACTGACTCGACCAAGATCGAGCTACCTTGCGTCTGGTCTCTGCAAAAGGCCACAGCCAGCACGAGTCAATGTGGCAGTGTCCGATACCAAAAACAACGGGCTCTGGGCCTACTTCGTACACTCGATGGGAGTCGACATCGGGGCCAATGATCTGCTGAGCCAGCTTTCGACACTCGAGGATGGACTCCTGGTTGTTCACTTCGAACGTGTCGATGATTTTCATGGCAACAGTCAACGCTCGTCCCTGCTCTGCTGAGTTCTCTGGGAGTTCCCTGGCAGCATCGCCAATCTCCCACATGTCAAAGTAAAGACCGCGAGCAGGAACATTGACGGCGACGATATCCGCTTTGGAAAGGGTGAAATAACGATTAGGGTCAGGCGGCATAATGCTGGATTTGCCGTTCGGCGCGTTTCCGAACATTCCGTTGCAAGCCATCTCGATGTAAATGGTGTGCGGCTTGCCGTCGCGGAACGAGCGCGGTATCACCCACTCGATCCTCTCACCTCCACCGGTCAGACCTTGGAGAGGCATACCATCCTCGGTCCAGACCAGGCCCTCGTTGTTTCCGTCCCACTGGAGCTCGAGGAGCTCTTCATCAGCGATGGCCGCGGGGATAGTCAAAACGACTCTGAACCAATGAGTTGACCACGAAGGGCCGAAAGAAGCTCCGGTGTGGGTTTCTTTGAACTGTTGTGAAACCGCATGCTCAAAGGCCGGTCGTTCTTGGCCGGGAGCGCTCCAGACAGAGAGCTGCACATGAGGCTTGCCTGAGTACCTGGCATTGTAGAGATTCCTTTATGCTGCGTGTTAGCACGCAGACATTGAAAGCAGAAGAGGGAGCTCGAGAAAAGACGTACGCTAGCAGATTCACTTTATCATATTGGCCTGACTTGTAGAATGGCTCGATACGGCCCTTGAGAATGCTAGTTTTCGGGACGCCGACAGGCCGCTGCGCAAAGACAGGGTATGAAACGTTGCTCCTAATTTCGCTGCCGCCACCCATTGTCGCAACTTCGGCTGGATGTCCTGGCGCTGGCGGTGCTGATCGATTGGAGAGACGCCGAAGCTTGCCGGGCAGAGGCTGGAGACTGTCTGGAGAGAGCGAATGCTGGGGGCAATCGGAGGAGACGGGGGCGAGGTGGTCCTTCAAGTCGTCGTTGGAACTGGCAAGCTCAATTAGCGAGCCGAATTGAAATAGTATCAGCTAGAACTCCCAACAGAGAGCCCCGGGACGTCGATTCTTCGTGAAAGAGGTGAGAGGGAAGAAAGAGAAAAGTCCGCCATGCGCCAGTTTCAGTATGATATAATCGTAAGCTCTGCCCTGGGGAGACTGTCACTGCTGTGGGGTATGGGAGGGTCACCGCTTCAAGGAGTCTCGTCCCGTTTCCTAGGCGATGCAACAGCTGGAGCTCTCGGGGGCGCTAAAGGGTGGGATTCAAGCGCAGTGCGGGGGAGCTTGAACACGAGCCCCAGCCTCTCCCAGGGGTCATGCTCATGGGTGGAATGGTGCTCCTCTTTCGGTGGCAAAAGCGCGGTAATGGCTTTTGCTTGTGGTACGCACCTCATGCTTGCGATTCTATCTCGAGAGGAGAAATAGCCAAGGATTTCAAGAGCAAGACTGCAAAAGAACCAAGGATGGCAGGAGTTATTCAAAAATTGAACAAACAGAATAGGGACAGGCTCCAGGTAGACAGCGGTGGTGAAGATGACCAGACCAAAACAAGGATACTAATAGGAAGGTAAGAAGATGTTGCAGACACAACTCGGGGCCAAGCCACCCGGACTATGAATGTCTCTGAACGTACGGGATACTGAGGCAAACCAAGTATCACACCAGACTCTGCCCAGAACAAATGCTCTCCAAGGTGGAGGTGAGACAGAAGCAAAGGATGACCGGCAGCCGAGTCCAGGCTCTCTTGGATGGTGTATTACTTAATAAGGTGAGCAGTGGCAGGTATAAGAGGCGAGGGCCCGAGGCTGTCGATACCACCACAGATGATGATGATGCTGGAGGGGGAGAGAATGAAGATGATTGAAAGAGAAAGGAAGAAAAGAAAGGGAAATTGGTGAAAGCAGCAGATACCTGAAATTGAAGGCTTAGGTAGAGAGGGTTAGGTACATGTGCTTCTGCGGGAAGGAAAGCATAAGGCAACCGTCTTGCAGCTGCCCAACCAGCTCCTTCCACTTGAACTGCAGCAAGCACCAACATCGAATGCATGTATGAAGTACCGAGCAAGTATCTACCTACCGTATGGTAAGGTAATACTGCCTGAATGCTGCAGTGTCTCTCTTACCTATGGGTACCTTACTTACACCCACTGGTTTATTACCTAAGGTACTAGAACCAAACTCTCGATTCCACCAGCCAACCCTGTGATCCTACTCATTAGACAGCATTTCATTATAATCATCAACTGATTCCTACATCAACTCACTAACCATACCAACTAATGCAGCCCATCGATTGCCGCCGACAGACTGCTAAATTTACTCCATCGATTGCCGCCGCAGCGCTTCCAACGGCGCTTCAGGCACCGATCCGCCTCTGCCTGCAGTGGGGCAAAAATCACGGCCCTCGACATGGAAAAAAAAAGTGAGAATGAAACCTCCCACTTCAACCCCCAACTCGCCATCCTCACAATCTCAATGCCTCCAATCTCGCAAGTTTCTACAGGTTTCATGAAGTGGATGAGGTGACCTCGTCAAATGAACTACAATGTTACGAAACCATGCGGCCCGTGGCTTCTTGTCTCGGCCCCTCTATAGCTCATCAGCTACAGCTACAGCCACAGCCACAGCTCCAGCAGCTCTACGATGCCGTTATCCTGTAGTAGCCGCCTCGGTTCGATGTCTCACCACAACTCCCCGGCTCCAAGCTGCCGTCAAGCGAGCTAGAACAACCGTCAAGCGAGCTAGAACAACCGTCAAGCTCTCCGACTTGCCTCAGGGACCTATTCTTGCGGAGCCTCTTCCAGCCGAAGAGCAAAATGAACCGGCGTATCCAACCGTCATATCGCAGGCGCGGCGCAACATGGACAAGTTCGAGGGATGTGTTCTCCTCACAAGAGTAGGCGGCTTCTACGAGCTCTACTTTGAGCACGCTGAAGAGTACGCGCCGCTACTCAACATCAAGCTGGTTCGTAAAAAGACAACTGCCGGACACGTGCCCATGGTGAGCCCGACCCCTTGGCCCCTCCTCCCTCACTCTATCTGCCTCTATCTTGACTGAGCTCATTTCACACTGACAAGAATGTTTTAAAGGCTGGATTCCCATTCATGAACCTGGGACGCTATTTGAAAATCCTAGTGGAAGATCTGTATCGGCGCGTTGCCGTGGCTGAAGAGTTTCCCAACGACGCTCCCGAGAAGGTCAAGTCCGGAGGCCTCATGCATGACCGTCGAGTTACCCGAGTCATCACTCCCGGGACTCTCATCGACGAGGAGTTCATGGATCCCTATGTCAATAATTACATCATGGCGATTCATATCTCTCAGAGTGCTGCCGCTGGAACTACGCAGTCAACAGCAGCCTCCTCACTGGACCAAGCCTCAGATGCTGCAAGCACAGATACTGTGCCGATAGGGCTAGCATGGCTTGATCTCTCTACCGGGCAATTCTTCACGCAATCCACAACCCTTTCATCTCTACCGTCCATCATATCCCGCATAGCCCCGCGGGAGCTTGTTCTCGAGCAGTCATTCGAAGTTCGAAAAGACCATCACATCTTCACCCTGCTGACAGACGATCGGCACCTCGTCACATTTTCTCCCCATGGAAGTCTAGCAAACCTCAACGACTGGGAGCCATTCCTCGAATCAGAAATCCCCAAAGCTTCACGCGAGGCTTTCACCGAGGATGAGATCATCGCGGGTGGCCTGGTGCTGAATTATGTCGAGAACACCCTGCAGGGACTGAGCATGAAGCTTCAGCCACCACTTCGGTACGAAAACATGCAGATCATGGCCATCGACAAGAACAGCTTGAGGGCACTTGAGATCAAGCAGACTATCCGCGATGGCCGCTTGCGTGGCAGCCTTCTCCATGCCATACGCCGTACGGTCACCAAGAGCGGCGCTCGCCTGCTCAACGAATGGCTTGGCTCTCCATCAACTTCTCTGGATGTGATCGAAGCTCGACAAGACCTTGTTGCTCGCTTTATCAAAGCCGGGGATCTAAGGGACTCCTTGGTTGCTTTGCTACGACGAAGCCATGATTGCCACAGACTGATTCAAAAGTTTGCGCTGGGACGAGGTGGCCCAGATGATTTGCCCGGATTAGCAAACTCCATTCGCACAGCCGGGGACATTACTACTTTACTAAGAGAAGCAGTAGAGAAGGATCACACAGCATCTTCACCAGACTGTCTTGCTAAACTAGTCTCTCGAACCGACCTCGAGGACCCTCTCGAACTGGCACATCGGATTCAGGAGTCAATCGACGAGGAAGGCATTGCACAGCAGCAGGTGGCAGCGGCAGCCGAGGAAGCGGAACTTGCGGCCCTAGCCCGAGACGTTGTCACCTCAGAAGGCACCCCGGAGGACGCCGCAGTCTTGCTCAAGGGAAAGAAGAAGAAGCCAACCACCATCAAGGAGAGTTACGGTGAGGACAAGGAACCGTGGATCATGAAACCAGCCGCGAGCGAGGAGCTCCAGAAGCTGCACGACGGGCTCGCGTCGCTACTAGAAGACAAAAACAACCTGGGGGAGGCCCTTCGCGAGCGCTTCGGGGCCTCCACCTTGACGCTCAAGTGGGCAAAGGGAATTGGTCACATCGCTCACATCAGCGGGAAGGACGCCAAGAACCTCGCAGAGATTAAGACCGTCTCTTCGAGCCGCAGCACGCGATCCTTCCATGTCCCCGAATGGACGACCCTCGGCGTCCACATCGACCAAGCAAAAAGTCGCATCCGTCGCGAGGAGGAGCGAGTCTTCCGGGCCTTGAGGGACCAAGTAGTCAAGAACCTGATCAAGCTGCGGCGCATTGCCACCGTGCTAGACGAAATTGACATTGCGACCTCGTTTGCAAAGCTCGCCGTCGACCATGATCTTGTCCGCCCCAAGCTGAACGACTCGAGGACGCATGTCATCATGGGTGGTCGACATCCTACTGTAGAGGGCGGGCTCCTGGAGAAAGGGCGAAAGTTTACGCGCAATGACTGCGTTATCGGGCCACCTCCCAATGGCCTCCTTTGGCTGATTACCGGACCGAATATGGCCGGCAAGAGCACATTCCTTCGCCAGAATGCGCTCATTACCATCATGGCCCAGATCGGATGCTATGTTCCTGCGTCGTATGCTGAACTCGGCATTGTCGATGCGATTTTCAGTCGCGTGGGCTCGGCGGACAGCTTGTTCCATGACCAGAGCACCTTCATGGTCGAGATGCTGGAGACGGCCCACATCCTACGGCATGCCACACCGCGATCCTTTGTCATCATGGACGAGATAGGACGAGGAACGACACCCGAGGCTGGCAGGGCGATATCGTTTGCCTGCTTGCAACATCTCGTAACGGTCAACCAGTGCCGGACGCTCTTTGCGACGCATTTCCACGATGTAGCCGACATGGCGGCCGCCGAGGGCTTCTGCGATCCGCAGGCTTGCTTCGTCCGGACTTACTGCACTGATGTCAAGGAGGATAAGGATGGAGGTTTCGTCTACGTTCATAAACTACGACCGGGCGTCAACCGACAAAGTCACGCTTTGAAAGTGGCAGGCCTGGCAGGACTACCGCAACATGCAATTGACGTTGCGAGAAATGTGCTGGAAGCCACAGGGACAAGAAATGACGAAGCGGGAGATGGCAGGTCATATGATGCTGCATAGAGTTAAGGGAGAGATCACATGTATGATGGAATGGTCTTCGAGCGGAAACCTGGGGATCTTTTTGTACGTTAGCCATTTGAACATATTGTCAAACGAGTGCAATGAAGTAATGAGAAAATATAGCTTTGAGTCATAAGGTGTTGTTGAATATTTGTTTTCATCAGGAGATCAGGGTTAAAAAGCTCATGAATAGATTTATAATCATTCAAAGGCTGATAGAAGGGGAAATTGAAAATAGGGGGGGTTGAAGACTAACCTTTTGGAGATGAGCAGTCTTCCAGCCACCATCATCATCACAAGCCGACATGCACAAATTGGCCCATTCAAGGATTTCTTTCAATCGTTGACTCGCAACTTTCATTGTTCTTTTCGTGTCTCATGCAAGCATCGCATTGGTCCTAGATTCGACCAACCAATGACCTATGCACCCGTGAATTTAGATCCATAAACCGTGAAACAAACCGAATTAACCCTGAAAGCCGTCCCGTTGCCGATTGTGGTTGTTTAGTCGCTAATAGACATGTTAGCATTGGATTCCTCAAGTGAGACTCAATAAGGGGTATCACGTACAAGAGACCGCCGAAGCCCTCCTCATCCTCCTCCTCGGACTCGTCCTTCTTCTCCTCAGCGGGAGCAGCCTCAGTGGCAGCGGCAGCACCACCGGCAGCGGCAGCGGGAGCAGCAGCGGCGTAGGCCTCGGGGTTGGCGATACGGTCCTTGAGCTGCTCAATCTCGGGCCAGCTGTACTCGGTCTCGACGGCAACAGCCAGGACCTTCTTGTAGGAGTTGACAAGAGAGTGCATGACGGAGGGCAGGGTGGGGAAGTTGATGGCCAGGGAGATGGTGGCGACGGTGGTGATGGCGGTGGACAGAGCCTTGAGGAGCTGCTCCTCGCCAATGTCGAGGATGGAGGGAGGGAAGGTCTGGCCCTGGTCGTAGACCTGAGCGATACCCATACCGTAGGTGAAGGGAGAGATGTTGAGCAGGTTGAGCAGCGAGGCCTCGGAGGGGCCGACCTTGTTGCCAGCATCAATGAGCTTCAGATCGGTGGTGATTTCAATGGTACCACGGGCGATCTTGGTGGGGACACCGAGAGCCTGGAAGAAAGAGGTCTTGCCAGGCTCCATGCCGGTGTTTCCAGCAGGAACCCACACGTCGACGGGAGCGACAGCACCGGCACGGGCGGGAGCAGCGACACGGTTGGCGAGCAGCTGGTCACGGATCTCCTTGAGGTCGCCGTTGGTGAAGACGAAGCCGACGTTGCCCTTGACGAAAGGCAGGATGCGCTCGTACTCGGGAGTGTCGACGAGGAAAGTCCTGAGAGCTCGGCGAACCTAATAATTGACGGAGTTAGTCCCCCCCTCCCCTGATTGATCTGCGTCTCTGTCGAGTTCTTCTTACCATGGTGTTCTTGCCCATCAGGACAACTCCCTTACCACGAAGGGAGTGTCGGATCTCGTGCATCTGCTGAGACGAGACATTGTCAATCTCGACAATGAAGATGGACTTGTAGTCTTGGAGCAAGCCCTTGAGCTTGTCGAAGTAGCCGGCCTTGTTCGCTGATTTGCCCCCCATATCTTCTTATTTCTGAAGGCAGGTTATTTAAGGGCAAAAAGATATCCTAGAGGTATGGGGATTTTTAATTGACTCGAGGTCTTGAGGTATCGCGAAAAGAGGAAAAGAGAAGAGGCCGAGCCCGTTTTTGCGGTTTTTGCGGCCAGTGAGAAAATGTGTGTCGAACGGCTAGGGCATGTGCTCTGCTAGCCTCGTTCGGGCAAGCGGTGAGAGCTCGATTCAATTTGTCGAACAAAGATGGAAAGTGGGGTACGTACCTCATCTTCCCAGAATCCTAGCATGAGTCAGCAATCTCAAGCTTGGTGAAGGTACAACCGGAAAGTATCTTTTTCCTCTCACTCATCAGAGAGCCTTGGTGGAAAAAAAAGTTGCGATATGCGCTCGCGATTGTAGAGACGCGACACACCTTCACCGTCCAATTGAACTCTTCCCAATCAAGTCTCAGTGTTACAAAAGATCCCACTTGATTCAGCTCAGATAAGAAATGAAGATCCCCTATAACAGAGTCCACGTACAGGGGCAGATTCTCTTCGCTGCCCGCGGAGGCGCAATACACACCTTCAGTCTCACAGACGGCAGCCACATCTCATCATGGAAGCACCCCGACGTCGACAAGGTCGCGCAGTCGATCCAGGCCATCAACGAGGCCAAAGCTGAAGCTGCTCTTGCGGCGGCTGAGGCCGATACACCGGCAACTGAAAGCGAGGGCCCGCCAGCCAAGCGGCAAAAGTTGGAGGGCGACAGTGAGAACCCTTCAGTGAGCGCTCAGGCTGAAGCCGAAGCATCAACTCCCGCGACGCCCCAGAGTGGTGACAAGCCCCAGGCTGGCCATGTCGACGGCAGGGGAAAGAAGGGCAAGGGAAAGGGCAAAGAGGTTGTTGACAGTGGCAAATCCCGCTTCGCACGTGTGCCTGACCGGCCGGTCGTCACTCATCTGACGAGTACTCCGGACGGCAAGCATCTGGTGGCCATCACCGGGCACGACAAGGTCATCTGGGTGTTTGAGCACGACGGAAACGGCCAACTGAAGCAGCTCAGCAAAAGGTAAGGACACAAGTCTCATCAGAGCTCATCACTTCTGCCTCCCCTTGAGAATCACCCAAGCTGAGACGCATCACCTTCATATAGGACAATGCCGAAGCGACCAAGCGCAGTCGCAATCGGCCCAGACAACCAAATCATCAGCGGCGACAAGTTCGGCGACGTCTACGCCATCCCCCTCATCATCCCAGAAGACGGCTCAAAGTCCGCAGCATCGCTCTCATCTCTCCCCCTGCCCTCCAAGAAGGCCTTCAAGCCCACTGCCACCCCCCTCACCGTCCACTCCAAAGGCAACCGCCTCGCCCTCCTCAACCAGATCAAGCAGGCCGAGCTCGCCGCCGAAGCCCAGGCCGCCAACTCTGCAGGTCCCGATTTCGAGCTCAACCTGCTGCTGGGACACGTCTCCATGCTGACCGCCCTCGTCCTCGGCGAGCAGCAGGGCCGCAGGTATATCCTCACAGCCGACAGAGATGAGCATATCCGCGTATCCCGCTACATTCCCCACGCGCACATCATTGAGAACTTTTGCTTCGGCCACAAGGAGTTTGTCAGTGAGATGGCCATTCCCCCGTCCAAGCCAGACGTCCTCATCTCCGGAGGAGGCGACGAGGACATCTTCGTCTGGGACTGGGTCTCCGGAAAGCAACTCTACAAATCAAGCATCCTGTCTCTCGCCCGAGAAATTGCTCCTGAGACCGCAACCGTTGCCGTCTCAGGCCTATACACTCTGCTCTACCCCTCTGCAGACGGACCTCTCACATACATCCTAGCCATCTGCGAAGAGTAACCATCCCCCACCTACATTCAGGAGAAGCATCCATCAAGTTGAAATAGCTAACACGCTGCAGCATCAAAGCAATCTTCTCCTGGAAACTCAACGACTCCAACGAGCTCCACTGCCCCGGCATCATCCAGCTCCCCGGCAAACCCCTCTCCCTCGCAATCTCTCCCAGCACCAACGTCGACGACCACAGCAACGCCGCTCCCCCAACCGTCATTGCCGCCATCGATCCCGACGCGGACACCAAGGCGCAGAGCCTCCATGCGTTCCGCCTGACCATGAACAACGGCAGGCTCGCCGTGGACGTCGAGTCCTCGTTCAAGGACAAGGAGGTGGAGGCCAATGAGCCGGAGCTCACTGAAGAGGACGTCCGGGGGCTCTTGTACACTGTCGAAAGCCTACGCAAGGTGGTCACGGGTCCGGATGATGAGGCGGGCTCGGAAGCACCGCATGGAAATGCGGAGAGCGATGTAGCGGCAGATAATACCGGTGAGGGCGAGGAGTAGTTGTAAGTGAGCTCAATTCGTCCGATAAATTATCATTCAAACCTGTCTGTACCTACTTGCGTATATATAATCATGAGCCCCAAAAACAATCAGCCATAAACCCAAGTGCACAGGTCCCAAGAACAAACAGCATTCGCTTGATATCATCGTATTCATAGTCTAAGCCTGCAACAACTGATAAAAAAAAACTCGTCAAAATCGTCTATGCCCCAAACGCCCTCCAACCTAGTCATGCAGTCCAAAAAGCACCCAGCCCATGAATTGGTCGGCAGGATGGACATGCCCGCTATCATCATCTCATCTGCGTTTCCATCGCCTTTTCAGATGCCCTAGCCTTTTTGCAATTCCAGCAAAGGAAGAACCCATTCCCTCCTCGGTACGGTCTCAATGTAATTCCGGGGGAAGAAGAGAAAAAAACATGTGCTTGCAGCGGAGAGTGGAAAGACGCATTGTGTCAGTCTAACGATGACATGAAACAGCACCGCTCTTCTGCCTGCAACAAGTGTTTGCTGCCTCTGGAAACGAGGGCATCGTGGCGATTCCATGCCGCTGGCATCAGCGGGCATCCTTGATCCGCCTTCTTCTGAATCATCTTCCTTCTTCTTCTTCGTTCTCTTCGAACCCCCAGTTAGGTATATATAGCATGATACTTGACTCTATGTCTTACTGCGAGGCGCACTGGACGCGCTCGCCGCCAGGGTGGCCATCTTCGTCCTCATCTTCGCCCATAGAGTTGGGGTCGCCGAAGACCTTGGACTGAGCCTTGGTATCCAAGTCTTCCAAGTCAGCAGGCTCCGTCATGGCCTCAGGAGGGGGAACGATCTGTGACGAGGGGGGCGGCAAGAGCTTGCGAAGGGCCTCGAAAGCAGCGGGATCATCGGTCCAGTTCTTCTCGGGGAACTTGACATCGAAGCGAATGTAGAGGTTACCGTAGTCGTGATGTCTGTACGAGGGCATGCCCTGGCCGCGAATCATCTTGACCGAGTCTAGAAACATGAGTTAGCCATAATCTCATCTTGCATCAAACGACAACAAGGGGGGAAAAGAGCTTACCAGGTGCAATAGCCTCGCCGGGCAGAATCTCGACACTGAGCCATCGCTCATCCAGATGCTCAATGTAGATGGTGCCACCTGCAAGGGCAGTGACGAGCTCGATCTCGCATCGGTAGAGAAGGTCGTCTTCCTTTCGAGTGAAGCGCGGGTGAGGCTTCTGCTCGATTTCGAAGACAACGTCACCAGCCTCAACACCAGGAGCCTGATCACCCTCACCACGGAACTCGACCTTGGTGCCGCTGCGAACACCCCTGTCGACGTGGACGTGGAGAACCTTTCGGTCGACCGTTGTCTTCTTGCCATTGCACTGCTTGCAGCGATCCTTGTCCTTGATGATTTCGCCTTCACCGTTGCAGTCGGGGCAGACAGTCTGGAAGCGCTGGATCATGGGGCCCATCTGGCGCATCATGGTCTTCATACCAGCACCATTGCAGCCCGTGCACTTCTTAACGGCGCCCTCCTTGCCTCCAAGACCGTCGCACTTGGGGCAGATGATGGACCGCTGCAGCGCAAGCTTGGAGATCTTGCCTCGGTAGATGTCCTCGAGAGAGACCTTGTGGGTGTGGTGAATGGTGCGGGCCTTGGGAGGGCCGCGGTTCTGCATACCACCGAACATGCCTCCCATGCCGCCAAAGCCACCGCCGCCGAAGAACTGAGCAAACAGATCTTCAGCAGCCATGCCACCACCACCCCCAGCACCGCCCTCGAGACCTGCTTCACCATATTGATCGTAGATCTGTCGCTTCTGGGGATCGGAGAGGATCTCGTAGGCGTGCGAGATCTCCTTGAACTTCTCTTCGGCAGCGGGGTTGTGGGCGTTCTTGTCTGGAAGCTGCATGTTAGTAATTCGAACGCTTTCCCAAAGGGCAACTAGCAAGGTAGTATCGTACCAGGATGGTGTTTCAGGGCACCGATCTTGTATGCCTTCTTCAACTCCTGCTCCGTGGCATTGGGAGAGACCTAAGCGTCAAACGTGTTAGTCTTGTCATCCAGGCCAAGGCGGTGGGAGCGTTGCAGGGTCAAAACATACACCTAGGGTGTCGTAAAGCTTCGTCTCCTTTACCATGATGTCAAACTATGGTGTATCGAAAAGAAGAGTAGATCTTGTTTGCGCCCAAAAAAAGTTCAGTGATCAAGACGACAGGCGGTCGACGAGAACGCTGCTAATAAAGAGGCTCTGCAAAAGAGATATTAGTCAGAGCTAAGGAAGACAAAGGCCGTAGCAACCGAGCGGCGGTAGAAACTTCTAGGCAGCGGAAAGAGCAGGTTTCTAATGTGAAGAAGAGAGGAACTGTGCTCGAAGACCCTGTTGCAGTGCCGGCGTAGAAGAAGACGGAATTGTGCTGCCAGTGATTGCGCGGAGGGGCAAATGCTGATGATAAACGGCGTCGTTGTGGTATTTACCGTACCTGAGTAATAGCCCAGCAGGGGAAAAAAAAAAGATAGCGTGCCCAAGAAGCCGCTGCGAGGGAAACAGTGGGGCTATCCTGAGAAATTTGCGGGTTGGCGATTTCTGATTTCTGATGATTCTCTTCTTGTATGTTGTCTTGTTGCGGTGGTTCGGATGAGGCCGAGTTCTGTTCGCGCGAGCAGAAGCGCAGGTTCAGTCGATCTGGGGTGTGACTGAGTAGGAAGAGGTGAACTTTTCAAAGAAACAAAAGAGGAGAGTTGTTTCGGTCAAGGGAAGGCCGTGGTCTGGTCGCAGCAAAGGGCAGAACGGACGCTCAAAGCGCCAGAGGAGGATTAAAAGGGCGGCTGCAAGGGTTTCAAGGCTGGTGCGCCTCATGGAAGTGTATCGAAGAAAGTCGATGGTGTGGCGGTGCGCGATAACCCAAAAAGCGTGCTTCTGCGGGTACCGCCGCGTACCTGATTGTCACTGTACCTTTGGCATCAGCGCAGCCATGTGTTGTTTGATTGGAGATGGCTTCTTCCTGCAGTGTTCGTGCGTCGCTCCGTTTGCCGTCTTACCGCAGCTGCCGCAGATTATCTGGCGTAGAATCGTGTTTGCGTAGACACGGCCGTGATATCAGCTGTCATATCATCCGCAATGCGACCGTGACTCGAACAACCTGCTCCAGACGGACTTGGGTACCTTGGGCAAGGCCGCCGGCCAGAAGAGGTACTGTACCAAACGGTACGCGGCAGAAACAGCGAAGACGCTGGCAACCCCTTGGAATCCGATCGAAAAGATGACGAGGCTGCTATTGGTAGCTGTACTTGCCAGTGACTCCTCCCGCCTCTCCAATAAACTTTCCGATGCCACTGATCTCATTCTCCATCTCACATCTCAGGGTACCGGCCAGGTACTCCGCACCGGTCGCTGCATCCGTGCCTGTACCCGTGCCCGTACCTGTACCTGTTTCTCCCCCCCCCTCCCTCCGCACCTCCCAAACCTTCGAATTCGATCCGGCCATCGGCCTCTTCCATCATATTATTTCCCATTGTCATCAAGAATTAGCAGCGAATGACTCGCACGTATTCCCTCTTTCGACCACTGCTCGCACTAACACCACCTTGACAGACACACACGCAGCACCTAGAGTCGTATCTGTATCTTCATCTAGTCTACTAGTACCAGCAAAGGAGCGAAAGAACGAACCCAGCTGGCAGACAAGGATCTTCCACGCTGCTGCAAAAGAACAAAAGCGTCCAGTCCCCTTGGTTGAATTTGTACTCACCACAGCCCATCAGCAAATCACCGATCTCGCTCGGCGCAGGAAACAGACTAGGCCAGCAGCTGCTAATGCACGCTCACCAAGCTGCTTCCGATGGAAAAGGGATGGGATGGATGGGACACAGAAAAGCGAAAGCTGTGCGGGCTGGCTGACTGACGGTGCACCGCCACAGATGGATGAAGACGGGCAGGGTCTTCCCAAAAGGCCGGCACGCGCATCGGCTGGGCTGGGCTGAGCTGAAAGCGAACTCGAAATTGGACGGCCGTCTTTCATAGCCTTCTAGGACTTCGGGGGGGCTTTGTCGGAAGCGCGTGAGCTTGGAATCCCCCCTTTGGCTTTTGAAAGGCATCCTTTGTGTTACTCAGTGGCCAACAGTAGGTAGGCCCATTTGGCCTTTGTGTGCCTCCTTGCCCAAACATTCTGTGACACCTCGTGCTCATTCTAAATACGAATGTGTAAGTCGGATCGTACAAAGAAAGCAGGGCTGTGCTCATTGCACTCTTCCAAAGTCCGGCCGGACCTGGTGCCTGGAAGACAGGATACACTTCTACTCCAGACATGCAAGCCACTTGCGTCAATGGAGTTAACAAGAGCCTGGAAGCTACAGTGTCTGCGGCGTAGCAAGCCATTTAGAAAACTATATAAAAAATGTAAAAGGTAATTCATTGCTATTCTTGGGGTAAAGAAGCTTGCCCGCATAATATCTAAAGGCCTTCTAGAACAAAAACACGGTGAATGTACACTCTGCAGCTGGAAAACAAAGGCCGCAAAGAAGAGGGTGCGGAGGTATCATACGAACGAAAAGGGTGCCCAAGCCGAAGAGAAAGAAAGGAAACCCAGAAATCGAATGCCCCGTCTCGAATACAAAATGCAGCCATGATAACACACAGAAACGTCAAAGTCGTGAATGCCTTCTGCGTACTAAACTGCCTGCCGTCTATCGTGTCTGCTTTCAACTCGCCGTTACCGCTCGGCTCGTGTAGCACCGTCACACATTCCAATTAGACAACGTCTTAAAATGCATCCTCAAAGGGGCAGTCCACGCTGTCGTGGCCATCTCGCTCGCAGATCGCACACCACTTCTCAAGGTCCAGAACGCCGCTCTCCTTGCCGGCCACGGGCCCTGACTCCATGGGGTTGGGGGTGATTCTGACGGCCGGGACGGAGGCGGACTCTTCCTTGGGCAGGCCGGGGGTCAAGACAGCTGGATGGTGAATCTCGTCGCCCGTGGGAGTCAGAGGCTTGAGATCCTCGTGGGCAACCTCTCTCCGCGCCTTTTCCTTTTCCTCTTCGTCGTCATCGTCATGCGACGGCTCCTCTTCGATGTGGTCGTCAACCTTGGGCTTGGAGTTCTTGGCACTGTCGGTGCCAAACATGTTCGTGCATGTCAGGATGTCGTGACCAGCCGTCTCGCAAATCTCGCACCAGAGAGTGCTACTCTCGGTGGCGGTCGAGTAGGTGTCGCTCTCGTGCATCGTATCAAGGGTGCTCACACGCTTGTGTGACGGCTCAGGCGACCGTGGCTGGGATCGCATGGAGACGATGGTGTCCCGAGAGTCCCTGACCGAAGATCGCCGGATGGAAGCCGACTCGCGGCTCTTGCTGATGGTGCTTGAGCGCAGAAACTCAATCTCGTGCTGCAGCTCCTCCTCCCGGTGGTTCTTCTCCTTCAACATCTGCTGCAGCTCGGCAACCTGCCTCTCCAGGTTGTCTCGGGCAATCTTATTCTCGATGGCATCCTTTTCGGCGATCAATGAGCCAGGGCGCTGCCTAGGAGCATGGCCCTCGGCACCGGGTATCGAGTCTCGGCTGAGGGAGTGGATAATGGCCTTGAGGCCCCGAATCTCATCCTCTTTCTGTTCCAGGGCCTTGGCTAGCGAGCTGTCGCCATTCATGGCTGCCAGGTTATGAGGAACGACCTTCTCCTTTTCCCGTCGGAGCTCAGACCGGGTCCTCTCGACCTCGCCTCGCAGAAACTCGGCCTCTCCACGGGCCTCGGCTTCACCACGACGGGCATCTTCCAGTCCTTCCTCGAGCTCTTGAACCAGCTCCTCTAGTTGTTTGAGCTGCGCCGCTACAGAGTCAACGTCCAGGTTCCTCGACTCCAGCTCACGGATGTCCGCCATCAGCTCTTCTATACGCCTCTCGTACACCCGTTCCGTCTCTGTGCTGGCCATCTCAAGCGTGTCAATGGTGCTCCGGAAATCTGCGCGATGTGCATCAAATTCGGCGACGAGCATGGCAATCTTGTCGTTCTTTTCTCGGAGCATATGTCGAAGCTGAGTTGCATCCTTGTCATCCAGGCTGCTCCGTCTAGGTGGTCCGTCGGGGTGCTCTATCAGCGTCTGAAGTTCAGTCAGGCTACTCTCCATCTCCGCCAATGTGGCGGCTTGCTCTCTGAGTTGCCGATCTCGGTCTTCCAGCTGGGTTCGTAGTCGCTCAATTTCCTCGTCGTTCACAGTAGTAGCCCGGGACGGTGGGCGCAGCGAAAGCGACCCCAGGCTCGTGTTGCTCTTCGTTGGTAGCGGCGGCGTTGCTATCGGCCCTGGCTCTTCGTCGAAGAGCGGCTCGGGGCCCAGAGATGAAGCACTACGAGGCCCCCCGAAGCTGGGCCGCCGCTCTACCGTCTTGTTCGGATCACCCATGTGCCCGGCGATGCCACGCACGCTCTGCGTAAATTTACCCGTTGGACTTGCCAATCTCGAAGGTGCCCTCACTGCCGGTGCCGAAATCGACGGTCGAGGGCCCGGAGACATGGCCATGCGCCGCTGCGGTGAGTCAGGCCGTGCGAGCGAAGCTCGCGGCTTCTTGCCCTGTGGACTCGGTGCCCGAGCACCGGGGCCTACAGAGGAGCTGAATTTCGAAATGCCTGATGTCGGAGGCGTCAGGCTGACTGAATTGCTCTTGTGGAGCTTCAGTCCACTCGAACTGGGCGTTGGGGTCTTGGGAGACGAGTTGGAAGGCCTTCGGAGGGCCTTGGCAACGGGGACGAAGATGCCAGCACCCGCGGTGTTGGTCGTGAAGTAGGATACGCTGTGAGCCCAGACAGGCAGTTCTTGTTAGCCGTTGACTCTGTGTGCGACAGGCGGCGCCGCGGCTGCTTCTCCTTACCCATCGACATCGCCGTTATTCTTGCCCCTGGAGGCGAATTCGCTATCTAGCTCGACGCCGACGAAAGTGCCCTTCTTGCCTGCTACGGTGCCGACAAAGCGGACAGTGCCGGCCATGCCCCCGGGCACATTCACAGCGTCGCCGACGGACAGCTCCATGGCGGACGGAGTCTCAGGAGCGACGGGGCTGGTGGTTTCGGGGACCTCGTTCAGAACAGAGTCGATGGCGTAGCTCTCGCTGACATCGGGGATGCTGGCGAGAGAGCTCGGGGTCAGGGCGGCCAGCGACGTCTTGCGCAGCAGCTTCGACTGGGAGTACAGAGATGCCAGGTCCGGTGTCGACGCAGTGTTGGAGGGCCGGCGCAGCGATCGCGAGAAGTTGGACCTGGCCGGCTGGGTGGAGGTGGTTGTCGTAGACATGCCGGCAAAAATTACTGGGTACGCCTTTGGGTAGCAGCAGATTGACCTGTGGATACCGGGAGTGGCAGCGCCCCGTGGTGCTGCGGCCAGGTACCCGAGAGTACTGTACTATTACTGCGGCTGCGGCTGCGGCTGCTCGATGCGCAAAGGGTCAAAAGGGGAAGCCCCCTCGTCCAATTTCTAGATCCCTTCTAGCTGAGGTCTCGTCTCGTATTATTGCTTGCTTGGTACCTGCAACAGCTGCCGCTGTCACTGCGACCTATTTTCCGCGCTTCTAGACGGGCCGGCCGCGTGACAAGGGAGGAAATGAAGATGAGCCAGGTTAGGACACCCGAAGGCTCAGGTAGGTACCTTTTCGTACCTTGGCTGGATGGGGGGGGGAGAGCCAGAAGAGGAAATGCAATTAATGACAACTCGGGACTAAGACAATGGAGGTACTGGAAACGAATCGAAGAAGGCTGAAGCGAGAATTCGCGGAATCAGGTTGCAGGAGCGTCAGACTCTGCATAGAAGTAACAGTCGAAGTGGAAGGCAGAGGAAAGAAAAGGAAGGGAAACAGGACAGCAAGGATGGAAAGGAAAGATGTGACGGCAGATGGACGGCGCAGCAGCAGCACAGGTCAAGCAATGTGATGGATTGTTTACATGCATCCTTGATATTGCGATGCGCTGGTGAGGGGCGCAGTGAGCAGAACCTGGGAAGCCCGCAGCCAATTGATCGGGAGAGGTGCTGTTCAGGCCGTGGTGGCGCTCCACAGTTGATGCTCTCTGGTACCGTTCTGTGCGGCATCAGTCAAAAGGGGTGCACCCTCCGCTGGCTGTCGCTGATTCAGAGAGTCAGAGCCTATGTATAGCCCTTCAATACTTTCTGATTATTGGCAGATACTACTTCTTCGCATGGTTGCCACAGTTGTCATTGTTGCCTAGTTACCTAGCTGTGCGAGCTTTAGGTTGTTCTTTGCAGAGCGCAAGTCAGGAGGTTTTGGCAGTGTCGAAGCTCGACTTGCAACCTGAGCCGGATACGCTGTTTGAGTATACCTAGGGTAGGCAAGGTCAGGTAGGTAGGTAGCTGAACATAAGGTATAAACAGATACATACGTAATCGTGTTCTATAAGGCGTGAGTCATTCTGCCAATTCGTGAAAGGGAGACAACAGACAGAAGGGAAAGCAGAAAGACAGGAAGCGACTCTGTTCAGATGTTGTCCAAGGGAGAAGTGCCCTGGATTTTGCCGAAGGGCTTTGAGAATGGCCTCTGAGGTTGTAGGGAGTATCGCTATTCAATAGGTAAAATATTGCAACCCTTCAACCGAGGACTTATCTCAAGGTACCTCAAGGCTTCAACAGAAGGTATCGAGAATTATAATTGCAAAGGAGAAGGGCTGTTTCTCTGCGTCCTTCCATTGCTTACCCTGGATGGTCTCGTCTTACAGTCGAACTCATGTACTAGGTAGTCATGTATCTATAACTGACATGTGAACTCTCACATGCAAACACGGGGGGCGAAGTGATGTCTGACTGGTTCATTGCAAAATCGAACAAAAAGATGCCCCGGGCCCCTCCTTTTACACGCAGGTGTCAAGAAAATTACTCACACGAAGGGCCATCTCGTGTTGATGCAGGGTACCTATGACGCATTTCAGGTGGCTTCATCATATGCGCAGTTATGACTGTTTACCCATTCCTTATCGATAACAAAATTCCGCCTTGCCCGCCCCGCCTTGTCGAGCCACCACCATGTAAACAGCGCCGATGACTCCTGCCACAACTCCAGGCCTAATTTTTCCCCTCCACCCCTCGGATGAAGATTGTTTTGGCTGCATTCAGGTCTCTCCGACCCCTTCGGCCACTGTCGCAACTACAAAGACCACGAATTGCGACTCCTCTTTACCTCAGAATCCCCTCCTATCACTCACAGACACCGCCTGTCGAAATGGCTCCCAAGACGAGGTTCGAGCTCAAGACCGCCAAGGGCACCAAGGATTGTAAGTTGTGACTCTTTTCAGGAGAATCGAGAATCGCAAATGAACTCCAAGCTTACTTACCCCACGGGAGTGGCAAGGACATGGTCATCCGAGACAAGATCTTCAGCACCATCACCGAAGTCTTCAAGCGCCACGGCGGAGTCACCATTGACACTCCCGTCTTCGAGCTCAAGGAAATCTTGGCTGGCAAATATGGCGAGGACAGCAAGCTCATCTACGACCTCGCCGACCAGGGCGGTGAGCTGTGCTCGCTGAGATACGACCTGACGGTCCCCTTTGCCCGTTTCCTGGCGATGAACAAGGACATTCAGAACATCAAGCGCTACCACATCGCAAAGGTCTACCGCCGAGACCAGCCTGCCATGACCAAGGGCAGGATGCGAGAGTTTTACCAGTGCGATTTCGACATTGCTGGCAACTATGACGCCATGTTGCCCGACGCCGAAGTCATTCGCATCATCACGGAAGTCTTTGAGGGGCTGGGCTGGAACGGCGCTTACACCATCAAGCTCAACCACCGCAAGATCCTCGATGGTATCTTCCAGGTCTGCGGTGTCCCCGAGGCCAAGATCCGAACAATCTCTTCCGCAGTCGACAAGCTCGACAAGCTGCCGTGGGCGGACGTCCGGAAAGAGATGACCGAGGAGAAGGGTCTGGCTGAGGATGTCGCAGACCGTATTGGAGAATGGGTGGTTCTAAGAGGCCGCCACGATCTGCTCGAAAAGCTGCGCAACGATGAGAAGCTGTCGGCCAACGAGTCTATGAAGCAGGGCATCGAGGATGTTTCTCTCCTCTTTGAGTATCTCGAGGCCTTTGATGCTTTGGACAGGGTTTCATTTGACCTTGGCCTGGCTCGCGGTTTGGACTACTACACCGGCCTCATTTATGAAGTCGTCACTGAAGGCTCTGCCCCCGAGGCGACTCCCGGATCGGAAGATGCCGCAAAGGCATCCAAGAAGAAGTCCAAGGGCAAAGGGGACGACGAGGACCGATCCGATGACCCCACCATCGGTGTCGGAAGTGTGGCCGCTGGCGGTCGATACGACAACCTCGTTGGCATGTTCTCCGGAAAGAACCAGATCCCCTGTGTCGGCATCTCCTTTGGTGTCGACCGTATCTTCTCCATTACCAAGGCCCGCATGGCAGCGGACAAGTCAGTCGACCAGGTGCGAGGCAATGAGGTCGACGTCTATGTCATGGCGTTTGGAGGAAAGGGACTGGTCAAGGAGCGCTTGGAGATTTGCTCAAAGCTCTGGAAAGCCGGCATCAAGGTAAGGACTTCTGCTCCATCATTAACACGCAACCAAGGCTAACTAAAGGATGAAAGGCCGAGTTCCTTTACAAGACCAAGCCGAAGATGCAGGCTCAATTTAAGGCTGCCGAGGCCAACAGCGTTCCTTTCGCCATCTTCATTGGTGAAGACGAGCTGGCTCAAGGCAAAGTCAAGATCAAGGAGATGGGCCTCAAGGATGGACACCCCGAGAAGGAGGGTGTGCTGGTGGACATGACGCGCATGGCGGAAGAGCTCAAGTACCGGATACAGCGCAAGCGGGATCTGGAGAGCATCACGATACAGGCTGAGGGCCTCAGGGTGGTGGACGGTATCAAGGGCGACCAGGCAGCCAAGGCCAAGGCCGCGGAGGTGGTGGAGGCTCCCAAGGCGGAAGAGACCCCAGCGGCGGATGCTACCGAGACCCCGGCTTCATAGACGATGCTTACCAAAATGAATTGATATTTGGCGGCCCGCGTGCAATGCAGCAATTTGGGCAATCTGTACACGGCATAATGTGGACTTTGCAAGGTGAGGGTCGTTGCAGGGGTCGTTGCAGGGAATAAGATGCTCGCTTGTACTTTTGCACGGGATCAAGTCGGCCGCAGGACCGGACTTAAGTTGCTCTAGACGACTTGCAGGAGCCTTGGTGTTTGCACTTCGTTTGATATCATAGCGTCCTTGTTGTCGTCGAGATGATGCTTTCGGCAACAGGTGTTATATAGTAGTATCATGATCTAGTATGTACCAACTTGACTCGACATGACAAATACCGACACGGCCTACATGATATTAGCATGGTTCTTCTTGTAAACGGAAACGAAAGACAAACAAAGAGTCAGTACATGCCGGCGAGACGTATGGATCGACTTGATCTCCGTTTATAGTGTTGTTGGTCTCCCACCCATCTGTCCGTGTTGGCTGGATTGTCGATGGAGATGTTTGTACAATGTACGTGAACTCGATCCAACACGATTCTCGATCTGGAGTTGGTTGAAAGGCAAAAAGACATCTCAACATGTTATCTCGCAGATGGCGGCTTACAAGCAAGATGATGGAGCAGCAGTGCAACTGTGGCTCACCGCGGGGCTGGAGTTCTTATCTGGCAGCATGTGAGACGGACAATAAGATGCCCAATGCAAGCCGTCACATGGACTCATGCTGTGACCAAATCATCATCATCGTGCCTTGATGCTACGCGAACGACGTTAGTGCGAACAGGCAATGCATGCATGCAGTCGAGTAATCTTCCTGCAAGATGATGCATTGCATATGCGGATGCCTTGCTCAAAGAAACGCCAATCTTTTTGCAGCACAGGGCACCCAGGCATTATCGGAGCAGGACAGATTGACAGGCTGTAATCTAAACAAGCTCTGGGTGGACAATAGTCCAAGGCTTGTTTCGAGATTGATCCCACCTCAACGCCACGTTTTACCAGCGTTTAATCTTGGAAGGGGCCAAAAAAGACTTCTTGGGGTCTCCGCAGATGTGGTTCATCACGATAAGTGCTGATCTCAATGCTGTGAGGTGCTGATAAGCATTTGGTGGGGGGGAAGTCGAGATTTGCACGTCGTACGAGTACTGATGAGCTTCCCATCTGCCGTACCGAAAGCATCAATATGAACACATTGTTGGTGGGACGATGGGTTACGCAGACTGAGAATTTTGAGTAATAGGCCTACCGCTTGTATACGGTGTACGGTGATACCGAGCACAGAAATCACACGCCACGCCAGGTGACTTCGTGAGCCCCCTTGAATGGCAACAACTCGACAGCTGAGAGAACATGAATACGAGGCACAACACCGCACTCACCAAATGCGAGGCAAGCCAGCGCAGACTTGGCATGCTGCAGCAAATCAGCATTCCAATAGGGACTGTGGAGCGGACAGAAAGACTTTGACGACCGACGAGCACGGCTTCCTAGGCCGACTCACGGACGGGCCATGGCTCGGAAGGCAGTGTGCATTGACGGACTTGGTACGAGATGTAAATGTTGCTCGCACAGGTAAACAACGCGAAACAAGAAAAGGGTGGCGTTTTTTTTTTTCTCAACCTCTCTTGTCTCACGAGTTCCTGATATGCCCGACCAAGTGGTGCCGTCAAGTTCTCGGCTCTTGAAGGTGCAGGGATCCGGCGGCCGGTGACTTTTGGGACGCGATCCACGGACGGGTCTCTCTGGCTTCCGCGCCCTTTTCTATTCTTCTAGCCGGCCGTTGGCGTTGAAGTTGGACGTTAGTAGAACGGTGGTGCTATGTATGGCGGGACACGTTTGGGTCCTTGTTCGGGTCTGTTTGCTGCCGAGGTTCGGATCTCCCATTTCGTGTCTTTTTGCGAGCTGGAGTCGGATGGAATGTTAGTCCAAGTCGAGTGTTATTCTGTAGAGGTATCAAGTACACGGACGACGACGGCGGAAAAAAAGCCTGTCCGATCCGGTGACTTCTTAACGTGCATACGCGCGCATTCCACAAAAGCTGCCAAAAAGCGAGAGACACGGCCTGGTGGTTCCTGCTGGTTCTCAGTGTGGGATTGTTTGTTTCATCAGTGCTGCGCCGTTGGGGGTTAGCGCGGCAGTCGAGTTGTTCCTGCCTTGGTTCTGACGCAGGGCTCCATCGTACCTGCGCAAAATCGCTTGCTGGATTCCGATGGCAGAAGGCGCGAGCGCGAGTGCGTCTGCACTTTCCAACTCATACAGGTCGTACCTACCTAACCAACTAACCTAGGTAGTAGCTGGTACATGCCACGTTTGTCACGGGACTTTTAACGCATAAGCATGGATGCTACCTTACCGTTCATACCTGTACCTGAGCTGGAAGGCGCTGACTCAACTGTAAGATTATTATCGAGTCGACAGCAGCCTCATCGCGGACGGCAGCAGGCCTCGTTTCTTTTTGCCAATATTCCATCATTTCACCGCAGCAGCTCATTCCCGCAGGAGCCACAATTTCCTCGCAAGCAAGGGCCCGGGGAAGCGGGATCAGGGGCAAGGGTCCGTTAGCGTGGCGCCCAGTAGCCTGCCAGAACGGCCAACTGGTACGGCTACCGCATCAGAGAGGGCTTGCAAGGTGAGTGTGCAAGGGGGATAGGGGGGAACTTGGCCAGGGGAGTGTCCAGGTGCTAACCTTAGCAGTACGACCTGGACCGCGCATCAGCTCCTCTGGACGGGGTTCTCACCAGGCTCCTGGGTCTGTCTATTGTGACGGTGCTGTGACGGTGTTGTGGGAGCAAGAAGACCGCGGCATCAACAACCGCACAGCAAACACTCGGCGCAACAGCATCGAGAAAGAGGGCATAACATGGACCGCTAGCGGAGAGAGAACATCGACGTTGCGCCAATTGGAGGGGAGAACAGCCAAGGTGTAGCAGTCAATACGCAAGGGGAAGGGAAGAAAGAGAAAGAAAAATCATCTTCCCGAGGTGGCGGGACGCTGAACCCTCTGGGGACCCCCCCGGGATGCCGGCAGGTCTCTGTGCTGCGTCTGCCAGTCTCAGTTGAGCCCGAGCTTCTTCCTCTCTTATTTTCTTTTTCTCTCCCTCTGTCACGTACGAGTACTCGACTGTTATCGCCAGTTACACAGCCATTGTGCAAAACACTCCCTCCTTCTTTAAGAGCACAGTCTCCAGTCTTTCCCTCCCTTGGCGAACCGGTCTTTTCTGAACTCGCGTTTCTGCCCGCCTTCCATCTCTGCTGTCTTGCATTGTGCCGCTCATTTCTTCCCTTTCCTGCCTCTTGATATATCACGAATTTCCTTAATCACTACGTACTCGCGCCGCGACTCGAATTGAGTGGATTTTCTTTTCCGTGAATCTTTACTACTCTTTATTCACGCCACGCTCTCTGCCTCCTCTCCTAAGTCTATTCCTTACATATCTCATCATCTCTATATCGGATATACCAACACGCCTTGGGGACCTATCGATTTACCCTTTCTCGACTACAATTCCAAGACAAGACAAATTCACGAACGGAGGACCACAACCAACTATCGACGTTCCCTCATTCCTCTGCCGTGGCGACCATTCTCTTCATCAACTGGCCCAATCTTCGTCAGCCTTCGAAACTCATCCGCAAGATGCCGGGACTTATCCCCCTCCGTATGAGCACGCTCATTCCAGCTTCCAAATATACATACTCTATCTCAGAAGGGAAATCCAACCAGACATACAATGATAGATCCTGGAAATCGACGCCGTCCAGACCGCGAGAAAACGAGGAGGATCGGCGCACAGCGCGACAACGGACAACTCCTGCGCCAATCGTCGCCTCTAAACCAACCCCTTCAACGCCTGAGCAGTGGAAGAGAGCGCTGGGCGATGTGAAGAGAGACTTCAACAACCGAAAGTATCGCCAATGCTCATTGCGATGCCATGAACTGCTCGGCGACATCAAGGACTCAGTAAGATATATCAAAGAGCACATACCTTCTGTTTCAATATAACTAACAAGCAATCCTTAGAACAAGCCGGAGACAGCATGCCTCATCTACATCCGCTTTTATGCGGCTTCTGCCCTTGAGATGCAGGTCCGCTCACTCCCACCCAACTCTCCGCACCGCACAAAGCTGCTCTACCAAGCCCGCGATCACTATCGCGTCGCCGCCCACCTCATCAGAGAAGATGAGGCTACTAAGCGACGTCCCTCCTCTCGCTCTCTCCCCTCGTTGACTAGCCACCACACTCCTTATGGCTCAGACGCCTCAATCTCCACGGTCTCTACCAGAATTTCCTCTTCCTCGCTATCGATCAGCTCCCTCGATAGCTGTTTGAAAAGCCGCAACAGTCGACCTAAGCCGAAGAAGCGCGTCGCTTTCTGTGACGTGCCGTCTTATGAGCCTTCTCACGAGCCAGCCTACGAGTCTAGCTATGAACCCATCGTGCGCCCAGACTCTCCTACCCTCGGATTCGACGACGACTGGGGCGTTCGCCAGCCGACTCCGGAACCTCTGGCCCTCTACTCTCAGCCTCTCCGGTCCAGCTCCGGGAGGCCGCAGTTCCCACTCCCTTCCCCCACAAACTCCGAGTTCAGCGTCGTCCAAGATGACGATAACTATTACGATACTCCCGCAGCTGCGGACAGCTTCCTCCATGCCCGCTCCGTCCACCACTACTGCACCGTGCTTTCGGACCTGCAGCGGCAGATCGCCTCTCACCTGGAATGGTTGGAGCGCGACATTGCCGCCGCAGAGAACCCCAAGCCCACGCCTGCCCTGAGCGAAGAAATGCGCGCTCTTGAGCTGCAGACGCGGATCGAGCGGCTGAGGGCCAACGGCTGGAAGCGACAGCGGTTCGACTTCCGCAAGTACGAAGCTCTTCGAGAGAACGCCTTGGCAGATATCAACTGATATGTTTAAGGAATTGAACAGATCAAGTGTAAAAAGTGTGTACAAAAAAGAGAGAGAAACAAAAACTACCATCGCATAGAATATCGGTGTTCTGTTGTCATTTATCGCTTGGACATTGCATTGGGCCTTGTTTCGTTCGGGTTATCTGGCTGTTGGTGTACATTACTGTATTGCTTTTGGAGCTGAGGCGAAAGGGGGCACCGATAGACATTGTGGATGGGCTGCTTGTGTTGCTTTTCCGGCGCTCGTGGGAAATCGCATGGTTCTGCAGCTTAGACAGTCTCTAGAGACAAGAGTAGGACAAAGAGTCACTTCTCTCAAGCAGCTTTGGCTGCCTTTATATAGTGAAGGATATAAAGCAAGTATCAGAAATTTTACTAGGCAATGCTGCACAACTAAAAAATATAAAAAGTATTGTCGACTGGGAATGAGTCTCAGATCCATATTGACCCCATTCAAGCCCAAATCCTTCTCTTGCTCTCGGCCGTAAATAAGTAAAGAGGCGTCCCTTTTTGACTATTCCTTTCAATCGTTGCGAATGGCTAAACAGGAGTATCCAACCATTAGGAAATCCAACCGGGGAAGTAAACCAAAACAGGCAACATAGGACAAAGGAAGTTAAGCACGCAAACGAAGAGACTTGTCGTCTGCTCAAGGTCAAGATTCACTGTTGAAGCTCTTCCTGTTGGCCTGCTTGACCAGATCCTCATCCGTGATCTCCGCCTCCTTCTTGGCGGCATGGTCTTTGATGGCAGCCAGGGCCACGGAGCGGAAGAGGGAGCCATCCTTGACCTTTTCCCGCAGCACGTTCGTCTTATTGGAGGGGGCTGCGGGCTGTCCGGGAATGGCCTCCTCGGCAGCGGCCATCTCGTCGCTATCCGAGTCGGACTCGACGTCTTGCAGCGCGGCGATTCGTTTTCGGAGGCTGACGGCCAGGATGGCGTGCTTGAGCTTCGCGCGGGCCTCGCGAGCCTTGCGCAGTTCGGGCAGCAAGTCGTGGTCGGTGGCGTTCTTACCACTGAGCCAGATGTGGCCGAGTGCTTGCTATAGTTTCGCACGCACGTTAGATTTGTTGCGAACGAGAGTCATCGTGATTGCTGAAGATGGCGGAGCTCTGGACTTACCTCTGCTGTCCACCTGCTGTTGGGATCGGGAACGATGAGGCAGTTGATGAAGTCTTTGGCATCCGCGCTGACGTCTTTCCAGTATCTCTCGTGGAAGATGACAGACCCCCTGGTGCACTCCTCGAGCAGATCCTGAAGGTTCTCGCTGCGGAAAGGGGAGTATCCGCAGAGCAGGGTGTAAGTGATGACGCCGAGAGACCACATATCCACCGGCTTTCCGTGGCCCTGCTTGGCCATGACTTCAGGGGCTGCGTAGCCGAACGAGCCAGCCATTGTCTTCAGGGTCTCGTCTTTGCTATCCAGCGTCTTGGCAATACCAAAGTCGGCCAATACCAAATCGGAGTCTGGGTCCTGTGTTACATAGATGAGGTTCTCTGGCTTCAGATCTGCGCGAGCCCAGTTAGCCTCCTGCGTTCGATATGCAATCAACATCGAGGGAGGGTTAGGGTTGCCCAACTCACCTCGGTGAACAACATTGTTCTGGTGAAGGTAGGTCACGGCGTCCAAGACCTGCTTGATAGTCTGGGAGGCGTCCTTTTCGGTGAATTTGCCCTGGTCGCAAATTCGGTCGAACAGCTCTCCACCAGTGGCGAGCTGAGTGACGATGTAAAACTTGTCCTATGTGCCGCCAGCAGATGTTAGTCCCGTCTCCCTTCTTCATAGGTACTGGGATCTTGATCGCCCAGAAAAGGGCAGAAAACGCACCCTCGACTCGAACCAGTCAACAAACTTGACAATGTGAGGATGCTTCAGTCGCTGAAGGAGGTTCAGCTCGTCGTACACCATCTGCTCGTTGCCCTTGACGCTCTTCTTCAGAATAATCTTAATGGCCACCTTGCCGGTAGGGCCATCAGCCTCGCGCACGACACCGTATGTGCCAGCACCGAGGGTTCGTCCGAACCTGTACTTTGCTCTGTATTATAACATCGGTCCGTTAACGCTGAGTTCAGTGCCGGTGCTGTCGGAGGCTGGTATCGTACTTTTTCTCATAGCTCTCGGGTTGGCCATGGAGGCGGTTTAGCATGCCAGCGACTACACCCAGAGATGGCACTCGTTAGCAACTATTCGTATGTTTTGCGCTGAGGATCGATAGCCCCGGTACGGCACAATCTGGCGCATCGGCAGGCCTCCCTCTCCTTTACCGGCGGCGGTGTAAGGGAATTGCGACTTACAACTCATCTTGAAGTCTGGCGGGGTATCTGGACACACGAGGAGCGGGATTCAAGCCAAGAGTTGGGATTCGAGCACAGGGAGCCGGAGCCAGCAGGACGCCAGTGAGAGCTGTCCTAGGAAGAACGGTCCGTCTGAATTCAAGAACCAGAGAAGCAGCGGCCAGAGGGAGCCGAAGAGGAGAAGGCAAGGAGGAGCGACAAGGACAGCGGCGACGGGACGAGGCAGAGCTGAAGGAGCTACAGCGGCTGAGCTGAGAATAAATACGGCCTCGATGCAAAATACTCCTTGAGAGTTCCTCCAGCAGCCCCTCATCAGGTCCCTTCCTACTGGGCACAGGTGCTACTAACATCAAATCGAATGGAGACCGGCCGTCAGCCATAGGGGCACTAGCTCTGTACATAGGGATACTTGGTGGAGAACGGACATGGGGGAGGGAAAAGACGTGTGGGCGATCCGTGGCCTGCGCTGCTGCTGCTGTATGTAAGGCTATTTTGCATGTGGGTTGATACCTAGTAGGTATCGAGAGCCTGGCCTGGAGGGGGGGCGAGGCCGTCGAGGCGGCTCGTAGGTACCGCACAGGTACTCGTACTCTGACATGGCTGGTGGGTAGAAGCGTCGCGGGAGGGGCAGCACCCCTATTGAGCACCAGAAGGCTCGAGCTGCCTGCCTTGTCAAGTTCTAGGTATCTTGCAATTGCCGATTGACTGGACGAGGACAGTCGAGGCTTTGGTACGGTGAGTCCAGGTTCCTGTTGCAACTGCAAGTGAAGAAGTTCTCGAATTTTTATCCTGGAGACAGACGGGTTTAGACAAGGGACGAAAATGCGCGTGAAGAAAGCAGTCCATGCCTCATCAACCATGTAAGTGCTCTCTGTTGGGCTTCTTTTCTCGAGCAAACCGGCAACCCCCCACACGCCAAATGTATAGGTAGGTAAGGTTATTACAAGGTAGTAGAGTGACTGCCCGACTAGTATTGCGATGCAAGGGCACAATCCGCCAAGGAGGGACTGTTGCTCATTATCTCGCGGCTGATTTTTGTGGCAGTGCGATGTGAGACAACAATGCCCCTATCCCAACTATGTATTCCCTCACTATTCAGTCAAGAATCCTTTCCACGTTGAATTGGAAAAGTCTCTCTACGGTCTTGAAAATCCCCAAACGGCAAAACACAGCCAAGATATCGGGCCGGCAGCAGCTTTTAGAGCCCAAAGTCCAAAGCCCAAAGCCGGTCTGGAGGCGGCCAAACCAGCGCACGCACACCAGCCGATGCAATCTGTTGCCGGCCGGGATTGGCGCCCTTCCAAGCCGTGAGATGTGACAGGCGGCCTCCGCCGCACTCTTCGGGATGCCCAGTGCTTGTGCGGTTACCGGTTCAGCCAAGGCGCGTCCGTGATGTCTCATCGGCAAGCAAGGTTGTATCTAGGGCTGATTTGTTCGTATGTACTACATATCGTGGCTTACTCGTATTGCAGTAGAGCGCAACGGCTATATTCAGCGGCCTCATGGGCGGGTCGCGTGCCTTGATCGGATAGAAATATTCCGCGCGATGTGATGTGATGTGATGCTGCTACTGAGTGAAGGCTGCGGTCTGGATATTGATGCCTCCCGGCTACCTCGCCTGTGAGACGACGTGGAATTGCTTTCATGGTCAAACTGTGTGATGAGGAGATGTAACCACCTGAAGGATTCAACATTGGTGAAAACCCTCTGAGAAGCTTGCATTATCGAAACAGTCTGTTATCATATGTGCCTCTTGTTGTGCCATCTTTCTTAACAATGCGCCTCCACGACAGCATCATGATGCTGTTGTATTATCGTTCCGTTTGCTCATTGTATCAGCAGTACTCGGTCATTGATACGTGTTCATTTCCGGCGAGTACTATTCCTTACCGTACAGACAGCCGCTTCGAAGCAGCTGTCTTATGTTATCATCACCTGCAGTGCTACTGGATGACGTCCTTAGTTTTCTAATGTATTCCACAATCCGAAGAGGGAGATCTTGCGAGGCGTTTCCCAATTCTGCCTTGTCAATTTATCGTTAACTCACTTTTTTTTGATACAAAAGACAGTACCTATGGGAGAGCCAACTGTTCCCTTCAAGATTTCTTCCTTCCCTATCCTGTTAACACAGAAGATCACCAGACGGCCTATCTTCTCGTCGTCACCAGTAGAACTATTAATCAGAGAGACCAACTCTCCAGCACCACAATGGTGATCCTCTATCAACTACATGTACCTACCTTAGGCTCGAGGTGAGGTAGCTGCATGCATCAGCTCTGTTTCTGCAAGTAAGAAGATACCTATTATTAGGTAGTCGACGTCCTGACCGCAGCGGCAACATTTTGCTGCAATTGAATCCCAATGTGCATCGTATGGCGTTTCGATAGCGGTTCGCTCCTGTAAGGATCCGAAGCATTCACACTGGCATTATGCGGTTGGTTCTGTCTTGCATCGGTGCTGGGAGTATATTGGTGCAATAGCCGCTCAGGCTATTTTATATGGACCGTATCTGCAGCAGAAGGCGGTTACGCAGAGAGTTCCACGGAGTCTACGAAACCCGAGCTTCGCACATGTGTTATTTCTTCTCCAGACGGGATCAATAGAATTCGACAATTTGAATCTTCTCCTCATCTTCGATCAAATGCCGTCGTGATATATGTATTAGTCGAGATTTCACCACCTACAACGACAGAACTCTATGAAGCAACGATGAGCCGCATGCACCCACAGGTCGCCATGTATACCGAGCTTTCTAGTGCCGGAGCAGGTACTCCAGCCTCTAACACCACACCAAGTTTATCCAAGGTGAGGAACAGACAACATAAACCTCTGCCCGGGTGCTTCTGCACAGACGTCGTGGTCTCATGTCCTCAATTCTACACATGAGAGAGACATTACCTACAACTGCTTCAACTGCTAACAGTAACACATTCGACTGATTAAAGGTCCCGAGATCTCAACTCAAACCATCATGGCTGAGCAGCATCCTCTCCAAACCGACTGGGACCTTTTCCCTTCCTTCGAGACGCCGCAAATCATCAATAGTGGAAGCACCACCGAAGCCGAAGAAGAGCAAAGGGTCCCTGGGCTTAAGCACTCTGTATGAGCCACCAGATGGAGTCGTGATAGCGGAAATGATCTTTATCCACGGCCTAGGCGGAGGCTCGATCAAGACGTGGTGCGATTCCTCCGGCCCTGCTCCTGCAAGCTGTTGGCCGCGCGACTGGCTACCAGCCGATGCCGAGTTCGAGCACGTTCGAATCCACACATTTGGCTACGAGGCTGATTGGAGGGAGCGGACGCCCAGCATCCTGTCGGTCCATGACTTTGCCCAGTCTCTGCTCGGAGAGATGATGAACCACCAGCTCATCAAGCGGAGCGACGCCGGCATCGTGCTGGTCGGGCACAGCATGGGCGGCTGCGTGGCCAAGAAGGCGTATATCCTGGCCCGACAGGATCCTGCTTGCGCGGACCTCGCGAGCAGATTCCACTCAATGTTCTTCCTTGCGACGCCTCATCGGGGCTCGGAGCTGGGCAAGGTCCTGCGCAACTTGCTGCTAGTGACGGGAGTCTCCAAGCCATACGTCAAGGACCTAGTAGCCAACTCGGGGCCCGTGCTAGAGGTGAACGAAGCGTTCCACCAATACGCCTCGGATCTCCATCTCTGGTCCTTCTTCGAGTCTCTGCCAATGTCGGACTATTCAAACATTCTCGTTGTCGACAAGCACTCGGCCACGCTTGGCTTCGACAACGAGAGTGTGTCGTTGATGGATGCTGACCACCGTACTATTTGCAAGTTCAAGTACCAATCTGATCACAATTACAGAAAGCTGCGCAACGCACTGTTGACTGCGGTCGAGATGATCAAGTCCAATTGTAAGTAAAAACGCCCCTGGCCAGACGAACCGGCCCCCCTTTTGCGTCAATGCGAGAGTCTGGCTGTCTCGGGGCTTTTGTCAAGAGCGACAACGTGGCTGACTTTCCTCGTGCAGCCCCTAGAATGGTTGCCAAAGCTAGACTGGGTCCTTATTTAGGAGTTGACGATTCGTTTGAAGATGATTTGATCATGCATCGCGACGCCAGGCATCCCGAGTCGTGCGCTTGGGTCATACAAGACCCTGGCTTCCGCAGCTGGACGCTCTTTGATCCTGAATCACCACCAATCTACTGGCTTGTGGCCGGGATGGGTGCAGGAAAGTCCATCATGTGCAGTCGTGTTATAGACTATTTGTCCGAGCAGAGTGAGCCTATACGATGCAGCTATTTCTTCATCAAGCGAGGCAAAGGGGAAATGCGCAATCTCTCTACCCTTTTCCTGAGCATTGCTTTCCAAATGGGGCTGCAGGACGCACAAGTCCGGAGGGCCATTACTCGACTTCAAGAAGGAGGAGTTTCTTGGGAGGGCCAAATAGACAAGCTTATCTGGAGGAAGCTGTTTCAAGAGGCCATATTCAATGTCAAGTCGCCATTGACTCACTTCTGGGTTATTGATGGGCTTGACGAGTACTCTGGGGATTCTGACATCTATCAATTCCTCGAACAGCTGCCCCAGCATGTTCGTGTTTTTGTTGCCAGCCAACACACGCCGGAGATACAAGAAGGCATGCTTTCGTTAGGCCAGCGAGTCTCGATACGGATGGTTGATACAAGTCATACGGGTGAGTTCCAGTTGTTTCACTATATCAACAAAATTTCCTGTAAGAATGAGTCGAATGCTAACCAGATCTCCTGACACAAGTCTCCGACATGCGGGCCGTCGTCAAAGCAAGACTCGAGCAGCTGAACCACTTGGAAACAGGTGATGATTTGATATCCCGAATCGTCGAAAAGTCCAACGGCTCGTTCGTCTGGATCCGCTTGGTCCTCAAAGAGCTCGAAACGGCATTCACCGATGAGGATATTGAGGCTATTCTCGAGGAAGTCCCGAGTGACCTGCACGAAATGTACGCCAGAATCTTACAGTCCATTGAGAAAGACAAACGTCGAGCTAAACTGGCAAAGTCCATCCTTACATGGATAACTCTGGCACAGCGGCCGATGACGATCGAGGAGCTTCGCGGCGCAGTGCAGATGGACATTCGAGCTTCGCCGCAGAAGATGGTCCATGCCGCTGTTACTGCATGTGGCCAGTTCGTCATGATCGATCAAAGACTCAGATTGCATCTTGTTCACGATACAGCGAGACAATTCCTTTGTCGGGCAGATCTACCGTCGCAGTTTGCAATAACGCCGGCGAAAGACCATGGACATCTCGCAGCACTCTGCTTGGCATACTTGGCGAAACATCTACCAATTGACCGATCTGCTCAACGTGCCGAATCCTCTTTTCTCTGGTACGCGGCAGAATGTTTTTCGCAACATCTGGCCAAGTCGGATGCAGGAGAGCCTCTGTACCCGGGCACAATCACTCAATTCTTGGACGAATGGGTGCTCCATTGGATTGAGAGCTTGGCTCAGAGGCGCAAGCTTGGCGTTGCCGTCCAGTCAGCCCTCCATATCGAAAGATATGCCGATCGCGGCAAAGACGAGGGAACATGGTCGGACCACGATATCGTGCGTCTTAAGGGCTGGACCTCTGATATTTCACGGGTCGTCCTGAACTTCCGAGAGCCCTTGCTCAAGAGCCCTGCCGCGATTCACCACTTAGTACCTCCTTTCTGCCCTACAGATTCATTGATCCATCGCCATGCTTCTTCCCTTGGAGACGCAGAACTGGCGATACTCGGGTCGCGAGACCAACAATGGAACGAATGTCTCATGTGCGTCGAGCATGAAGCCTTGGTGGAAGTCGTTGCGTGCGGGAGGCACCATGCTGCCATCGGGTTATCTACCGGCTTCATCACTGTTTACGATATGGCCTTGCTTCAAACCACCATCGAGGTCAAGTTCCTGAACTCGCAGCTGAAGCTGGTTGGCTTCGGATGTGAAGACAAATATCTTGCTGCTACTGGCTCCGGACAAGCTGCCATTTGGGACACCAAGACAGGGACTCTCAGATATACTTTTGACTGCGGCCCAGTTCTGGCGTTCAGTTTCAGCATGGACCACTTCATTACCGTTTCGTCGTCCGGGTTGACCGAACAGAGGTGAGTAGCTTTACCATCCTTGGGACTTGATATGTCCTCCCTCGCTCACGATGAAACAGAAATCTCGAAACGAAGGAGCCGGTCATACTTCCATGGAGTACATTTGACAACATTTGTATCGACGCGCCTTTGCCATCGTCAGCTGCATGCGAGGCCAGATCTGACGAGACTTGTCCGCAGCGTTTTGCCGTCGCCTTCTACAGTAGCGGTGACATCTATCTCATGGACATCAACGAGCGATCTGTTCAAGGAGTCCTGCACGCGCCTGGACCACATTTTGCAAAGGAGTTCTCTTTCAATCCTAGCCCTGCAAAGCATCTTCTCGCAGCTTCCTATACGGGTGGCGGGCTTGCTATTTTCGATACGAGCACGATGTGCCAGATATACTACAAACCTGACATATTTGCCAATCATGTGTCATGGACTACGGATGGTCAACATCTGGTCATCGGCTTGGGAGAAACTGCCTACACACTTGAAGTATACAAGGTCTGGATTTCGGATGCCGTCAGCCTCGATTTCGTATGTCAAGTGGATCATCCTGGAATACCTATAACGCCGCTCGTGGTCGCCAGCCGGGGTAATCGCATCATTGGTGCCCACAGTCGGCGTAGCCGCATATGGGAGTTCCCTATGCTTGACCTGAAGGGAGGTGAGGAGAGCGAGGATGCAACGGCTGATGACGATTGCCATAAACCTGAGCTGCTGCCTCGAGAGTGTCAGGCAGCATCGGGGTCCAATAACGCTTCTATTGCAGTCATGGCTCTTTCTGACAACGGCTGTGTCGTGTTCTGTGGGACAGAATCCGGAGAACTCGTGGCTTTCTCTGCTCTAGATGGGTCACGGATTGCAGTGCTTCACCAAGAACATAAGTGCGCAATAACCAGCCTTGTCATGGTCCAGGACACTGAGGGACCTTTGATCATTACAGGAGACGAAGATGGCTTCGTGGTGTTTGCCGAGACTGTGTATGAGCGAGGCGAATGGGCAAGTGCGAGAATCGAGCTCAAAGCCAGATGTGGCAATCTCGTCGAACAGATGCTGTTGAGTCCATCGAGAGAAAGGTTGCTCGTTATCACACTGTCTGCGTCTGAACTCTGGAGTCTGCCGTCCAAGCAAAAGCTGGAGAGCCTGCGTGTGCCCAGGAGCTCGGCAAACTTGCGGCGAGCGGTGCAGTTCCCTTTACTGGACGACAGGTTCATCATATTGGAAGACTCACGGAGCCATGTCTTCTACTGGCGCGATTTCACACGAGCCTCGGAGGGAACACTGAGTCTGTATCGAGATGGGCGGCTTCCCGAGCCAGAGTATGCCACAAACGCATCCTATCTCAGCAATGACTGTGTGGTCGTGGAGAAGCTGGCTGATCCGTTGACGGGAATCCGCACGAACTGCTGGGACACGAGCAGCTTCCTCGCTGCTGGTGAACAAGCAGTCGAAGCCATACCGAGACGTGGCCTACAAGCATTGAGCTGCGTACTGGGCGATATCATCTCCGTCATCGACTCTACTCTCGTATTTCTTCACAAGGAGAGATGGGTCAGCACCGTGGACTTGGACACGTTCCATCTCACCATGGAGGTGAGGAGGCATTTCTTCATTCCTCCCGAGTGGGTGAGCATCCTGGGCTCGGTCGTCTGCGCCCTCACTCGGGAGATGAATTTGGTCTTCGCCAGCAAGCAGCATGTGGTTGTTGTCAAGGGGTGGATGGGGAGATGGGAGACTGATTTGCTTGGGCATTTCGATATGGATGCTGAATGGGAGGAATATGCTGGGACGGATATATGGGTGACCGGGCGGCCGCTTCGTTGATGTGGAGGAGAGGACTTGGGATTTATGGACAAGAGCGGGATTGATGCACCTGTAACGCTGCACATCAAAAATACTACTCATACTTCGTACATGTAGCCGCTGTACTTTTTTAAGGTACCTAGCAATTGAGCATTTTGAGTCTTAACAAGTCGATAAACTGCGACGCATGCATCGACAAGCGCTTACTCGCCCGTTAGGCGCCCAAGTACATGTGGATGACGCTGTAATGCCTTGGGTACCTAAGACTGCAGATCCCGTTTGGATGTCGAGCCGGCCTCTGAATGGCTGCGCGGGGAAAACGTCGCTGTAACACAGCCGTGTATGTAGGGCATCAAACCGCCCAGGGCCAACAGCCTACAGTTACATACATATTAAGTCGACATACCACATGTGACCTGGAATCTGAATCATTCACTGCGACACTGAAAAGACGCCGGCGGGCTCAAAGCGCCCAGTGACACGACAGACGGCCCGGAATGCTGCAGGCAGCTGCGCTTTGCTCCATCCATCCATGCCGTCCATGATCTGATACTACCTACAGTGACAGTAGGAAGTAGTAGAGGTAAGGTAAGGTACTAATAACAGGGAGCCCACGGCTGGAGGGTTGCTGCGCCTGCACCAGCGCCACACCCGCAACTGCCGCCTCCAAGACCCCTCCGACGCATTTAAACCACATGCACCATCTGGCGATCTATCATCGTCGGTACGACTACTCGCAACTTCGCGTTGGCGCAGACATCACTACAGGTTCTTTGCCTTATCCACCCAACTCAAGCAGTCGTCGACTTGCCAGTGGCGGCGCCCCTCAGAAGACTTTCTTTTCAGCAGACAACAAAGCACAACATGGCCACGGGCATGCGAAATAAGAGAGTGGCCAAGGAGCGCCAGAAGGTCGGTAGCCCTTTTCCCCGTCCAGACTCCCTCCGTCTTCGTCGTCGCTTGCTGGAGGCGTCTCGCATCAATACCAAACGACCTTGAAGCGCTGACAACGCCCACAGATAGACAAGTTTGGCCTGCCGCCTGGCATCGAGCTCGTGGAAGGCAACGACCTCAAGGAATGGCTCTTCGATATCCGCGTCCTCGACAGCAACCCCATCTACGACGGCAACATCTTCCGCCTGAAATTCGTCTTCTCCGACACTTATCCCATAGGTAAGTAGGCAGGCAGAAGCCTTCATCTGCCGGCTCTCCGCATTCGCATGTGCTGCCGAAACTAACAATCTTACTCTCTCAAGAACCCCCCGAAGTGACATTCATAGAGAGACCGAACCGCCCCATCCCCATCCACCCACACATCTACTCGAACGGAATAATATGCCTCGATCTGCTGGGGAACCAGGGCTGGAGCCCCGTGCAGAGCGCCGAGAGCGTCTGCATGAGCATACAGAGCATGCTGACGAGCAACACCAAGAACGAGCGACCGCCCGGCGACGAGGAGTTTGTGCGGGGGAACAAGCAGCGACCCCGAGACATTGAGTTTCTATATCACGATAATACTGTGTAGTACCACCCCTCGGCCATGGATAACGCGGCTCTCTCGGGATGTTTTTGGCTTTCTTCTTGGAGGACTCTTGCATTGATTTAGCGGCCACGAAAGGCTCATCTGGCGTTCTTTCTTTGTTCCTGCGTCCATCTTTGTTGTCTTGACGCAATCACTCACTGGGGGGGAGGTCACGGGTCCTTGCATGCATCTGGTACGGCTAATCACAGGATCAGATCCTGCTGGTTATTGAGGCTTTGAGCGATGGTCTTTTTTCTCTTCTATCGTCCTGTTCATCTATACCTGCAGCTATCGTGGAGTATGCTATCATGCTCGCCAAGTCCACCGCAACAGGTCATACCAAATCGGCGGCGAGGGGGCATTTAGGCGCATGCACAGCGGCGCAACTTTGGGGTCCGGAGGCTGGCGAGGAGGAGCTCCTGTCATGTAAAGCTTCATCCAACCTTTTTTCTTTTAGGACGCCACTAGGGATTCGCAACGATCATAGAATTGACTCTACTTCTTGCCCATGGTCTCCCTTGCATATGCATCGTCGTCAGTATCGATACATGCTTCAAAGATACCAACATGCACCTTTTCGCTGTGGCAGCTGCTCATGGGAGGAATTCCCATAAAGTGGCATGACTGGCTTCCATCCAACGCTACGCCCAACCGATGCAACATATGACGTCGTCCCTCGGCTTGTCGTCTGCCAACCACAGGCCAAATGAACCGCTAAACTGCCAGCTAGCTCTCTCCAGGGCTGTTTATAGTGACAGCAGCCCGCGTTTCAGTGGCTGAACAGCATTCAATCAGCTGCCCGCTGCCGCAATGGCAGAGCTGCGGGGCTCCCCGCAGGCGCTTCACCGCCCTGGCCAGGGGGGGGTTTTGGGGCACCTTGAGCTCCATCCAGCTACATACAACCTCGCGCCTCTGCGACCTGCCACTGGAAACTGAGCTCCCGAGCTGCCTCAACCCGCTCCCCGCCTTGCACAATCATGGCGCCGCGCGCGGAATTCAGCACCGAGCAGGTCCGGGGCAAAGCGCGCAAGGACCTGCTCTACCTGCTCGAGGGTGTAAGTAAGGCTCACTAACCCCCTCCCATCCCTCTCGTCCTCTTCGTTTCTCGGCCTTGGAAGCCTAGCTGGCTACTAAACACACAGCTTTTAACGCATCTCTACCTCTGTAGGTCCGCGGCAAGAAGAACCTCGTGTTTGACCGCAGCCTGGTCGGTCCCATCGGCACCATCGTCAAGGTTGCCACGCTGCAGGAGTACGGCGTCGATAAGTTCTTCATCCTCGAGAACAACAATGTGGATGCGAGCCAGCGCAATGTCGTCTTTGTCGCCAGAGGAGAGTGCGGCCGGCATGCGGAGGCCATAGCAGGTAAGACGCGACTCACGGTGCGCATGAGATATCAGGGCTGTTTCAAGCTCTGCCCAATGGTGCTCTCCAATTCCATGTAGAAGAAGAACCAACTGCTCGTCGGCAGAGACGTAGCCCTCTGGACTGTAGGCTGAGTGAGCTGACGCAAGTTTTACCCCTCCAGCTCAGATCAAACGAATACAGCGGGAGAGTCAGACAACGCACGACTTTCACATATTCTGGGTGCCCCGGCGCACGCTCGTGTCCGACCAACTGCTCGAGGAAGCCGGCGTCCTCGGCGACATTAACATTTCGGAGCTGCCGCTGCTCTTCTTCCCACTCGAAGATGACGTTCTATCGCTCGAGCTGGAGGATTCCTTCAAGGACCTCTACCTGTCCAAGGACATCACCCCCAACTTCCTGATGGCCAAGGCGCTCATGGAGGTGCAGCAGAACCACGGCCTGTTTCCCAGAATCATCGGCAAGGGCGACAACGCGAAGCGGGTGGCGGACCTCCTCGTGCGCATGCGCCAGGAACGGCTGGCTGGCGATGACGGAAGCGATGTCAAGACGGCGCTCACCCCCAGCACTACCAATGAAAGCGTCATTATCATTGACCGCGAGGTCGACTTCGTCACGCCGCTGCTGACACAGCTGACGTATGAGGGCCTCATTGATGAGATTTTTGAAATTCAGAATAACCAGGCCAAGGTTGACACGACCATTGTGGGAGCTCCAGCACAGTCTTCCACAGCCACATCGCAGAGTCGAAAGCGGACGGTCCAGCTCGACTCCAGCGACAAACTATACGAGCAGCTGCGAAACGCCAACTTTGCCATCGTCGGCGGGCTTCTCAATAAGGTCGCCAGGCGCTTGCAAAAGGTTCAGTCCGATTACGAGAGCAAGCACAAGACAAAAACGATTGCCGAGCTCAAGGAATTCGTGAGCCAGCTACCCGGCTACCAGCAAGAGCATCAGAGCGCAAGGATACACACGGGTCTCGCAGAGGAGATTATCAAACACACGCGGACGGATCTGTTCAAGGGCCTTCTAGAGGTCCAGCAGAATCTCGCTGCTGGTGCCGATCCGTCGTCGCAATTCGACGGCATCGAAGAGCTGATAGCCAGAGAGGCTCCCCTGCGAGAGACTCTTCGGCTACTCTGCATATACTCGTGCATATCCGGAGGGATCAAGCCCAAGGACTTGGAGCAGTTCAAGCGACTTATACTTCAAGGATACGGCTACCAGCACCTCCTCACGCTCAACAACCTGGAGAAGTTGCAGCTGTTTTTATCACGCTCGTCTCCGCTTGCGGGAATGATACCAATGACAGCCAATTCTGGCGCTGACGGGACCAAAACCAACTACGCATATCTACGGAAGCAGTTACGCCTGATTGTCGACGAAGTGCAGGAGGACGATCCCAACGACATCGCATACGTGTACAGCGGCTATGCCCCTCTCTCCATCCGACTTGTGCAATGCATTCTTCAAAAGCAGTACCTGCTGTCTATAACCAAGGGCAATGGCGCAGCAAATGCTAGCAGCGTTGCCCCGGGGGCGGGAACACAAGGATGGCACGGATTCGATGAGGCTGTCAAGCACGTTCGGGGGCAGACTTTCTATGAGCTTCAGAAGGGCGAGGATAAGGCCGTCAAGGCCAGGGCCCTGTTGTCCGGCAGCGGGCAGAAGCAGACAGTCTTTGTCGTCTTTGTCGGAGGTGTGACGTTCACGGAAATTGCCGCGTTGAGATTCATCGCGAAGCAGGAAGAGAGTAAGCAGCAATCAAAGGTGTGGTATGAGCCCGGTCAGCACTCACGGCTAACATGTATATCCTCCCCAGGTCGGAGAAAGATTGTCATCTGCACAACTTCTATCATCAGCGGAAACAGGATGATGGACGCGGCAATCGAGAAAGAAGCGTTCGCGCGCAAGGAGCCGACGTTGCCCAGCAGCCCTTAGGCGGACGGATATCGGAGTCGAGATACGATGTTTTGGGAGTTGGCGGCGTACTGGTTCGGTGAGGGTCTAAAGTGTCGTTGGCGGGGCATGAGAGCATCTTGAGCAACATTTTGATATGACTTGCGGTCTTTCTTTCCTCCTCTTACTCCCCCCTCCCTTTGGAACGTCAATCGGGCTGCCTCGTCGCTGATGCCAGAGTGGTCTGAAGTTCATCGTCGCGAGATGCCCGGCGGATTACTTCCAGTAGAGAGAGCGCGCCCCACAGCAGCGAGCATCGCGATTGGACTGACTGCGCTCACGTGACCATGCCTATTCCCTGAATTCAGCGTTCTTGAGGGGCCGCGATGAGCTGATGGCTCTATTATTTCCTGCTCATTGGCCCTTCCTTGGAGTAAAATACAATCCGCGGCACCGCTGAAGTCGGTCTATTACCACTTGAAGGCCTGTTCCGCAGCCCGAGAATCATTGATCCCGGCTCGTCCCGCTGTTGCATCGCAGCCCTATGGCCTCTGTCCCGTTAGATACGCTCCTGAGCCAGTGAACCCTCCAGACGACTTATCGTGCCGCTTACAGACACATTCCTGGGTTCAGGTATTATATACGCCGCGAGTGAGAGCAAACCCGGTCCGCTTGGCTGACAACCCCGACAAGACAGGAGGTTCTCATGGCAGATTCCCCCATCATATGATGCGTCTGCCCAGCGTCATGCTGTATGGTTGTCATACTGCCGAGTGTCCTAGTCGATGATCACCGTCTCTCCATCCCGACATCCGCACAGTCTCTCATATATCGACACCGACCACAACCCCCAGCCGCTGTCAGAGCAGGCGCCTGGGCCGGAACAGACCACTCGCCATGGCAACTGTTGTCGAGAGTCATCTCAGCCTAGAAAAGGAAGTGCCGATTGGACCGACCTTCTCGCACCCCACGCAAGACACGGACTCTTCCTCTTCGATATCAAGCCTAGCGGCCGAGTCCGTCGCCAAGAGCCAGAGCCAGGTGACGGCGTCGCCCAAGAGTGTCTTGAGCTCTCGCCGGGTGTCTGGGCTGGGCTCGTCGGATGAGTCGTCGGAGGTGGCGCCCGAGATTGTTGTGTGGACGGAAGACATGGAGTCGGAAGATATGGATTTGAGCAGCGGCTTATCGAACCATGACACGGAAGAGTCTTCCAGCATGCATCTTGACACGGAGTGAGTCTATACCAACCGTCTATCCACCCAATTGAGAAGAAGAAAATCACAAATTTTCCATCTCTTGGGAAGCATCATCTTCCTTTCTTTTTTTTTTATCCTCCTTGTCCATTTCTCTTTTTCCGTTCAGTTTGTCCAAGTCTGTTCTAATTGATTGACTTTTTCCATCACCCGAGTAGTGATGAGAAGCTCCAGCACGGCGACGATATCCCGCTGCCAGCCGAGCCTACAGAAGACGCCATTGCTCAGTCGTTCACTTCGTCGCACTCCTCCTTGTCGGACCTTTCAGAGGTTCTATCTTCACCTTCCATTGTCTCTAGTAAAGCCACAACGCCTATCGAGACTGAGATACCTAGCCGCCCACAGATCGGTGGGATCACACAAACTTTTTCGGCCTCGTCATCCTACCGCCATGATATCGAACGGTTGACCTTCAATGTTCGACCGAAGTCATCTATCCCGACAGACATCCCGTCCTACCAATATGCCAGCGAGTGCATCGCCGCGGCCGAATCATCACGGCTCAACCCGTACGCTCTGCATCCCGAAGAGTATCAATTTCTACGCCACCATATATCCCACTCTCAGGTTACGACATACCTGAACATCAGAAACGGCATACTGCGCATGTGGATGAAGCAGCCGTCGGTCGGCGTAACGCGGCAAGAGGCGGTCGGATGTGCCAATGCTCGATGGTTCGACGCCGCGAGCGTATGCTACGACTGGCTCGTTCGTCGTGGCTATATAAACTATGGCTGCGTACAGCTGCCTGAGCCCCAGCCCGACTTTAGGGGGAACGAGCCACCTACAAAGAAGCGAAAGACCATTGCTGTCATTGGAGCGGGCATTTCAGGTCTGTCTTGCGCAAGGCAGCTAGATGGTCTCTTTAAGCAGCACGCCAGCCATTTCTACTCAAGAGGAGAGGAGCTGCCAAAAGTGGTCATTCTCGAAGGTAGAGGCCGAGTTGGAGGCAGAGTATATTCCCGCGAGTTTAAGACAAGGCCTGCCACGAGTGAACCCGAGTTCAAGGGCAAGAGGTATACGGCCGAAATGGGCGGCATGATCATCACGGGCTTTGATCGCGGGAATCCCCTGAATGTCATCGTTCGTGGACAACTGGGCATACCCTACCACGCCCTTACAGCCGAGACCACAATCTATGACAGCAATGGCAAACCAGTAGACCCAGTAAGGGATCTCCTGGTTGAGAAGCTCTACAATGACTGTCTAGATCGCGTCAGCGAGTTCAAGTACAAGTACCAGCCCTCCAAGGTGATTGAAGGCAACCGTGACCTGCTCGACGAGGGTCGGGATAGCCTTGGAGATGGTTCCAAGACCATCATACAAGCTGAGGAGGCCACCGCCGCGCTACCCGATGCCCCTTCAGTGTCCCAGCAGAACGTACCCGAGACCGTGAACATGGTTCCGGTCTCTGCAGACAAGCTGACGGGCCGGGTGCACACCGAGCCCGGGGTTCCTGGGACCATCAAGGCATCAGAAAAGGCAAAGCTGATGGGCTGGAACATCAAAGCCGGGGCGGCGGACAAGGCAAACCTCGATTTGACCCAAGCCACCGCTTTGGAAGGGGCAACATTGGGATCTGTCTTGGACTACGCCATTACCCAGTACAAGAATATCGTCGACCTGAACGCGCAAGATCACCGGTTGATCAACTGGCACATTGCCAACCTAGAGTACAGCAACGCCACCAATCTGCACAACCTGAGTCTCGGCCTCTGGGACATTGATGCAGGCAACGAATGGGAGGGTCACCACACCATGGTCGTCGGCGGGTACCAGAGCGTTGCCCGTGGCCTGCTCCAGTGTCCGTCGCCGCTCGAAGTGAAGACCAAGTTTGCCGTGCAGAAAATCACCTATCATGGCGAAGGCTTCGACGGCCCCGCCAGCATTGAAAGCGAAGATGGCACGGTAGTAGAAGCAGATGCTGTCGTCTGCACCATACCTCTTGGCGTCCTCAAGCAAGGCACGATTCAATTTGAGCCGCCGTTGCCTTCCGAAAAGGCGGAGGCAGTTCGCCGATTGGGCTTCGGCATCCTCAACAAGGTGGTGCTGCTCTACGACAGGGTGTTTTGGGATTCAGACAGGCACATCTTCGGCGTGCTCAGGGATGCGCCCAACCGGCATAGCACATCCCAGCAGGATTACAGCACGAACCGCGGACGCTTCTTCCAGTGGTTCAACGTCACCAACACCACGGGTCTGCCCTGCCTCATCGCACTGATGGCCGGAGACGCTGGCTTTGATACGGAGCATACGAGCAATGACAGCCTAGTCGCCGAAGCCACAGACATCTTGAGGAGCGTCTTTGGCAAAGACGTTCCTTACCCCATAGAAACGGTGGTTACCAGATGGGGGTCCGATCGGTTTGCCCGAGGCAGCTACTCTTCAGCCGCCCCCGACATGCAGCCAGACGACTACAATGTCATGGCCCAGCCTGCAGGCAACCTATTTTTCGCCGGAGAGCATACCATCGGCACGCACCCGGCGACCGTTCACGGCGCCTATCTGTCGGGACTGCGGGCCGCCTCCGAGGTTCTGGAGTCAATGATCGGTCCGATCGAGGTGCCGACGCCTCTTGTGCTCCCGAGGGACTCACTACTGCTGCGCAAACGTAAGGAGGCGGCCAAGGATCCCCGACAGGCACGCTTGGAGGCATACGAAATCGAGGTCTGGGAGCATGTCCTCTCGAAGATTGGCGAGCGACCGCTCCGCCCAAACAAGGTGGCCGGCAGCGCCTACATCCTCTTCAGCAAGGCTCACTTTGAGGCCGCCAAGAAGAGATGCGAAGAGAGCCGCAAGCCCGGCAGGGGCCGGTCCATACCCAACGAGGTCCGCATCATGACGTCCCGCATGTGGAAAGAGGCGACGCCGGAACAAAAGAGGCCGTACGAAGAGCAGGTCGCCGAGCAGAAGAAGCGCTATCTCGAAGCCATGCAGGAGTACAATGAGCTGGCGGAGAAGTGGGATCGCCAGGCCATGGCCCTGCGCGCCGCGTACGAAGAGGAGCATCCCAGCGTGCCGGGCCCCGAGGAGGAGGGCGGCCCCGAGGATGCGTCTTCGACGATGGCGCAGAAGCGGAGGGCGAAGAATGTAAGTTATGCCGAGGGCGGAGATACCGACGCGGATGCATGAAGTAATGCAGACTACTGGAATTGCTGGTTTTCTGTGGTCTCGTCGTCCATATCCTGTCTGGCTTAAAACTTGCTTGATGGCTGTATATATGTGGCGTTTGGATGGTTGGGTCCCGCAGGATTTGTAGAAACCCCCGTTGATACAAAAAAAGTGGTTTTGCACGAAGAGAGAGAGAGAGAGAGTCGATTCAGCCTCTGGTTCCATGGCCGGATAAACACGCACTGGATGGCTGTAAGCGAGGTATCGCGTACATATCATATGAGGCAATCCACTTGAATCAATCATTTATCTCGTCATCTGGCTTTGACAAGTAGCTTGTGTCTCTGCCGTGATTCCAACTCGTGATGCTTTGTGGTCTGTCTACCAAGGAAATTTTATTTGTGGCTTCGATACACTTGACTTTTGAGGGAGACACCGCACTGGGGTAACCTCTCGCTTTTGTTAATACAAGGATTGTGTTTTTTTTTTTTTGTTGGTTCTCCGGCACGCCAGTTCTTTTTAGAATATGTAGCTCTGCTTTCTACCAAGTACAAAAAAAAGAAAGAGGAAAATAATAAAAGAAGACTATGTGTATATTATGTTTCTCTCTTTTTCTTTTTTTACATTTCCTCGGAAGCAATGGCACCGGTGATAATCTCGACCAGCTCTCCGGTAATGACAGCCTGTCGGGTGCGGTTGTACAGGATCTGGTACTTGCCAATCATCTCACCGGCGTTCTTGGAAGCGTTCTGCGGGATTTTTCGTTAGCATCGCTGGAAAAAGCCGTTGATTGAGGGGGTTGTCAAAGCTCACCTCCATGGCGTTTCGTCGGGCAGACTGCTCGCAGGCGTGGCCCTCGGCAAGAGCCCAGTAGAGGGAGTTGGCCAGGCTGTACTCGCGCAGGTTGCCAAGGGACTCGTCCTCGACCTCAAAGGCAGAGAGGTTGGCTGTTTTCCGAGAGTGTTAGTGAAAGAAAAAAAAAGAGCGTAATAGCAGCGTTTCGAGGAGTGATGACATACGGGACTGGGCAATGGCCTCCTCGGAAAATGCCTCAATAAAGGTAGGCTCGTAGCTGGTGGCGTTGATGAACTTGTTGTACAGGATCTTGACGTCGGTGTACTCGGTGGGCAGCAGGACGATCTGGTCGGCGATGGCCTGGGCATCGGCAAAGGTGGGGATGTCCTTGCCGACGCCGGCAAAGGAGAGCTGGATCTCCTTGCCGTTGGTGCGCTGCAGCTGGGCCTTGCACTTCTCGCCGATGATGACGAGGTCGAAGCCCGAGGGCTGCTCGGCGTACATGCGGCGGATGGTGCGGCTGAGGCCCGAGTGGATGCCGCCGCAGAGGCCCTTGTCGGAGGAGCAGACGATGACGAGCGACTTCTTGTCCTCGGCCTCGGCGGCCGCGGTCTCGGCCGACTTGAAGACCTCGTTGGACGCCTCGCCGTACTTGCGGGAGTCGTTCATGCTGCGGGTCGCGCGGGTGAGCTTGGTGGAGGCGACGACCTTCATCGTGTTTGTGATCTTCTCGATGTTGCGGATGGACTTGAGACGGGTCTCAATCTCACGGAGCGTCGCATAGGTGGCGGCGGTGCTGGGGCCAGCGGCGGCAGCTCTGGTGTAAAAGAAGCATTCCATTGTTAGTGTTTCCATGAACCGCAGGATAATGACGCTTTTTTTTTGATGTTTGTGTTTTCTCCTCCTTCCACCTCGTGTCCTCCTTTCTCCTATCTTCTCCTCAATGCTCATCATGTGCTCCCTTGTCCCTCCTTCATGCTGGGCTTGTTCATGTCGTGCCGCCTCACGGATCGCGCAAACCTTTGGTCCCGCGGCTATAACAAATTTCTTATAGATGCCAAAGTGGGCACAAACGAGAGAGAGAGAGAGAGCGAAAAACTCACCGGGAGGGAGCTGCAGCGGCGGCGCGCAGAGCCGGTCGGGCAGCCCTGGACAACATTCTGGCAGGAGTGGACGGTTGATCGAAGCCCTCTGGCCGGCGCAGACCCAATTGATCGTGACGGGGGGAGGATCAATTGGAGAGACGGGGATGTTCGTGGGGATGCAGCTCGGAGGTGGTGAGCGATTGATTGCAGTTTTGCTCGTTTTGCCGGCAAATCGACGGGAAAGCACGGGTCCCGCAAAGTGTGTTGTACCTCTGTACCTTCTGTGCTTCTGTGCCTCTGTAAAGGTACATCCGGTCTGTACCCTCGCGATTGCCAGCTGTGGTGGGTGGTGCAGCCTCGCCCTTGCACTAACGCCACTGGCAGCGCTTTGCTCGCAAAAGTGTTAAGCCTCCAATCGCGATGAGCCCCCCGTTATAGCGATAGTGCGGTGGGCCAGTCCACTATCGCTATATCCCGTCTCGAGACGCAGGCGCTGTAGACGACTACTTAGGTAGATGCATAAGGCTTTTTCAACAGCCGGCCGAAAACACGAGGCGATTCCATTCTTCTTGCCCTCCTCTTCCGCCCAGCTCTTCTGCGTTCCTCAGGCTCTGCTTCGCCCCGGGGCTGTCGAGGTTCACTTCTCGCCAGCCTGCTCTGACTCTCGCAGATCTGTTCTCCCCTCTGTTCTGCCGACTTTCCCTCGGCTTCTCGCTTGCCAATCGCGGCTCTCGCATTCCCTTCGTCGCTCGCGCCTCTTTCAGAGCCTTGCGTTCGCCGAGTGCCAGCTGGTCTTCGCTGCAAGCCATGGCTTCCGACAGCTCAGACGATGACCGGCCTCTCGCCAGGCCAAACGGCCGTCGTAAGTTGTCCCGAGTTTAGACATGTTGACGATTTCTTTTCTTTTCGATTCCTTCGGTTTCTCGACCCCAAGTACTTCCTGAACCCACGCGACTGCGCCAGCGCTTACATGAGACGCATCGATCCCATGTCCAATCGCGGCGCAAGTAAGCGAACCATTGGCACTTGGCTAATCGCAGGCATCAACTCTAGTGTCGTCCTCCAAGATATCTCGCGCCGAAGACATCGCCCTGGATAAGTCCGTCTCCGCGAAGGGCTCTGGGATGGCCGGACTGTCCATCCGTAATGGACCTGTCGAGAATGGCGAGATGGATGTGGATTCGACGGCGACCAACGGTTCCAAGCGCAAATCGCGAGGCTCCCTGATGAAGTCATACAAGGAAGAATCGGAAAGCGATGGCGAGCCTTTGGTAGGTGATGCCCTTCTTCATGACGATGACAAGGACACTAGGGAGGCACGATCAGCTAACGGCATCGGCATGTAGGCGAAACGACAGCGATCAAATCAGGACTCCGATTCGGATGACGAGCCCATGGTCAAGGCTAGGTCGCAGAAGCTGCCGCCCTCATATAAGGAGACCGCGCTGCCCGAGAGCTCTGACGATGAGCAACCTCTGGGTGTTAAGCTCGCGAAGAAGAAGGCTGACATTGAGAAGAAGGCGGACAAGGAGGCCAAAGCTATCCGTGCCAAGGAGGCCAAGGCCAAGCCGGCACCGAAGAGGGCCGTCAAGGACGAATCGGATGACGATCTGCCCATCGCAGCCAAAAAGCGGCAATCAAATGGCACAGCTGCGAAGAGAAAGTCCACCGGAGTGAAGAAGGACGAGTCTGACTCCGACGCTCCCATTTCCAAGAAGTCGAGATCAGTTTCTGCTTCGGCCAAGGGGAAGAAAGCCACTCCGGCAAAGGATACCAAGAAGGCCAAGTCCAAGGAGCCCAGCGAAGAAGCGGATGAGGAGGAATTCGAGTGGTGGAACGCGCCCAAGAAGGAGGACGACAGCATCAAGTGGACCACCCTCGAGCACAACGGAGTTCTCTTCGCGCCGGAATACGAACCCCTTCCGAAGAACGTCAAGATGTACTACGATGGCCAACCCGTCACCCTCGCGCCCGAAGCAGAGGAGGTTGCCACTTTCTGGGTAGCCATGATGACGCCCGCGTCCTCACATCACCTTGAGAATCCCACCTTCCGCAAGAACTTCTTTGCCGATTTCTCCGAATACATCAAGAAGTCAGGTGGCGCAAAGGACGCCAAAGGCAACAAAGTCGACATCAAGAGCCTGGACAAGTGCGATTTCTCAAAGATCCATGAGTACTGGACGGCAAAGATCGAGGCTAAGAAGAACATGACCAAGGAGGAGAAAGCGGCTCTCAAGGCTGAGAAAGATAAGCTCGAGGCTCCCTATCTCTACTGCATGTGGGACGGAAGGAAGCAAAAAGTAGGCAACTTCCGAGTGGAACCTCCCAGCTTGTTTCGTGGACGAGGCGAACATCCCAAGACTGGCAAAGTCAAGGCCCGAGTGATGCCGGAGCAGATCACCATCAACATCGGCAAGGAGGCCAAGGTTCCCGAGCCACCGGCCGGACACAAGTGGAAGGCTGTCCAGCACGATCAGAAGGCTACGTGGCTTGCCATGTGGCAGGAGAACATCAACGGCGCCTACAAGTACGTCATGCTGGGGGCTGCTAGCGATGTGAAAGGACAGAGTGACTTCAAGAAGTTTGAGAAGGCTCGTGAGCTCAAAAAGCACATTGACAAGATCCGCCGGGACTACACCAAGGATCTCAAGAGCGAGGTGATGGCGGACCGTCAGAGGGCAACGGCCATGTACTTGATCGACAAGCTTGCTCTCAGAGCTGGAAACGAGAAGGACACGGAAAACGAAGCAGATACCGTTGGCTGCTGCTCGCTGAAATACGAGCACATCTCCTTGCAGCCTCCGGACCAAGTCACATTCGACTTCCTGGGTAAAGACAGCATTAGGTACAATGAAACGGCACGTGTTGATCCGCAGGTCTTCAAGAACCTCAAGCTGTTCAAGAAGGCTCCCAAGACGGACGGCGATGACCTCTTTGATCGCCTCAACGTAAGCTACAAGATAACCCGTTTACCGGTAGCGGTATTGCATGCTAACCTCATGTTTGCTAGACGTCTCAACTGAACAAGCATCTCAACAGCTACATGCCCGGACTGACTGCCAAGGTCTTCCGTACCTACAACGCGTCCTACACCATGTCCGAGCTGCTCAAGGAACTTGGGAAAGATCCGCGCTCTCGAGGCACCATTGCAGAGAGAGTGAAGCTTTACAATGACTGCAACCGCAAGGTGGCCATTCTTTGTAATCACAAGCGAACTGTTGGCGCATCGCACGAGCAGCAGATGCAGAAGCTTGGAGATCGGGTAAGTCATGTTCCTGCTGTGGTCATTCTATCTGTTCAGCAGTAAAGGGGCGAGAGCAATGCTAACTCATTCATCAGATCAAGGGCCTCAGGTATCAGAAGTGGCGGACCAAGAAGATGATTCTCGACCTTGACCCGACCCAGAAGAAGAAGAAGGGTGCGGCCTGGTTTGAGAAGGACGAAGATCTCGACGACGAGTGGATCAAGGAGCATCAGCAGTTCTTGATTGAGGAGCAGCGCACCAAGATCACGAAGAAGTTCGAGAAGGACAACGAGAAGCTCAAGGCCAACAAGGAACGACCTCTCCCGGAGAAGGAGCTTAAAGAGCGCCTCCAGGCCGTCAAGGAACTCGAGGCCAAGTTCAAGAAGGAGAACAAAACCAACAAGGTCGAAGCCGAAGGCAGGGGCGTGACAGTAGAGAAACTCTTGGCTTCCATTGACAAGATTGACGAGCGCATCAGGATTCTGGAGACGCAGGCCGAAGACCGCGACGGCAACAAGGAGGTTGCGCTGAGCACTTCAAAGATTGTAAGTTTCCGCTCAGCACTTTTATTGTCGCAGCAAACACAACCATACTAACCTTATGGCCGCAGAACTACATCGACCCTCGTCTGACGGTAGTGTTTTCGAAGAAGTTCGACGTTCCTATTGAGAAGTTCTTCTCCAAGACTCTCCGAGACAAGTTCCGATGGGCCATCAAGTCTGTCGAGGACGCGGATGACTGGGAGTTTTAAGGGCAGTCTCTGCTCCCATGACGGAGGCAAGAAGCGAGACACAGGTATTGCGCTTTTCTTCGCCAAAAGTTGTTCTTTCTATCTCCCTTTTATGCATCTCATCTTTCCCTTTACTGCCTTACTTTTATTAGTTTCACCGCACTATTTCATTTCTCTCGCAAGAGATATATACATGTCACAGTAGAGGTGGTTACTGCCCACCTCAGAAACACGGCCATATCGGGTAGACGCGGCGCAACAAGACGACGACGACACTTTGCAAGTTATTTAATTTTGCTTTTCCTTTTGTTTCTTTTTTCCTCTTTTGCTTTAATGCATCACGGCTCCACGAACAGTGTACGATGGAGTTAGACTGGACGGCGAATCATGGATCATGGAACGCACACAGCGAAAACAGGTGACGCGGGGGGGAAAGGGAAAGGGAGAGAGGCTCACAGAGATATCTTTTTTGTTTCCGAAGGGGGTTTCAGGACGATGTACGCTTTGATGAGGTAGTGGAATGCTAGAGGGGGAGTCAAAAGGGTTAAGAAAGAACCTTATACTTATAGGTTGGAAGTAGGGAACACATCAGGAGACAGAAAGAAAAATTACCTAACCTCCTGGGAAATGGAGACAAGGAGGTCATTCACGAGAACTATAGCTAGCGAGACTGCGGTTTGGAACGTTTCTTCCGACTCGCAGCGCATGCCGTAGCGTTTAATTGACTTTTTGTTATGTTCAAGGACTTGTTTGCTAACCAAGTGTATGTCCATGTCAAACATGATAATCTTAAATGCAATTACCGCAGCCTTGAGAAGATCGTGATGTGTTGCCTCTTGGTCACTCAATGAGTGAAGTCAATAATCCTTCTGGATTGATGTTTCAAGAGGCCCAAGACTACCAGTCCGCCTACCTGTCTTCACCGAATATTGGCCTAAAGTCGGCCTAAAGGTCTTTCCTAGAAATGCCCAAGAAGTACAATTATGTTCATAGGGAGTTCATATGTATATACATCTATCTCATAACGAAATGGTGCCGTGCTTCCCTTGTTGTCGCCGTCTATACAACTATCCAAATCTCAAGATATATTTAAAACAACGCCGTGAAGAATGCATTCCCCGTTTGGAGCACTCATCTTTTGCTTCCTTGTCCAGAAAGTCCCCAAACACAGAAAAATCGCCTTTCCAATATATACACACCCATCACTCATCACACATTGCCCAGGTGAACCCATACTCCGCTTGCTCGTCGTAAAGTCGTTATAATCTTGCAGCAAAGGCCAACGCGCCAATCATCAAGTGGCTCATCAAAAGCACCAACAGCGTCTGCACAGGCACGCCCGCCGACGCCGCGCCATTATCACGCGCAATCTTGCCGTCAGGGTTCATATGCCAACCGCTGGGTATGGTTCCAGACGTTGGAGTGGCGCCTGCAACCCACGGCCAGCCAGTCTGTGTGGCTGTAGCCGGGCTCTTGTCCGTGCCGATGCCACCAACGGGAATGGACAGGACGATCGTCGGAGTGCTGGCGGCATTGCTATTGCTAGCCGTGACGGTGAGAACATTCTTGTTGCCGGTGTTGCCGTTGACCTGGCCACCGACGGCTTGAATCGACTGCCACGAGCCAGACTTGTCGCCATAGACATACTGCTTGCCGGTAGAGTAATCTGAGACGGTGATGCTCTGCACCATCATGCTAAAGGGCCCCTTGCTGTAATCAATCGGCCCCATGGCCCATTTCACAGTGCCGGGAGCATTGGTGTTCGGATCGCCTCCGGCCCAGGAACCAAACTTGACCTGCATCGGAGTCTGCGGATACTGATTCGCCTCAGCATCAGCCGGGGTCAGGGTGCGCAGCACAGAGTCGCCCGCCATCCAGATGATCCTGTCCTGGGTCCAGTCCATGGTGTACTTGATCCATTCTGTTTGGGTACCCGAGACGCTGTGGAACTGTCCGCGGTTGTACGTGGTCGTCTGGCCCTTGCCAAAGTAGTTGGACTGCACCTGATCTGGCTCGGCACCGAGACACTCCAGATCAATCTCATCGAGATCATCGGACTGCAACACCAATGACGAGACCATGCCGGCCCCAGGGGCAGCCTTCATCGTCACCTCGACGCGGCCAAACATGATGTAAAACACGGACGCGAGCTGTGGAGCGTCACCGCCGCGCGCCACGGTAAATGAGACGCCGTTGCTGTCATACGTTGGCGAGCCAGAAGCAACAAAGGAGTTGACGGCGCCCTTGGTAAAGTCCACATTGATAGTCATGCCCAGTGCCGTGTCCGCAGGACATCCCGCTGTTTACAGTTAGCCAGCGAATCCCATACTCCCTCCATCTATCGGATGGCACGGGCGATAGATCAACTTACAGGATGTCAGCGGGTTGCACTGGCTCCAGGTCTGCGCCAGAACAGCTCCGGGCAACGCCAGTGCAGCCATAGCGGCGCAGGCAACGCTCGCCACACGTCTCATGGCTGCAAGGAGAAGCAGCAGGAAAGCGACGGGGTGTGATCAACCAAGGAAAAAGAGAGATGTGAGGGAGAGAGAGAGAAATGGCTCTGCTGCAAGTGATGCAGCTTTCTTGCAGCCTGTGCCGCAATGGCCGAATCCTAGCGCCACGCAGGGGAAAACTCTCCAATATTATAGTGAACACACTCTAGGAGGTGGTGGACTGCGAGAATGCTGGAGCTCAAGCCTTGGTGTTGCGATCACCTGCAGTAGTACCTAGCTGGCTCAGCCTTTCTTTTTGTTTCTCTCTAGCCAGACTAACACCGCAAAAGCAGCGGCAAGTGATCGGAAAAGGATGCAAGGGATGCCCGTGACAGCGAGTGACTTGGAGTCGCTTTAGGCTATTCTTTCAGCATTCCAGTGCCCGATAAGAGGGAGGGACAGCTGGAGAGGATAACCTAAGAGATACCGCAGTAGAGCGAGTATTCGGTCAAGATTGGGAGATTTTGTGCAAGAGGGAGCCAGAAAGATCCAAAAGACGCAGGTTCTGAGCAAATGGCTGGTTATAAGCGGGGGCTCTGCACCTTCCCAGCCACTCGAGTTGCCCAATTGTGCTCGTTTTCGTCATCGAGGCCATTCTGCCAAGGCAGGTGCGCAGCAAGAGTACGAGAATAGCACCTTCTTACGGCTGGTAGCTGCCGTGCTTCGTGGTTTCTCTGGCATCTTCTCTGCTCTTCTCAATCTCTCCTTCCGTCTCTCAACATCGTGTAAGTACATAATAGCAGAGAGAGAGACACACACACACACTGGCAGGTGCGGTCGGAGTTGGCAAATCCCTCCCTCGCATCAGAGACCCCACCGCAAGTATTTCTCATGCAGCGCTGGTTCCTGCCTTGCGATTGACTAACAATAATGGAAACGCACTCTTTGTTCAATTGATTATCCTTGGTAATTGATAAACTACTCTCTTGTCGACGTTCACACTTTTCCTCATTCTCCGCATAATGCATATGCAGCCAGCGGTAGTGGTGCCAGACGCCTTTCCTCTCTCTCTCTCTCTCTCTCTTCTTCATCGTCTCCTCCATTCCCCACGAGCGGCTCGCTTTTGGCGGTCAACGTGCCGCCTGAGGGGAGTTTGAGCGAGTGACAGCTGGCCGCGCACGCAAAAAAACGGCCAAAGTACCCAGCAGCGTTAAAGCGGGTGGTTGGGACCTGGCGCATGTTGGCCACGACCGGCCCCGCCAGCCGCGAGCCGATTGGCCAGCGCTGCTCGAAGGCCTAAAAGCGGGGCCCGGCGCCGAAGAGAGCGAACGACTCGGTGAAGTCGCAGCCCGCCCCGGCTTCCGGCCTACCCTACAAGGACTACTACCACTACTGCGCAACACGCGCGAGGGCAGCAGCGGGACGTGATCGTGTGTCCATCTGGGCTTCTGACGTGGCCGCCGGCGGTGGAGGCAGAGAGAGCGGCCGGCAGCATCCAGCGGGACATGCGGTGAAGGCCCGTCCCATTGTGCCGTTTACCAGCTGCAGTAGCTTGACGGGGTCTTGGGGTGCAAGCAAGTCCTTGGACGCAGCGCTGCTGTACGAGTACTACTGTAGTAGGTGGTACTATGTATTCGCAACTTCGCATCACCAGCTATGGGGACCCTTGGGAACGACGTCCACCCGCCCCGTTCGTGACGTGTGCAGCTCTGGGACGCCATCACCAAAGTGCCATGATGCCTTGCTCGCATGTCGTGGGAGGAGTGGTAGTATTAGCAGTGGGAATCATGCCGCACTAGGAATTGCTTCTTCCAGATCCGACGGCGGCCACGATCACAATGCTCGACATGCGAGGCCGGAGACGCCATCAACGTCAGCGAAACCGGCGCAAGCACCACAAGTACAAGCATGAGGCACACACACCCCGCGGCCTCACACCCGGATGCAGGGAACGGGCCCTTGCAGTCCCCAAGGACACAGCATCTCGCAGCCCGCCGCCGGTTTGCGGGCACAAACTGGATGGCAGCGCACTGGGAAATATTGAGACAATGGCCCAATATCACAGACACGGCTTCGCATGTAGGGAGACAACTGGCCGTCTCCGCTGCGCTGCCCAAGACCCAGGACCCCTCCTCCGGTAGGGCACGAATTCCCACAGCACCCATGGAGCATTGGCAGTGTCCTTGGTCAACGCGGGGCTCATGTCAGGAATTCTCTGGTTTTCGCCATGGACTTGATACCAATGCAATGCGGCAAAAGAGTCTTTGTCGAGCAAGAAAGGCTACCAACCGCTTTGCTAGCCGTAGATAAGTGCCATTGCTCATTCGACCGTTAGATTGTTGGTATAACGGTAAGTGCTCCATACCAGTCGATGCAAAAAAAGCAACGATAACTGTCGTTGTTTTGCTTTTTACTCTGGGTTTCGGCCAACCAGAACATATGTATGTCGTCCTTCAAGCCAGACGGGATGAGCAACGGGACAGAATTCTCTCGCACATACCTGTACATACGAGGTAGTCAAGTACCAGGTAGTACACAGAGCCCACTGCATTTCTCACCACGAAACAGAAGCATTGACCTGTGATGATGCACGTTGCACGTACGCAAGTCCTTGCAGGAATGGAGGCCCAACCTACCATTGGCGACGGCCTTTCCCCAACTTCGAGGTGGCAAAATAATCCAGTGCAACTTCGGGTTAGTACGTGACTGATCCATAAGGAGCAGGTCGTGGAAAGTCAAGCAAAGAAGTTGAAAAGGAAAAAAGAGGTAGTAAGAAATCGTGACATCGTCAGACGCACACGGGAGTGCTGCCCACATTATCACGTTGCCGGCGTCAAAGCGTGCAGCAGTGATCTTGGATCTGTGACCCCTCCATCTCGTTTGCTTCTGACTGTACTGTACCCCTCCAAATGGCCAACGGGTGGTGGACAAAAATGCCACTTGTCTCATGCGTGATGTTGCACAGCGATGACACGCTCGACGGGCAATGGCCATTGCGTCTTACCTAGGTATGTGTGTGTATGTATGTGTGTGACATCAAGAGAAGAAAAGTCTACAGCGACTTTTCGCAGCCAAGACTTGCCTGTGTGTCCGCACTAATATGACCAGTGCTCGTTCCATGTAGTATATCGCACAGAGGGCAACATAGACCAATGGTGGGATCAGCATCCTGATACTAGTGCTCGACTGGACTGAGACCTTCTCAGATCGAGGTGAATCAAAAGAGGCGCTACCCGGATCAAGCTGGTCTTGCCCGTGATCTCAAACAGTGAGACAATTGGACGTCTGAGCTTGTCTCTTGCCCCAACATATCGCACCGAACCGACGGACAAACGCAAACCTGTCCATGGGCGTGTGCGAAGCAAATATCAAAACCCCAGAGGTGCTGTCACTCCCAATCGCAAGCCCCAATACTTGTACCGTCCCCCATCATTATTACCGCGTGAGCCGAGTCAAAAAGGAAAGGAAGAAAGGAAAAAAAAAAAGCAAACAAGAAGCGATTTCCAATACTAGGTAGAACAACAGAGACACTTGTACCAGAAAGACGCACTGCATGCAGCTCACATGTAGTCAAAACTAGTGCCGTAACATCAACAACACAGGCGTGAAGCTAAAGCACAACAGGCGTCAAGTCATATCAACTTGTCATTCTGCGGGCAACCCAAGCATTGGTCCAAACAAAGGTTGCGCACCACTTCGTCTTGTCCAGTTTCGGCCGATGATCCGCACAATCCTCGAACCTTGGACTTGCGTGTGGCGTGCGGGAAGACACGAGCTGCGACGTGAAGCATAACGCCACGGTATGAGATTTCGGCACTTGAGACACCTAAAAATACCTACCGGTAAAAGAGGGAGAGAGGAAAAAGAAACGACGTCGGAAAAATCCTGTTTTTGCACAGTTTTTTGTTCCTGAAAGGAAGGGAAAATTGTCAGAAATCAGTTTGTGAGAGCAAAGATGTGGTTCCTTGGTCTGCTCTAGCCTCGGCGTCTTTTGTCTCAGCTGTCATTTGAGGCGATTGACACGCCAGACTGGTTATGAGAAGGAGAACGCTTCCCCGTAATAGTGACATGTCGGAAGTGCTATGGCAGAAGTTGACGCGCGTAGCAGTTGATCTGAAACAGACAAAAGGGCAGACGGAAAGCAAAAAGCAAAAAAAAATGCCAAGGGAGAACAGCAAAAGAGTGGCAATGCGGAGGTACATACTCCCCGCTGGCTCCCAACGGTTCACGCTGGTGAGGCAAAGACACCATCGCGTAGGTACGATGGTCAGATATCATTCTGGGCGTAACAGGCGACACAGAGTAGTCGTATGCCCCCGAGTGCAAACGCAGTTGAGTGGCAAGAAAAGACCCAATCGCAATGGGCCTCCATCATCACCGCACACACAACACACACGGAATCCTGCTCGCCAACCGGATCCCGTCAAGTCTTCCGCTCGCCGGCCCGTGCTCGTATTCCACGTCCGTGCCAGAAGTCATCCAACGCCCATCGGTAATTGACCACGAGGGAAATAAAAACAAACTGTCACTGACACTCTCCCGCGAAAGGGCACCCAGAGACTCGTGCACCGTCGTTCATTGGCCGTCGAAGAGGCTTTCCCCAGCTCCCATTTCCCAGCTCAGCTGGACCACTCGGCTGCGCTGCCGTGGCGTTGTCGTTGAAATGAGAATGAGCCCACACCGACGCTCAGCCACTGCCCGAGGCGAATATGGTAGCCTTGGCCGGGAATCTCATCTCCAGGTGTTCCGGAGCGATATTATCGCAGGTTAATTTTAGAGGATAACCAAGTCGTCAGCTGCTGGCCTCATTCATTGTACTCGTAGGACCTAGGCCTAGGCATGTGCAAGTAGTATGGAGCCGGAGCTTGCATCAGCCTCATTGTCGGGAGATCCACCGGTGACATATAGCAGCTTCTGAGGTCTTATTTAATTTCCACCGTTCCGGACCGAGTCATAACTGCGTAAATAGAATATTGATTGACATAGGCAGAGTGGATTAGAGTCAGTCG